ACAGGCGGATCTCTGTGAGTTTAAGTCCAGCCTGGTCTACAGAGAGAGTTCCAGGACAGGCTCCAAAACTACAGAGAAACCCTGTCTCGAAAAACCAAGAAAAGAAAAAAAAAGGTGAGGCAGAGGGGAGGGGCAAAGGTGATGACATCATTAGGTGTGCACTTGGTTTCTGGGGAAAAGAGTTGTGGACTAGCGTCTGAACCTGGTCTGAGAAACAAGACCTCAGTTTCTCCAAACACGAGACTGTTCTAAGAACACTTCCCTCATGTGATATCTCTTAGCGCTCAGAGTACAAACTGTCTGCGTGAAGCTGGCTGTGGGGTGGGGCCTCAGTGAGCTTCATTTTCAGGCTCTGCTCTCCAGGGTCCCGTCACCTCTAGAATGGTAAACAGACTACAGGTTTTTTTTTTTTTTCGAGGTAGGGTTTCTCTGTGGCTTTGGAGGCTGTCCTGGAACTAGCTCTTGTAGACCAGGCTGGCCTCGAACTCACAGAGATCCGCCTGCCTCTGCCTCCCGAGTGCTGGGACTAAAGGCGTGCGTGACCACTGCCAGGCTGGGTGCCATTATTTCTAACCAGACAGGACGGATCTCTTTTTCTCTCTGTTTCTTGCACTGCTCCGTTGGTTTAGCCCAGGACCAGGAGTCTCGGGCATTACCCCTGACCTTGAAACAGTGACCTTGAAAGGTAAGGGTGTATCTTTGCCAATGTGCCTTCTGATTGGTTTGATAAAGAGTCGAATAGCCAATAGCTAGGCAGGAGAGTATAGGCGGGACTTCCCGGCAGAGATACAGGAAGAGGAGACTTTGGAGGGAGGCCAGTGAGATTTCAGATCAGTAGGGTGCACAGAATGGGATAGAGGTAAAAGGCACGTGGTAGAAGGTAGATTAATAAAAACAGGTGTTGGGGCTGGAGAGATGGCTCAGAGGTTAAGAGCACTGGCTGCTCTTCCAGAGGTCCTGAGTTCAATCCCCAGAAACCACATGGTGGCTCACAACCACCCGTAATGAGATCTGGTGCCCTCTTCTGGAGTGCAGGGATACATGCAGACAGAACACCACATACATAATAAATAAATAAATCTTTTAAAAAAATAATAAAATAAAAGCAGGTTTTTTTGTTTGCCCTGGGTTTTCTTTTTTTTTAAAGATTTATTTATTACATATACAGTGTTCTGCCTACATGCCAGAAGAGAGCACCAGATTAAATTGTAGATGGTTGTGAGCCACCATGTGGTTGCTGGGAATTGAACTCAGGACCTCTGGAAGAGCAGTCAGTGCTCTTAACCTCTGAGCCATCTTTCCAGCCCTAAAAACAGGTGTTAAGTTATAAGAGCAAGCTGGAAAAGAGCCTAAGCTAAAGGTCAAGTTTTCATAATTAATAAGTCTCTGTGTCACTATTTGGGAGCTGGAGGGCCAAGAAAATTCTGACTGCAAGCTGACCTGTATCAGACAAAATGTCAGTTTTCGTTTCCCAGCAAAAGCAATGTGGGGGGATGAAATGCTGTCGGATGGGGATGGTATGCTGTGAATGTGTGTTGCTCCCATTGGTTAGCAATAACTTTGTTTGGCCTATGGCAAGGCAGGATAAAGTTAGGTGTGACTCATATTCATCTATGTATTGCCGCGTAGTTGTGGCTTTACCGGGTCATTGGTTGTCAGAGATACAGGAAGAGGAGACTTTGGAGGGAGGCCAGTGAGATTTCAGATCAGTAGGGTGCACAGAATGGGATAGAGGTAAAAGGCACGTGGTAGACTCAGAGTCAGGGGAGAAACCAGCCAGCTTCCCAAGAAGCAAAATGCCAATTACCCGGTAAAGTCAGCTGCCCAAGAAGCCAATGACCCGGTAAAGCCACAACTACGCGGCAATACATAGATGAATATGAGTGGGTTAATTTAAATGTAAGAGCTAGTTAGTAATAAGCCTGAGCCACCAGCCAAGCATTTATAATTAACATAAGCCTTTGTGTGGTAATTTGGGAAGTGGTGGACGGGTATTTGGGACTGGGTTCCACCTTCCTTTACAGGACTGGGCTTATTCTGGCTCACGGTCCTAGGAGTCAAAGCGGCAGAATCCTAAAGCAGCTGACCACATCACAGCCACAGTCAGGAAGCAGAGTGACGGATGCTCATTGTCAACTTACTGTCTCCACTTTTATACGGGAATGCCCCCCCCCACACACACACAGTTAAGACGGGTCTCCATATCAATTAGCGTAAAGATAACCCTCAGAGACATTCTCAGAGGCAAACCTTAGTCTACATAATTTCTTGTTTGTTTGCTTTGGGGGCAGACTCTTAATATAGCCCTGACTATCCTGGAACTCACTGTGCAGACCAGGCTGGCTTCAAACTCCCAAAGATTCTGTCTTTGTCCTGGGATCAAAGGTGTTGCGTTATCACGGCCTGCTAGTCTAGACTGTATCTGAGAAGTGCCACTGAGACTTGTCTCCTGGGTGATTCTGGGAGGCGTTAGCCACCACACACTCTGACCTTGAACTTGCCGCGTGGACAGGCTGGGTCTGGTCCTTCTCTGTCTACTTCCTGAGAGCTGTCATCATGGCGTGTGCCGCCTCAGGCCAGGACACCACAGAAAGATCCAGAAGGCTTGTGCAGGTGGAACTCCTGTCCACGGTTGCCCCTTCCTTCATCCTTCTCTACCTCCATCCTCACAGAAGCCCGGCTGTTCTTTTTCTTTTTTGGGGGTCAGGGTTTCTCTGTGGCTTTGGAGGCTGTCCCGGAAGTAGCTCTTGTAGACCAGGCTGGCCTCGAACTCACAGAGATCCGCCTGCCTCTGCCTCCTGAGTGCTGGGATTAAAGGCTGTGAGCCACCACTGTCTGGCAAAAGGACTGGACTGTGCGTGGGCCGGGAAACAAAACCAGGGCTCCTGAGTGGCAGGGGAGAATTCTAACACTGAACCACCCATGCCATCCGGCTGTTCTTGTATATAATTTTTGTCTCTGATCTTGCCAAGTCAGTAACGCTGCCTCGACAGAGAAAATACCCCGTCTGGGGGTGGTAAGAAAAGAACTAGCCTCCCACTCACATGCCGCCTCCTCCTGGCACCAGGGAAGCCCTGGTGGCAGAGGTGGGGGGCACCTATCCAGGGAGACCTGTGGCAGGCCCACACATGGTGACTCCAAAGGAGGGAGCCACGCCTATGAGGTTCATAGTTACACACGTGGGGGGGGGGCTCAGAGGAGGCGGGAAGAGGCTGGGAATCTGAGAAATGTTGAAAGGAATGAAAGGAAGCCCAGAGGCAACCCAGATAGAAGCCGCTAGGGATGAGGGAGCCCTGGCTACCTTCTTGAAGGTGGTCCCTGGCTCCTCCCTACCTCAAGTCTCCTGGACAGGGCCTGATGGCCGGCTTCACAGCCTGTGCATTGTCGGGGATGCACAAATTGAGGGGGTACAGCCGGGCGTTGGTGGCGCACGCCTCTGGCACCAGCACTCAGGGGGCAGAGGCAGGCGGATCCCTGTGGGTTCAAAGCTAGTCTGATCAGGCAGGCAGGCAGCCATGCTGATACAGCGAGAACCTATCTAAAACAAAAGAGGGGGTTCCAGGATGGACACTGCAGAGTTGGACTGCATCGAGGAGAGCATGTTGCACCTCTGTGGGACAATGCTGTTACATTGACAGGCCCTTGTACTCAAGGGGGCTGGAGGATGGGTCGGCTGTAACTGGAGGTACCCCAGGGATCACACAAGAAAATCCAAGGGAGGCCACCCAGCCCCGCCTGCAGCCATCTTGAGGCCCTGATATTTTACCTGCAGGGAGCTTGAGGAGTGGTGATGGCAGGATGCTGGAGGTAACGAGGGGGGACCAGAGGGGACATTCATTCTGCTGCAGAAACCCTGTGCCCGAAACCCTACGCTTGTCTGGGACTCCAGACCCCAAGGCCATAATGGGCTCTCACAATCCCCCCCCTTCCTTTTCAGACATCGGTAGTGATGAAAATTTCTTAAAACGTTACGGCTCTGTCTTGTCAGTGGCCAGACAGACTTTACTGGGGACACCTGGCCCCGCACCTCCCTCAGGTTGACTGGGCCGCCCAGAGTGGGTGGAATAAACCTTGGAAGGCCCACCCCCTTCCTCCTCCCCTCTGGCTTCAGAGGCCCTAGTTCCCTTGTCTTTGGGTTTTTGGAGATGCTGTGTAACTAGGCCAGGCTGGCCCAGATCTCATCACGTAGACCAAGCTGGTTTCACAGTTGTGGCATCCCTTCTGGCTCTGCCAACCTGATCCTGGGATCACGGGGATTTCAAGACCATAGCTGGCTCCTCCCTCTTTTCATTTATATAAGAGGGGAAGGGAGATATGGGGGAGCTAACTTCCACCCCCCCCCACTTCCAACACTGATTTCCTGTGACTTTTAAGCTTTCCTTCCCGGTTTAAAAATTTTTTTTTAGACAGGGTGTCACTACATACCCTTGGCTGTCCTGGAACTCACTCTGCAGACCAGTCTGCCCTCAGACTCAGAGAGATCCCCCTGCCTCTGTCACCCGAGTGCTGGAATTAAAGGCGTTCGTGCCACTACGCCCGGCTTATTTTTAACTTTATGCACTTGGGTGTTTTGCCTGCACAAATCAGCGCGCCATGTGTTCCTAGTGACTGCAGAGGCCAGGAAAGAGCATCCGACCCCGAAACTAGAGTCACAGACAGGCGGTTGCGAGCCACCGTGTGGTTGCTGGGAATCAAACTCAGGTCCTCTTCGAGAGCAGCCCGTGCTCTTCACCGATGAGCCACCTCTCCAGCCCTCGACACCCCTCTTTTTTTTTTTTTTTTTGGCTTTTCGAGACAGGGTTTCTCTGTGGCTTTGGAGGCTGTCCTGGAACCCGCTCTGTAGACCAGGCTGGCCTCGAACTCACAGAGATCCTCCTGCCTCTGCCTCCCGAGCGCTGGGATTAAAGGCGTGCGCCGCCAACCGCCCTGCTTTCTTTTTTTTTGTTGACACCCCTTTTCTTAGACACCCTTGATAAGACACACACACGGAGGACTGCAGGTTTCAAAGAGGTAAGCAAATTTGTTGTCGGTGGGAGGGCGGGGAGGGGCCGTGTTCACCTTCCCGTCACCTGCAGGGTGGGCGGTCAGGGTCAATAGAAAAGGCAGTGTCGGGCGGGCGCACGCCCTGTGCTGTGCAATATAGAAGAATCTGATATAGATACTTTGTATAAAAGACGTCTGTCCTTGTTTGTGTCCTCCTGCTGTCCGGCTGGGAGGCATTGGGAGATGAAGCTGGCAGGGTGAGCCCGGACACAGGGACGCCCTGTGGTCCCCATCCTCTGGCTGTCCCCGTGTGAAGTCATTTTGGGTCCTTGGTGGGGGCATAGCAGAGCTCCAGCGGCCTGGACACCTTCCAGAACTTCTCATTCACGAGCTCCAAGGTCAGCGAGCCATTCAGCGTCTAGAGAGGAGTGAGGAGGGGGGGGGGGGGGGGGAGTTGGAAAAGGAAATGGACAGGAGATGAGGGAGGAGTTAGGGAAAAGCTCACCCTGGGCTGCTCCCTGCCCCATCACTATCAGCAAGTCAAGCTCACCGTGAAGGCTCCGCCCCCGGGCGCAATGTAGATGGTGTACTGCTTTTCACTGACACCTTCCAGGCTGGGCAGGGCGGGCTCCTCAGGACCTTCGCCGCCTCCTCCTCCTCCTCCTCCGGCAAGCCCGCTCTCCCCACCACCCCCCGTCAGGTCCGCCTGTGTCCGAGGCACCCCCGCCAGGCCCTCCGGGCTCAATGGTTTCCTGCTGCTGCCTCCGCTCCAGGGCAATGCGCAGGGCCAAGTACTTGGAGAGGTGGTCCACTGTGGCATTCCCAGTGGTCTTCACGTACCTGGAGGGAGGACAGGGAGGGGAGGTTAGAGCCACAGAGTCCCCCGATGGAGAACTTCCTCCCAAAGGCATGGCGGGCGATTACTGGTACCCTAGGCTGGCCTCTAGCTGGCTATCATCCCCCTGCCTCTGGGATTACAGGAAGCGCACGGCCACCCTCGGTTTATGTGGCGCTGGGGAGGAGACTCGGGGTCCCCGTGCCTGCTCGCCAAACGCTCTAACAACGGAACCACACACCTCCCCCCCTCCCCGGGGCCTGAAGCTCCCTTCTGATGCAGGATTCCTGAACTCTGGTTTCCAGGGGGTAGGACAGCGAGAGGCGGGGTTGGGGTGGAGTGAGGGTGGGGGTTGGGGTGGGTGTGGCTCCTCACCTAGTCTGGCAGTATTCTCCCTTTTCCACAAGCAGGGGGTGGGGCCGGAACACAAGCTCGATCTCTCCGCCTGGCTCAGGAGGACTGGGAGCCCCGGGAGGGCTTGGGGGGCCCAGGGTTCCCCCTCCCAGGGTGCCACCCCGGTCGCCAGAGTCTTCAGAGCCAGCACCCCCACAAACCCCACCTGCCGCTCCGCCGCCCCCTGTCCCTACACTGCTGCCCCCCCGCGCCGCCCCCTCCACGGGGTCGCTTGGGGGCAGGGCCCGGAGCGGAGTCCGGAGCGGAGTCGGAGCTCACATCCTCTCCGTCCCCTTCTCCCTCCCCGCCACTCATCGTGGTGGTCTGATCCGATCCGGGCATTGGCCGCCTTACACGCTGGGCCCTGTGGAAATAAACAGTCTGGGTTAGGGTGGGGGCAGCACTCGGGCGGGGGCTAGTTTAGGTGTTAAAACCTCAGCCGACTGTGAGGCCACGGAAACCCTAACGGTGACGTCGGAGTGCTTTACTAGTCGCTAAGGACGCGCCCAGCAAGGTCAGGTGTCTACCTCCATTTGACGACTGAGAGAGGGCTAGGGAGTCGGTTGCCGCCACTTGCTTGGGAACGCAGGGCACCTGCCCTCGAATCATGCCAGACAGCTGCGTGGCCGACACCTGGCAGCTGGAGGAGCGTAGACTCCCCCCGTCAGGGCCCCCCACTCCGGATCTTATCACAGTTCACATTTCGGACACAGGGCCAAGGACCTCCACACCTGTGCATGGCCTGCATCCGAAGCCCCTCCTCGATGCTGGAGCTCAGCGCCTGCTGGTTGTGCAGGCGGCTGAGGCGGATGAGCACCCTGTCTTGATGGGCCTCGTACTCCTCCCGGCTGGGGTAGATTTTGGAGATCAGGGCATCGAAGTTTGGGTCCGGCCGTAGGGACCGCTTGGAGACCAGCTTTTTCCGGCAGGTAGGGCACTCCTTGTTCCTGGGGTGGGGGTGGGGTGGAAAGGAAGCTCTGTGGGGTCGGTTCCCATCGCTGATGCCCAGGCTTGGTCCCCTCGCCCCGTTGCAGACACGCCCCCCCCATCCTGTTACCCGCTCCGCAGGGCTGTGACGATACAGTCCGAGCAGAACCGGTGGAGGCACTCCTTGGTGGTCATCGTGTTCTTGAGCATGTCCAGGCAGATGGGGCACATGAGCTCCGAATGCAGCGACCTAGGCGAGACCGCGATCTCCGTACCGTCCATAATAGCTTCCTGGGTCGTTAGCAGGGCGGCAGAGAGATTGGGGGGGGGGGGGGGGGGAAGGAATTTCAGACGCCAGCTTTGAGGCAGATAAGGTTAGGTAGAACCTGGACCTGGACGGCCTCGCTGGCCGACCGAGGAAGGCGGGAGTTCTGGGATGGTGGAGACCAAAGACTCGGAGATTACCCCGAGAGGGACGAGGAAGCGTCACCAGAGGTTTTGCAAGGGAAGGAGCAGACGTTTGGTGAGATACCAAGACTGGGGTGCAGATAGCTCAGGTCTACGGCTTGGCGAATATTTATTCAACAGACTTTATGGTTTTTGTTTGCATTTAGGGGGTGGTGGTCTCACTATGTGTATAACCCTAGCTGGCCCGGGTTCACTAAGTAGAACCGGGCTAGCCTCAAACTTTATTTATTTTTTTGTTTTTCGAGACAGGGTTTCTCTGTGGCTTTGGAGGCTGTCCTGGAACTAGCTCTTGTAGACCAGGCTGGCCTCGAACTCACAGAGATCCGCCTGCCTCTGCCTCCCGGGCGCCGGGATTAAAGGCGTGCGCCACCAACGCCCGGCTCTCAAACTTTATTATTAGGATTCCACCCACCTCTGCTTCTGGAGTGCGCCACCACACCCGGCCTCAACAGGCTTTCTTGAAACTCTGAGAGCAAGTCTATCTATACTAGGATTTCGGGTGACTGTTAAAAACACATGCCGATATCCCAATGCACTAATTCAGGAGAGAGAGACAGAGAGAGAGACAGAGAGACAGAGAGAGAGAGAGAGAGAGAGAGAGAGAGAGAGAGAGAGAGAGAGAGAGAGAGAGAGAGAGAGAGAGAGAGAGAGAGAGAGAGAGAGTTCTACTTTAAACTCGTAGGACGGGTCCGTGTGGGACACGTGCATGCAGAGATGAGAGAGAAGGTCTAACTTCTGGCGCCCGTTGACCGTGCTCCAATGTTAACACCGGCAGCGTATGTATCTGCTGCAGCTCCCCGGCACGGCTGTTTGGAGGGGGCTAAATCGGATTAAACGAGGTGCGGCGCAGAAGCGCTTTGAAAAGAAGAAACAAAACAAAACACCGGCGATTCAAACGCAGAGTCAGCCGGGCAAAGCGCAGCGTGGTGGGGGAGGGGGTGAGGAGCTGGGGCTGGAAGATTCCCCCTGTCACCTGCGGAGTCCGGTGCAGCTCGTAGAGACTCAGTTCCCACGTTTTGCTGGCATTCTGGGCATTCGCCGGCGTCGTCATGGTGACGGGGCGCAGACCCCCCCCCCCTCCAAGCGGGGCTCGGCGGCGGCGGGGTGAAGCCTGCGGAGGGGGAAGGGGGGGACGCTGTCGGGGCCGCCCCTCTGCAGACCCCGCCTCCCGGGCCCCGGGCGCGCGCCCCGCGGCCCCTCACCCGGCTCCGGCTCCGGCCTTCGCGCTGCCCCGCCGCGGGCCTCTCCCCGGGGGCTCCGCCGCCCTGGTCCGCTCGGTGCGCAGCTGCCACTCACGCCGCAGCTCTCGCCGCCGCCGCCGCCGCCGCCGCCATGGCCCGGGCGCTCAGGCCCGACGTCACTTCCGCCCTCCCTGCAAATCCCCACCCCGCGACGGGGACGTCACCGCCCTCACGGCGCGCGTGGAGCGCGCCGTGGAACCGGGTCCCCCTCCCCCGCGGGGCGCGCGCGGCGCCGGCCCAGGAGGGTGTTGGATGGGGTGGGTGGGTGCGGACGCACGTGGGGAACCCCGAGGGCGGAGCTCCCCTCCCCTCCGCGGCGCCGGCGGGCGACGATTCCCCCGGCTCCCCCGCAAGCCCGGGCCTGGGATCCCCGGAAAGCCAGGCGCAGCGGGGCACCGCGGCTGCAGGTCGCGCGCGCCCTGAGCCCCGAGGGCTGCGGCGGGGTCCCCCGGGTGTCCGGGGACCGGCCCCGCGCTCCGCCCGGCCTCTCGCCCTCCCCTCCCCTCGAGGTTTGGGGGCGGCGGCTCGGGACGTCCGGACGCAACTCTCGGCCGGAGCCAGAGACTCGAGAATTGCGTTTGGACAATCAGGAGCCGCGGCCCGGGGCGGGGAGGGAGGCGCACCGGGAGGCACCGGGGATGGAGACGCCGCGCGGAAGCGGGGGACACCAGATGGGGGGCGAGCCGGGGAGGAGAACGCACGAGTGAAAAATGTGTGGCGTGGGAAAGTGGGCAGAGCCTCTGCGGGACTCGGAGTGAAGGGAGCGGGCGGAGAGGAGAGAGGAGAGAGGAGAGAGAGACAGAGAGAGGAGGAAGGAGCCGGGCCGTCCCGGTTGAGGGCAGGGAATGAGGGGCACCCGGGAAAGAGGCCGTGACGGGCGTCCTGTCCCCCGCCAGCCTGCGCTGCGGCTGCCAGGGGGTGGCCTGTCTCTGGGACAAGTTAGCCGCGGGTCCCCTCGCCCCCAACCCCAGTTACCCCCTACTTCCCTGTTCTCTCCTTCAGTCCGTGGCCAGTCCTTATGTGGGCGCCAGAGTCGATTAGCGCGGACCCCCTCCCCTTCTCCTCCTCCTCCCAGCCCCCTCCCTTCTGCTCTCCTCCAGCCCTTTTCATCGGCTGGCCCATTCCCCTAATCCTGGCCCCCTCCCCTAATCCCCCCCATCCGACCCCAGGCCGGCTGCGGCTATTGTAAGGTGGAGAGAAGGGAGGGGAACAGAGAAAGGAGGGGAGGGGGTGGGCCACCTGTTCCAAGACCCCCTCCCAAGGCCAGACTGGACACCAGGATGAGGCCAAGAACAAATCACCCTTGGGGGCCATAAGGACCCGGGGAGTGGGGGGTGGGGGCTGGGCATGACTGGTGCTGCAGATCCAATGAAAGGGGGTTGGGGTGGGGACAGAATCCCCTCCCTCTGCAAAGACCCGGAGTGTCACGCACACACACACACAGTGACACACACTCTTTACTCTCACACCCGGCGGCGGGGGGTTGCCCTGGGAGACCGGGCAGTGAAAGGGAGCAATCCTTCGGAAAGGGGAGAGAGGGGGGGAGGTGGGGAAGGGTCTGAGGGCTTGGACACAAGAAGAACCGGAGGTGGCAGGGAAGAAGAGGATTTGGAATTTATTAGGGTCACAAGCACCCCTGCCTTCCATATTCGGCATGCCAGAGCCGCACGCTGCTGCCCACCCCTTTTGTAGCCTGGGAACTTGGCGTCCTCATCAGCAGGAGGCCAGGCAGCGGTGTGTGGTGTGTGGAGGGGCTGGGGGGTGGGGGGGAGGCGAGCAGAGTCCAGCGTCCATGCGGGCAGGCAGTTACATGAAAAGACCTCCTGAGAGGGACAGAAACGTCGGGACAGGTGCATGGGTGGCGAGGTATACGGGTAGACACCCACTTCTGACCCTGGTCTAGTTAAGGGGCCTCCTCGGGCTGCAGTCTGGGCTCTGCCGTCCCCTTTCTGAGTCCGCCCTCCCCACGAGGGGCCCCGTACCAGTGACTTCCACTGCGGCCCCTGTGATGTATCCACTGTCTTCAGAGGCCAAGAATGCGACCGCATCTGCCACATCTACGCGGACGGTGGGGAGGGGGTGGAGGGCAGTGTCACTTCCTTAGACCCAGAGTGGCTATGCTCCCGCAAAACCCCCAAGCCCACATCGATCAATAATCCCTGTGTGACCCTTTCAAAGCAGCATTAGGGATCCGAGTCCCCCTCCTCGAAGCCTTCTCCCAACCCGTGCTCACCCTCAGGGTCCCCCATGTGTCCCAACGGGATCATTGCAGTCACCTGCAAGGAAAACACGTGGCTGGAAGTTTCTTTTATGGACTTTATTTTTTATTTCTCATTAAGGACATGCCTGGAATACTCACCGTTAGCGCGGCGCCCAGCAATCTCCCTCGAACGACCTCCTCTGGTCGCCCTCCACCCACCCACAGCCTACCTTGTCCTTCACTTTCTCTGGCATTTTCTGGGTCATGGGTGTGGCAATGAACCCTGGGAGGACGGAGTTACATCGGATCCCATGTCTGCGGGAGGAAGAACGGATGCCGACCCCGGGGGAGGAACACTGACTTCCCTCCCCTCCCTCCGCAGGGTGCCTTCGGTCTGACCCACCGTGCAAGCTCGCGCGCCGCCGTCTGGGTGAGCCCAATCACGCCCGCTTTGGAGGACGCATAATTTGTCTGTCCAATATTCCCCACCTGGGGGTGGGGGGGCGGTGAGTCAGAGACCCAGGGGTGAGTCAGGAGTCTCCAAGGGAGTCGTTTCCCAGGACCCACGTGGCTTCGACTCAACCTGACCTTTCCAATGATGCTACTGATATTGATGATGGAGCCGCGACAGCCGCTGGACACCATAGCCTGCGCTGCAGCCTGAGTGACCAGGAAGGTGCCCTGGACGAGAGGGTAACAAGGCTACTAGCAGGATCCGCTAGGGGTGGCCGCCCTCCTGCGAGCCCTCCCCCGGGCTGGGGGGCGGGCGCGAGCCACGGGTTCCGAGGTCAGCACCTTGAGGTTGACAGCTATGACTCGGTCCCAGTCTTCCTCTGACATGTGGAGCAGAAACTCATCGCGGGTGATGCCTGCGCAGGACACAACGACAGATGGCGGGCGAGAAAAGCAGGCCTGTGGGTGGGTGGGGGGGGAGCGAAGGGGGGACCGCTGACACCAAAGACCACAAAGGGCCGGGCCGAGGCTCGGCGGCGGCGGAGGCGGAGGAGGCGGCGGCGGCGCGGGGGCCTGGTTCACCTGCACTTGCTCCAGCAGGCGCCGGGCCGCGGGGGCCTGCGACACGTCCGCCTGGAAGGCGGCGTGCTTCCCGCGCGGAGCCCCGTCCTCGCTCCCCGGGACGCCCAGCAGACGCACGGTGTCCTCTGCCGCTGCCCCGTCCAGGTCGCAGGCGGCCACGGCGGCGCCCTCTCCCGCCAGGCGCACGCTGATCGCACGGCCGATGCCGCTACCGGCACCTGGGAGTCGGCGGTGGCGGGAGGAGACGGGCGGAGGTCAGGGGTCACGGGGCGCAAAGTTACTGAGAGTCGGACTAGACGGCCGGGGACCCCGGGGATGGACCCCCACCCCCCGCTGACGTGGTCCCCAAACCCCAGCCCGCCCCGGGACGGGGGAACCCCTGAACCTGTGACCAGGGCCAGCGCGGAGCGGAGCCGGAGCTGAGACGCCATGGCTGCTGGGGGCGGGCGGGGCCCTGAGCCCCCGCCAATCGGAGCACACCGGGGGCGTGACCAGGGCCGACCCGGCCCAATGGGAGCCCCTTAGTCTATAGTGACAGCCACCAGCCCGGGCGACCTCCCACTGCGGGGCGTGGCCACCCACCACCCCTTGGGGACCTGGAGAGTCCGCAGGGCAAGGGGCCCGGCTCCCCCCCAAAAACAAAGACTGCACGAGGGACAGAAGATCCAAGTACTTTATTTCTGGTCACCGTTCCTCCCGCCCATTCAAACAGTGATATAAAAGGGATAGAACAAAGATAAATCAGGTCGTGAGACTTTCCAAGGAGCACTCTCCCACCCCGCTTCTTCCAAATCAGGACACACGATTGATGTCGACCCCACTCCTTCTGCAGGGTCTTCCCTGAAGTCACCACTAACCAGTTCAGAGGGAGAGGGACCTCGGAGGGGCTACGGCCACCCCAGTCTTCCTCGTGGTCCCATTTATCTCCCCGAAACCAACAATACTGTTGGGCAGCGCCCCACACTTTGGCCCCTCTGACCTCTCACGCTCTGTGTGACTGTCATACCTCAAAGGCCCCCATTACCAAAGACATCATTCTCCAAGGCTAAAACTCCCTCCTTCCTCTGGGGAGCAACACCGGCCACGCCTCCCCACCGTCTATCTGGGAGTTAGGCAGGGGTGGAGAAGGACAGACTACCCCACCCTCACTCGAGGTGGGCAATCAGCACCATCATGACGACCCCCCCCAGCAGCCCCAGCACCTCCAAAAGTGACTGCAATGGGGACGCCTCTCTCAACAGCTCGGGCAGCACGGACACCGTTGCCACGTAGATAAAGCCACCTGCAGTGAAGGGCAGCACCCAGCCAGGACCTGCCCCACCTGCCACCTCACTGCCCACTGCCCCTCCTTCGGTGACAAGGGCACACGCCGTGCCTGCCAGTGCCCCCACGGCCGTCAGGAGCTGGAGACGCATCGCCTGGTGGGCAGAGAAAGAGAAAGACACAATCACCAACAGCCAAGGGTCAGGTGTCCACGTTTTCGGGGAGGCGGGGGACACGGCTCTCCTTGCTGCACCAAGCATGAGGTCAGACACCTGGATCCCAGGCACCAGCACAGAAAGGCCTGGGCGTGGAGGATGCTTGCAATCCCAGCACCAGGAAGCAGAGGCAGGCAGCTGTCTGGGGCTCCCTGGCCGGCGGGCAGCCTAGTCGAGGAGGCTCTGCCTGAGGAACCACACCCAAGACCCCCAGCTCCCTAAAGGAGCCAGGAAAAACAGGTCGGGGAGCACTAGACAATCCAGGCCCTCCCAGGCTGTGCCCGTGTCCTGTACCCATGCGAGGTCACAGTGCAGCGACACAGAGCACGGGCAGAGGAAACAACCCCGCCCCGTCTAAAGGCTTGGTGGCGGCGGCACAGCTTGGGAGGAGCCCGCAGGCAGGCAGCTGGCACCAACCTGCTTTTTGCTGCAGCCAGACTGGACCAAGATGGCGAAGTCCCCGACCTCGTGAGGCACTTCATGCAGCAGGACTGTCATTGTGGTCAGGATCCCCAGGCCTCGGCCCCCACGAAAGGAAGCGCCGATGGCCAAGCCGTCTGTGAAGTTGTGCGCCAGGTCAGCAGCCAGGTTCAGGTACCCAGACACCCGCAGGTCTTTTGCACAGAGAGAGGAGACAGAAATGATTGAAGGCCGCCACCGCCGCCACGGGGTCCTGGTGTCGCCTGGGGGTTTTCTAGACAGAGCCATCCATCACCTCCTGCACACGTTCTGTGAAAATTCAGCCATCCCACCCACACTCGTCCCGTACCTGAACCGGGCTTTTCCTCCTCTTCTTCAGGGTCCTGAGGTTTCGCTGGCCCATCCCTGGACCCCGCGCTTCCCCCTCTCCTTTTCCTCAAAACCCCCGGCTCCTTTTCTTCCTCCGAGCTGGGCTTTTCCTTTGGGGCGCACTCTGAGGAGGGAGGGGAGAGCAGGCCGTCAGAGCGAGGGAGGGCAGAGCCTCTGCTGCGTCCTCCACCGGAAGCCCGCTCCACCGCGGGAGCCCGAATGCTTTCCGCGGCAGGCGAGGAGGCGGGGCGCACTCACCCTGTCTCCCGTGGGCATGGCTTCCGTGCGTGTGGCCGTGCGCGTGGCCGTGTCCCCCTTTCACGTGTCTAACAAACTTCTCCACCACGAGGAAGGCGACGATCCCACTGAGGACCCAGAGCCCCACAGAGAGGATGGGGCCCTGGCCTGGGAGCAGAGGCATTGAGGCATGAAGGGGAGGCGCAGACCCTGGGCTCCTCCTCCGGTGTGAGGCGGACGGACGGCGGGGGACTGACCGTTCCCGGCATCCCGTCCCTGGGGTCCCACCAATTTCTCACCGCTGTGCGAGTGTCCGTGTCCATGCTGCTGCTGCTGCTGCTGTGTGTGGTGGGAATGCGGCTCTGCGGAGGGAGGGGAGGCAGAAAGAAAAGGGGGAGGAGTGGGTGGATGCAGGCGTGAATCTGAGGACCCCTGGGGAAACCCGGGAAGGCGTCTTAGGCTTAAGCTTTGCGGTGGGTGGCGCGGAGGTTACTCACCGAGAGCGTGCGGGATGAGGTGCAGGAAGGCGTCCCCCAGGAGCCCCCCGGAGGCAAAACTGAGCAAGATCTGGAGCAGGGAGCGATGCCTGGGCGAGTTGGACTCCACTGGGATGAGGAAGAGCACCAAGAACGGAGCCGCGGAGATGAGCACCGTGGCCCCCAGCGCCTGGCGAGCGTGGGGGAAGAGGCACGGGTCAAACACCGAGCTCCCCCAACTGACTTGGGAACCGGTCCCTCTTCCCCTTTCCCCCCCGGGGAGAAGGGGACGGACTCACATAGGCCCAGAGGGTGACGGTGTCCAGATGGTGCTTGGCGCCTGGAGCCCCAGTCTCCCTAGGGGCTCCGTGCCCGTGCCCACTGCCGTGGAGGCCGTCGTGGGAGTGGCCGTGGTGCAAACCCTCGTGCGGATGCCCGCCGTCGTGGCTGTGGGCGGGCCCGTGCCAGATGCTCTCGTGAGTGTGCCCGTGGCCGTGGGCATGGCTGTGTCCGCGGTGGAAATCCTCGTGTGAGTGCCCGTGGCCGTGGGCATGGCTGTGTCCGCGGTGGAAATCCTCGTGTGAGTGCCCGTGCCCGTGGCCAGGGAAGTCCTCCTCCTCCTCCACTCCCGCGTCTTGGTGCGGGTCACCGTGACCCCCGTGCCCGGACACCAGCAGCCCCAAAGCCGCCCCGGCCAGCAGCCCCACGGCTACCCAGTGCGGGGCCCGGAGGAGGCCCCCGGCCATCGCGATGACCCAAGGGGGACAGAGACGACAGCCCTGCTTGGCTCCCAGCTCCACCTGCGCCCTTCGACCACCTCGGCGGCTGGCTGGCTGGCCCCCCTTACATGTGTCCCCCCCTGGCGGGAATCTCTTCTCGCTCCCCGGACCCGATCCCCCTCCCTTCCCCCGGACCGACACCGCTCTAGCCTGCGATCCGCAACGTCACGGCCTCTCTGGGCCCTCGTCTCTATGACCCGCTCGCTGGCGGAGGGGAGAAAGCCCGCCGAGCACCGTCGGGGAGCAGCAGGGGGGCGGCTCACCGGCTCCGGGATGTATCACCACCCCACCCCCCTCTCTCTCGGTCCTCGGCGCGCTGCTGGGACGTGGCACTCACACGCCTCGAGCTCCCGCGAGATCAGGAAGTTCCTCTTTTTTTTTTTTTCCTTTTCAGTGCCAGCATTCCCCCCGCTACCTTTACCAACATGGCGTCGGCGCGGCCGTGCCGCCGGCACGCGCACGCGCACAGCCCGGGGTCATCCCAGGGCAGGGCCGGCCCGGGGCGAGGGCGCTGACTGACGGACGGGCGGAGGGCCCGCCTCCTCTGCGTGCCCCGCCCACCACCACCACCCCTCGGCCAGGGGGCGGGGCCTCGCGGGAGACTTCCCGTCTGCACCAAGATGGCGGCCGCGGCGGCGCCGTCACGGCCTGGCCGGGCCGAGCGGGGCGCCTGAGCCGCGCTGCCTGCCGCAGCTCCCCCGAGCCCTCGCGGCTCCCCCTCGGGTGGTCATCCCCCCCACCCCCGCCGCCTCCCGCTCAGCCCCTTCGCGCGCGCCTCCCCCACCCCACCCCGCCCCGGCGTCATGTCTTGGGCGGCTCGCCCGCCCTTCCTCCCGCCGCGGCATGCCGCGGGGCAGTGTGGGCCGGTGGGGGTGCGGAAAGAGATGCATTGTGGGGTCGCGTCCCGGTGGCGGCGGCGGCGGCCCTGGCTGGATCCCGCGGCGGCGGCGGCGGCGGCGGCGACCGCGACCGGAGAGCAGCAAAGCCCGGAGCCGGAGGCGGAGCCGGAGCCGGGGGGAGGCTGGCCGGGACGGGATGGGCGACAGCGGGCGGGGTGAGTGTCCCGCGGGTCCCCGCCGGCGGCCCCCGTCCCCGTCCCCGCGCCCCCGCCCCCTTGTTTGTAAACACATCGCGCCCTCCCCCGGGGCGGGGCGCGGCGCGGCGGGGGAGCTTCCGCCCTGCAGGTGCGGCGGCCGCGCCGGGCGAGCGTGCGAGCCACCGGGGCGTGGGGAGGACCCGGGGCGTCCGAAGGCCGAGCCTGCTGCGCCCCGGGGGCCCGGGTGTCTCCTCCGCGCTCCCCGTGTGCTGAGTTGGGGACGAGGGCTTCCCTGGTCCACCCCCCCACCCCACGTGTTTCTCCATCCTCCCCCTCCCCCTCGAGGTCAGTTTGGGGGTGACCCGGTAGTCTCCGCCGGAACCGCCTGGTCCCCCCCACCCCCTTCGCTCGCGATTCCTGGGAGTGCAATTGTCGTTTTGGCACCTCAGCGTTTCCTAACTCTCGGGGGGCTGTGGGCTGTGTGGCGTGGGGTCGGGGAGAATTAAAAAGTGTCCGTTTCGGATGATGCACAGACTCAACTCTCGTCTTCCGGTCTCTCCCGTCTCTGTGTGTCTGCCCGTGTGTGTCCCCCGCCTCTCAGATTCCCGAAGCCCAGACAGCTCCTCCCCCAACCCCCTCTCCCAGGGGATCCCGCCGTCGCCTCCCCCCTGGCCCACCTCTCACCCCTTCGGGACCTCCGCCTCCAATGCCACCCCCTCCGCTGGGCTCCCCGTTCCCAGTCATCAGCTCTTCCATGGGGTCCCCTGGTCTGCCCCCTCCGGCTCCCCCAGGATTCTCCGGGCCCGTCAGCAGCCCTCAGGTGAGAGGTTGCCACCTGCTTATCGCCTCTCCCTCCGCTCGCTCTCACTTCCTGGTCTCCTAGCAGGCCCGGAGGCCTCAGACCCCCTTGCTCTGCCTCGAGTAAACTCTTGTTTTGGTGCGTGCTTCTCCCTAGCCCTATTCTCAAAACAAAACAAAAAACTCGAAGCCCAAAGGGAGTGTTATCTGTGATGTCCTCTGCAACTCACAGTGACTTGCTGCCCTTGCAAGACGTGTGCCCTCCGGGGCCGCCGCGTCACACAGTTGCGGAAGGGTGGATGGATGTCCATTCTCGGGGTTACACTCCCGGGAAGGCCTTGACATTAGAGCACAGTGTCGCTAGTACCCTCTGCCATGGGCAGTCGTAGGGGGCCTGCTTAGAGGTAGGGAACGGTTTCCTCCCGTGATTTCCGTGTTTCCTCCCATCCCAGATTAACTCCACAGTGTCGCTCCCTGGGGGTGGGTCTGGCCCCCCCGAAGATGTGAAGCCACCGGTCCTGGGGGTCCGGGGCCTGCACTGCCCACCCCCTCCCGGTGGCCCCGGGGCTGGCAAACGTCTCTGTGCAATCTGCGGGGACCGGAGCTCAGGTATGGGGCTCCGCACAGGTGCAGGGGAGGAGAGGGTGTGCGCTGCTTGCCACTGCCCGTGCGTGCGTGCGTGGGTGGGGCGCCCGTGGGACCTCAGAGCCGTTATCAGACGCAGGGAAAGGGACTCGGCACAGGGGCTCTGGTGGCCGAGGAGTAGACTGGGTTATCTGTCAGCTTCGGCGCGATGCTCTGTGTCTGGGGAGGATTTAGACTTTGTTCCCCCTGTGTGCCGGTTGTCGAGGGACTCGGTAACGGGCCGTCTCCCTGCCACGCTTCCCCCTGTAGGCAAGCACTACGGAGTTTACAGCTGTGAGGGCTGCAAGGGGTTCTTCAAACGCACCATTCGGAAGGACCTGACCTACTCCTGCCGCGATAACAAAGACTGCACGGTGGACAAGCGCCAGAGGAACCGCTGTCAGTACTGCCGCTACCAGAAGTGCCTGGCCACTGGCATGAAGAGGGAGGGTAAGGACTGCCCCGCCCGGCCTGCGGGCACAAGCCCTTCTCACACCCTGCGGGAGAGCCCAGTGGAGGAATGGGACTATCTACAGGAGGGAAATCCCTCCCTCCCTCCCTCCCTCCCTCCCTCCCTCCCTCCCTCCCTCCCTCCCTCCCTCCCTCCCTCCCTCCCTCCCTCCCTCTCTCTCTCTGTCTGTCTCTCTCTCTGTGTCTCTGTCTCTCTCTCTCTCACACACACACCCCTTCCCTCCCACCCTCCAGGGAGCGAAATTTTTTTCTTTTACCTGTCCTCGGCTTGGTCCTGGGTACCTCGCTGTGTCTCCGAGTTTCTATCTTAACAGTTGCTCCTCGGGGTTAACCCTGTGACGCTGTGGGCTCTCCCAGTGTGCTTTGATCTTACCCAAGACGGGCCTCTGTTCTCTCGTCTCCTCTTCACACAGCACCTGTCTCCGTTTGATCCCCTGTCCTCTCTCCGGTCTCCCGGAATCACCGAAGAGGTCAGGTCTTGGCCTGTCTCTTCTCCGTCTCTAAGTAGACCCCCATCCCCGGAATTCTAGGAGACACTTTAGGGCTTATTTTAGTCCGATCCCCGCTTTAAAGAACAGGAATCTTGGCTTCCCCAAGGTCACAGCAGCAGCGTGGCAGGACTGGACTCAGAACACATACCTCCAGAGACCTGGGCCAGGGTCATCAGTGTCATCAAGACCTGGGCCAGGGTCATCAGTGTCATCAAGACCTGGGCCAGGGTCATCAGTGTCATCAAGACCTGGGCCAGGGTCATCAGTGTCATTAAGACCTGGGCCAGGGTCATCAGTGTCATCAAGACCTGGGCCAGGGTCATCAGTGTCATCAAGACCTGGGCCAGGGTCATCAGTGTCATCAAGACCTGGGCCAGGGTCATCAGTGTCATCAAGACCTGGGCCAGGGTCATCAGTGTCGTGGCATCCATCGTCCTGAGTCAGCAGAGCATAGGGGTTGCTGTCAGGCATGCCTGGAGTCAGTCGTGGAACTGGCCGTATATTGTGTGAATTTAGGGGGCTATTTAATGTCTTTAACCTCAGCTTCCTCATCCTTAAACGTGGGGGCAGGAACCCACAAGGCCATAAGACACCCCAGTGCATGTCAAAGCACGTCAGCATTTTTTTTTAGCATATCATGTACCCTTTTTTTGTTTTTGTTTTTGAGACAGGGTTTCTCTGTGGCTTTGGAGGCTGTCCTGGAACTCGCTCGGTAGTCCAGGCTGGTCTCGAACTCACAGAGATCCGCCTGCCTCTGCCTCCCGAGTGCTGGGATTAAAGGTGTGCGCCACCAACGCCCGGCTACCCTATTTTTTTCAATTCATTTATTTATTATATGCATAGTGTTTTGCCTGCATAGACACCTACATGACAGAAGAGGGCACCAGATCTCATTACAGATGGCTGTGAGCCACTATGTGACTTGCAGGGAATTGAACTCAGGTTCTCTGGAAGAGCAGCCAAGGCTCTTAACCTCTGAGCCGTCTCTCCAGCCCAGTCAGCCCTATTTAAAGGCAGATTCTTCTCTGATTCTTTCACCCTTCCATTACCAGCTGGACCCGCTTATCTGCCTATTTATTTACTTACCCGTGTATCCATTTGTGGTGATGGGGTCTTGTGCGAGCTTGGCGGTTGCTCTGGGGGGGCCACCCCAGTCTCTAACCGTCTCTAGTTGCTGTGTCTCCCAAGGGACATCAGTCAGACTCACAGTTGGCGTCTGACTTGGCACCTCCCCCTCCTTCTTACCCCCCCCCCCCACAGCGGTCCAGGAGGAGCGGCAGCGGGGCAAAGACAAAGACGGGGATGGGGACGGGGCTGGGGGCGCCCCCGAGGAGATGCCGGTGGACAGGATCCTGGAGGCAGAGCTCGCCGTGGAGCAGAAGAGTGACCAAGGCGTTGAGGGTCCCGGGGGCACCGGGGGGAGCGGCAGCAGCGTGAGTGTGGGGTCGATCCCTCCTCCCTCGGGTGGGGGCTGGGGAAGGAGTCCAGGCGTGACCCCCGTACTGGAAGGCCTCTCCCTGTCTGAGGCGAGTCCGGCGTGGCGGCGCTCGCCTATAATCCAGCACTCGGGAGGCCGGGAGGCAGGTGGATCTCCAAAGTGTGTTCAAGGCCAGCCTGGTCTACATAGCGAGTTCCGGGCCGGCCGGGACCACGCAGCAGCGAGACCCTGTCTCAGGAGTCTGTCTCTGATGTGGGGTGACTGCGCCCTCGCCTCTGCTCCCACCGCCCCCACGGGAAAGTCCAGAGCAGAGAGGAGTCTGAATGAGTTACAGAGACGGGTTCCGACGGGGCCTGAAGGGATAAAGCGGGGTGTCAAAGCCTCCGCCAAGGAAGGTGTCTCCACCCTTCCCGTGCACCTCCTGGTCTCTGCAGCCAAATGACCCAGTGACTAACATCTGCCAGGCGGCTGACAGACAGCTGTTCACGCTCGTTGAGTGGGCGAAGAGGATCCCACACTTCTCCTCCCTGCCCCTGGATGACCAGGTCATACTGCTGCGGGCAGGTCAGTGACCCTGTGACCCCTCTGTGTCCTCCTGACCTTCGGGGACCCTAGTAGCCTCCCTTCTCTTGCATGATCAGGGAGCTTGCCCGCTATTTTCTCTGTGGCCTGGGCCCCGCCCCGCGGCCTGGTGTCTGGCTGCTGACCCTTGGCGCACTCTGGCCCCTAGGCTGGAACGAGCTCCTCATTGCCTCCTTCTCCCATCGGTCCATCGATGTCCGAGATGGCATCCTCCTGGCCACGGGTCTTCATGTGCACAGAAACTCAGCCCATTCCGCAGGCGTGGGAGCCATCTTTGATCGGTCAGTGGCCCTTGGCCAGGCTGTCCTGTAGCTAGAAGGGGTGGGGCTACAGGCTGGTCCGTGTCCAAGGCTGGCTGAGCTGTGACCTTTGAGTGACCTGCAGGTCCCTCTCCAGGGTGCTGACAGAGCTAGTGTCCAAAATGCGTGACATGAGGATGGACAAGACAGAGCTTGGCTGCCTGCGGGCAATCATTCTGTTCAATCCAGGTAAGAGGAGGCCGCCCAGCCTCTCGGCCCAAGGCAGCCAGCCCTGCCCGGCTGGAGTCCCCTTTTCTCCAACAGCGTCTCTCCCCACCCCCAGTAAGACCCGCAGCCCACACGTCTCTTAACTAACCCCCCCAAAAAACATTCACTGATACCTCCCCTTCTGGCCGGGCTGCACAAACCCAAGGGGCCTCACTTCCCTGAGGGGCATCGCCCTGAGGGCCCCGCTGCATGTCTGTCCCGACCTGACTCACCTGCCCTCCTCCCCTGGCTCTCCCCCTTCTACCATCCCAGATGCCAAGGGCCTCTCCAACCCCGGAGAGGTGGAGGTCCTGCGGGAGAAGGTGTACGCGTCCCTGGAGACCTACTGCAAGCAGAAGTACCCGGAGCAGCAGGGCCGGTGAGAGGAGGGGCTTCAGGGCTGCGGCCCACAGAGAGTGCCAGGCTGCAGTGTGTCCAGGAGGGGCTTCAGGGCTGCGGCCCTCTGGGCGAGGGCCTGATGGGTGCCTGCTCTCACTCCCTCCCGCCCCACCCCAGGTTCGCCAAGCTGCTGCTGCGTCTTCCGGCCCTGCGCTCCATCGGCCTCAAGTGTCTGGAGCACCTGTTCTTCTTCAAGCTCATCGGCGACACCCCCATTGACACCTTCCTCATGGAGATGCTCGAGGCTCCCCACCAGCTGGCCTGAACTCAGACTCACGCGTGCGTGCGTGTGTGCGTGCGCCCCTCAGCTGTGGGGAGTGCCACCTCCGTGGGAGAGGGCTCGAGCCTGGGCAGGGTGGGAGGGGCCGAGGGCCCAACCAGAGCCGTGGGCAGATGGCGCCCAGAGGAGGAGGGCAGCCTGCAAGGAACCTGGTGACCCTGAGCAGCGTTTGCCTGGTCTCCACGTCGGAAGGGACCCCAGATCCCTTTGACGACCACATGTCTACCTTCAGTGGCCTTGAGTCTCTGAATTTGCCGGGGTCTCCCTGACGTGGGCGATTCTCACCCTGGCTCCCCCAGCACAAAGCACTGGCCCTGCTCCCTGCGCGCGGGGACCCCGCGCCCTTCTCAAGAGTGGACTGGAGCTCCTCTGGAAAGGGTGTCGAGGGGCAGGCCCCCCCAAGCTGATGGCCCTTCATCCCCCCAACTTGACAGAGGGGGGGCAGAGGGAGGGCGCCCGCCTCCGCCTGTCAGCCCCCTTCATGCAGCTCCTGCAGTCAGACTGACGAATAAAGGGTATGGTGAAGGGGCCGATGGAGATGGAGGAGCTGACGGCTATTTTTAATTTCCTTGAGGAGAGACTGGGAGTTAGACTCAAAGAAGTACTGTACATCCCCGGGTTGACGTCAGTGCCACGGCTGGAGGCGGCCTGTGGGCAAGGAGGCCCCTCGGGTGGTCTGTCCCTGTGGCTGACTCCCTCACCTGGAAGGGGTCTGGGCTGTGACCGGGCCGCTGATTTGGGTGGCGCTGTCCCTGCTCCTCAGCACACAGGCTGTGGGGGTGGCCTGCTTTCAGAGATGGGTGCTGGGCTGCATGGTTTTAGCCCCGGGTCTCTTGGGGGTCCCTCCCCCCTCTCACACATAAACTCGCCTTCCAGTTAAAGTAGCCGTTTTATGGACTGAGGTGACTGGGCGGCGGGCACCGTGGCATCGGCTAGGTGTAGGGATATTGGGTGAGAAACACTGCCTTGCTCCCTGGGCTCCCTGGGGCTGCAGAGGCAGCGCAGGGGGGGGGGGACACAAGGCGCGCTTTGTCGGGAGGGGGAGAGGGTGTGCCAGGGCGGGGGCGGGGCTGCCCACGGAGGAGGGAGGCGGCTGCTTCTCAAAGGCGCCTTGTTCGCGATGCCCTCCCCGCCAGCGGGCGGTGTCTCCTCTCTCCAGCTTTCTCCCGGCTGCGCCGCAGGCTCCGGGCAGACCCGGCGCCGTGCCCACACGGAGGGGTGCGCTGGTCTCCACACGCCCCTCCTGGAGCGGCCACGTCCCCGAGTGACCCTTTAGCCAGACCCTTGTAGCAGCATCGCTTGTCCCCTGGTCACAGTCCTGTGCCCCTTTTCACTGTTTTACCCAGTCCAGTATTTCTATCTCCTTGGGCGGTTAGCCAGCTTGCCCATCTCTGGCCGAAGCGAGGCGACCCCACGCCCCCCCACGTTTGGGTCGCTATCTATAGCCGGGTCTATAAACACCCCGCCCAGGGTTGCTCTGTAATTACATGGGGCGGGATGGAGGAGGTAATTACGGAGACCTGATTACGAGTGGGCGTGGGGCGGTCGCCTGTAGTCCCGCCCCTTATGTCCCACTGTGCCCCGAGTCCCTCCCCGGACTCTACAGAGGGGCTCTGGGTCCCCAAGGGCGGGGGTCCGTAGGATGTGTGACCGGACCATGGGGTCCTAAAAAGGAAGGCCTAGAGAAGATACCTTGTGTTCCCCCAAAGACAATCCTAGGGCGCACACAGGCCACCTAATCCCTCCAGGAGTAGGAGTGCACGGTTCCAGGGCCAGCGAGTGAGGAGCGGTTCTCGCCCCCACACTCCCCTGCCCAGGTGGAGATCGGGGGTGGGGTTTCCCCTTGGTGGCTGTGGGCGGGCAGCTAGAGGCGGGGGCCGGACCTAGGGGCGGGGGCGAGCTGGGGTCTCTGAGCTGCCAGGGTGGCCAGGGGCACACAGTAGCGGCCACCGAGGAGCAAGCAGCAGTGACAAGCGGAGGTACCCCCAACAGCATCTTGCTGCATGGACCTGGCCGCCGAGAGCTGCTGACATCCCTGGGTCCTGGTTCCAAGGCTCAGCACGCTCTGTCTACCGTCGGCACCAGGGCTGTCTGGGTCTCGGACCCGGCATTCTGAGCCATGGAGCGGGGCAGCGGCTGCCACCGCCTCCTACTACTCCTACCTCTGGTGCTGGGGCTGAGTGCTGCCCCGGGATGGGCAGGTAAGAGGAGTCCTGCCTGGGTGTCAGTCGGCTGGAGGTTGGAGCATCTGCCTGGAAGGGACCACAGATACCTAGAGTAGGAGTGTCTGAGTCTTAAGAAAGGGATTTGGGGTGACCAGGGTTTAGGATGAAGGATGAACACTTGAGTTCCTTGAAGCCAATATGGGACTGTCTTCCTCCTTGAAATGACCGGTGGAGGGCAGGTAATGCCACCGGATGGGGACCACAGCCCAGAGCCTGAGCAAGTTGGGCTCTTGGCTTGGGTCCCTAGAAAGACCCGAGGATGCCCAAAGCCAGTCTTGTCCAGGCTTTGCTGATGTCGAGGCAGTGAATACCAGGGCTGATGGGTAAGGGGATCAGGACAGACATGTGTAGGTCAGAGCCTAGGAGGCTACCTTCACCATCCGGTCCTGTTTGGGTCCCCCACCCCCTCCCTGTGCCCTGGATGCTGCCACGCGGCTGGCTCTAGGGAGCACCGGGGCTGGCTGCCAACAGGACGGCCGCTGGACAGGCCAGGATCAGGTGTCCGAGGCCAGAGCCGACTCTTTGCATTCCTGCCCCTCCCCTCCCCCTCCGGCCAGCCCGACTCCTCTGGGACCCTGGTGTCCACAGGTCCAATCTTTCCCCGTTTTCTCCCCCAGAGGGGAAAGGCTCCTAGAAAAAAGGGTTTGGTGTCAGAGTAGAGTCTGGGAGTTGCGGGTCCAAGCAGGAGAGAATGAGCTCCTCTCTCCCAGAATGGGGGGGGGGGGGGAGGCAGGAGCTGACTTTGTATATATCTCCATTATTCATGTTTTCTCTTCTCTGGGGAGAAAATATGCAGAGTGACAGTGTAAGGGATATAGATTAGACCAAAGAAATAACAGAGGAAAAAAATGAAGTGCAGGGGACTGACCAAGATAACTGTCTCTTATTTGGGAGCTGAGTGGGTGGAGGAGGGAGTCCAGGGAGATGGGCGACTAAGAATTCCTGAGGACAGGCATTTGGGGGCTCAGGGCAATTGGTGGGGTGCCAACGGGTCTGAGGCAGTGGGGTTAGTATGTGGCTTGAGGGGGGCGGGCTGTGGGCATGGTGCGGAACTGTCCTCCACTGGGCCTTGGTGGAGGGTGGGGATCTCCAAGGTCTCCTTGGCCTGGGGAGGGTGGGTGTCTCTGTGAGTCTCTGTGTCTCGGTCTCCCTCACCTTCCTCTCTCAAAGCTGCCCTTGTGTGTCAGTGTTTGCAGAGCCGCCACACTTGGGGGCCAGGCTCCTCAGGGGCGGGGGAAGGTCGCGGTTTCCTCAGCTCCTGGACTCAAAGGGCCTTTTCTCTCCTGCCCACCCCACCTCATCCACCCCGCCCAGCTCTGCTCTCCTGACTGCCCTGGCCCTCTGCCCCGCCCCACGCCTCTACCAACACTCAAGAGCCCCCTCTGTGGGAGCTCTCAGCCGCGGGTGGTGTGAGACCAGGGAGTTTGGGCCCCGGAAGCCGAAATCCAAGGAGACCTGGCAGACTTGAGATGGTGGGGGATGGAAGGGCAGGACCGAGGGTCCAGGTGTGGGGAGCCTGCCCGGGGTTTGGGCAAGAACTCTGATGGCATCCACAGATGTGTGGCTCGGGGCCCTGGCCCCGCTCCTGTTCTGCGTGGCAGCTTCAGCTCCCCCCCCCCCAGTCATCCCCAAACCTATTCACCAAGCCTGGGGGCAGAGGCGTCTGGGGTCGCCCTGTTCTTCCATCCCCTTCCTTAGTCCAGTCAGAGCTGCCCTGCCCCCATCCCAACCCAGACTTGAGCGGCAGCGGCGGGAAGACCCCTCTCAACACGGCCGCCCCTCTGGCCTCCCTGTGCCCAGGATGATCGATCGCCCAGATGTTGTTTGTGCTAGAGACCAAGCAGATGATGCCAGGAAGCCAGGAACCGGGAGATACAGAGAGGGAGGGAGAGAGAAAAGGATGGGCAGGGCGTGGGGGGAGAAGGGAAAGCAGAAGAGGGATGGGGGGTCCGACAGGTGTACACGCAGGAGCGCAGGGGCAGAGAGGGAAGGGGAGGCGGGGGGGGGGCAGGAGATGACAGTGAGAGGTCTTAACTGAGATTCACAGCTTAGAGGCAGCGCGCGTGCGCACGCGCTCTGAGGCCCAGATGCCCCGAGAGGGAGGGCACGAGAGCGTGGAGTTGCTCGCCAGCCAGGGCTAGCAGCACAGCCGCCGCCACTCTGGGTCACTTTGCTTCCCATCCCGGATAGGGCCCTTTCAGAGCGTAAGGGGGACTGAATAGGAGGAGAACTGGGTGTTCCCTATTGAGGCACGCTCTGCTCTGCGCCCTGACTCTCCCAGGTGCACCCTCTGTGGATTTACTGCGCGCCCTGAGGTTCCCCTCCCTTCCTGATGGTGTCCGGAAATCAAAAGGGCTCTGCCCGTCTGATGTGGCCTACCGCGTGTCACGACCCGCCCAGCTCAGCGCGCCCACCCGCCAGCTCTTCCCAGGTTTGGGCAGTGAGATGGGGAGGGGGGAGGTGAAGTTTGGGGGGTCTCTTCACCTCTCACTCCATCTGTGTGTATGTCTCTCTCTCTCTCCCCGGGGCACCAGGAGGCTTCCCCAGAGATTTCTCCCTGGTGACCGTCGTCCGGACCCGCCCTGGCCTCCAGGCTCCCCTCTTGACCCTATATAGTGTACAGGGGGTCCAGCAGCTGGGCCTCGAGCTCGGCCGCCCCGTCCGCTTCCTGTATGAGGACCAGAGGGGACGGCCACAAGCCCCCTCTCAGCCCGTTTTCCGAGGCCTCAACCTAGCAGATGGCAAGTAAGTTTGTCCCCTTTGGCCTGCCTGACCCATGCTGTCAGCCTCACCCCCCCCAACCCCCACACTAGCCCGCTGCTTGAACTCGTCACTTCTTGATTAGGGTTTGGGTCTCGGAGTCTATGTCTAGGAATGGGAATAAAACGGTACCTGCTGTCCGGGCGTTGGTGACGCCTCACGCATTTAATCCCAGCACTCGGGAGGCAGAGGCGGGCAGGTCTCTGTGAGTTCGAGGCCAGCCTGGTCTACAAGAGCTAGTTCCAGGACAGCCTCCAAAGAGAGAGACAGAGAGAAACCCTGTCTCGAAAAACCAACCAACCAACCAACAAACAAAAAACAAACAAAAACAAGAAAGGTACCTGCTGGCACGCTGGAAGAGGACCTATCTTTTTGAGCCTTAGTTTCTATGTCTATAAGGATCATCACATGCGCCACCCCAACTAGGAAATGGTTGCAGGGTGCCCTCGCTGTAAACACCTGATAAGTGGTAACCCTTGCTTGTAATTCTTTAACGATTTTAGTTTAATTTATGTGTGTGGGTGTTTCGCCTGCATGCCTGCCACCTGTAGATGCCAGAAGATCAGACCCCCCCAGGCAGTAGAGTTACAGGTGATTGTGAGCCACCGTGTGGGTGCCGGGATTTGAGCCCAGGTCCTCTGGAAGAGCAGCCAGTGCTCTTAACCACGGAGCCGCCTCTCCAGCCCCACTGCTGTCTGTTATTTTTTTTAAATCCCGTTATCCTCGCCAGACTCCTCCCTCTACTAGCTGTCTCCCAGCCCTGTTGACTCTCGCCTTCACGTGCATGCGTCAGTCAGTCACGTGAGCGTCTCGCCCCACGGTTAGGTGGCACCGAGTGGCTGTGGCCGTGAAGGGTCAGTCTGTCACCCTCATTGTGGACTGTAAGAAGCGAGTCACCCGGCCCCTCCCCCGAAGTGTGAATCCGGTGCTGGACACCCGCGGGGTGGTGATCTTCGGAGCCCACATCCTGGATGACGAAGTCTTCGAGGTAAGCGCGGCAGCAGACTGAGGAGCGCGGCTTCGGCCCCCGTGTCTCCGAAGCCGCACCTGTGGCTCCAGCCCTCTGTCTTCCCGGGCCGAAGCCTTCATTTTTTCTTCCCAGGATTTTTTAAAATCTCCATTTATGGTCTTCAGGGCTGATTCCCCCCCACAAGGGGCAGCAAGAGGCCGCTTACATAGATACGGTTTATAGCCGTTTACTCGGTGACTCGTTGGTCGCCGCCCGCCATCGAGCTATTCCTTCACGCGTTTGCTTGTTCATTCACGCGCCCCCATCACCAGTCACCCACAGACCACCCCTCTTCATGCGTCCACCACCCACGCATCCACGTGGCCAGCTGACACCACCGGCCTGCCTCGGGATGCACGCACCGGCATACCTGTTCATCCGTTTACACGCCTGACCGTCTACCCCGGCACAACTCCTCCCTCCTCAAACCACTCATCTGCCCGTCTCTTTAACCTGCCCACCATCTATTCATGCCTCCACTCACCCACTTACTCCGTCTACCTATACATACGTGGACACATGTGTATACATACATGGACACACGCATCAGCTTACTCCATCTACTATACATATGTGGACACATGCGTATACATACATGGACTCATGCATATACATACATGGACACACGCATCAGCTCACTCCATCTACCTAGACATACGTGGACACATGTGTATACATACGTGGACACACAGATCAGCTTACTCCATCTACTTATACATATGTGGACACATGCATCAGCTCACTCCATCTACCTAGACATACATGGACACATGCATATACATACATGGACACACACATATACATACGTGGACTCATGCATCAGCTCACTCCGTCTACCTAGGCATACATGGACACATGCATATACATACGTAGACTCATGCATCAGCTCACTTTGTCTACCTATACATACATGGACTCATGCATATACATACATGATCACATGCATATACATACATGGACACACACATCAGCTCACTCCATCTACCTAGACATACATGGACACATGTGTATACATACATGGACTCATGCATATACATACATGGACACACGCATCAGCTCACTCCATCTACCTAGACATACATGGACACATGCGTATACATACATGGACTCATGCATACACATACAAGGACACACACATCAGCTCGCATAGCCACGTATCCCCTACAGCCCGACTGCTCCTGTGCAGGTTCACCCACTCACCGCACCACCACTCCCCTCCAGCCACACGCTTACCGAGTATCAGCCCCTCCATATAGCTGGGCAGCAGTGTGCATCCGTTACTCTGTGCCTCCCGTTCATTTGCCCACAGGCCTGTCCATCCGACCATCTGTCTATCCATCCACCCATCCACCCATCCATCCGTCCATCTGTCCATCCATCAGTCCACCCATCCATCCATCCATCCATCCTTCCATCCATCCACCCATCCATCCATCCGTCCTTCCATCCATCCATCAGTCCACCCACCCATCCATCCATCCGTCCTTCCATCCATCCATCAGTCCATCCATCCATCCACCCATCCATCCATCCGTCCATCCATCCATCCACCCATTCATCCATCCATCAGTCCATCCATCCATCCACCCATCCATCCATCCATCTGTCCATCCATCAGTCCACCCATCCACCATCCATCTTTCCATCCATCCACCCATCCATCCATCCATCCATCCATCCATCCATCCATCCATCCATCTGTCCATCCGTCCGTCCACCCATCCACCATTCTCCTCACTGCCCTTGAACCCCCACTGACCCGCCTCCCTTCCTGCTCTGCCCGTCCATTCACCCATTTCCTCACCCGCCCACACAGCCGGATACCACGTTCTGATCGCCTAGTGGTGAAGGAAGACGCAGGTACGGCAGTGTAAGGTCTCTGTGTGGACTAAGTACTTTGCCACTGAGATTCAGAAGGAGACACATTCTTCGTTTCTAGAGGTCCCTTCCCAGAATTCCCACCGTCGCTGATGCTGTATGGTGAAGGCCCCCAAGGCTGTGCCTGTCTCTATGTGCCCTGCCCGTGTGACCATAGGAGCAGGGAGGAGGTGGCCTTGTTGAGTCTGAAGTTGGAAGGCATGAGTTCTAGTCCTGACCTGGCTCATCATTGCCTTTTTTTTTTTTATTTAAGTTAGAAACAAGTTTGCTTCACACATCAATCCCAGCTCCCCCTCCCCTCCTTCCCCCACCCTCCCCACCAACCCCCTCCCAGTCCTCCACCCAATCTCCACTCCGATCCCCAAGGAGGGTGAGGCCGTCCATGGAGGATCTCCAGAGTCTGTCATTTCATCCAGGGCAGGGCCCTAGGTCCTACCACAAGAGTCCAGGCTGAGAGAGCTTCCCTCATTGTGGGATGGCACTCAAAGTCCATTTGTACGCCAGGGATAAATACTACCCAGCCATCATTGCTTTTTTTTTTTGAGATATGAAATAAAGGGATGAAAGTGCTTGTTCTCCTGACTGTCCTCCTGACTGTTCCCGTTGTCCCTGTAAGCGGGTCGTGACCTCCCATGATACCGCTTAGTCCCAGACCATTGCGTAAGATATAGCTTAGCCGGGCGGGCGTTGCTGGTGCACACCTTTAATCCCAGCACTCGGGAGGCAGAGGCAGGCGAATCTCTGTGAGTTCGAGGCCAGCCTGGTCTACAGAGCGAGTTTCAGGACAGCCTCCAAAACAATACAGAGAAACCCTGTCTCGAAAAACCAAAAAAAAAAAAAAAAAGATATAGCTTATTCAGTCATTCATCACCGGTCCAAATTTGTGTGTTTATTGCCCTGCCCAGTCACCCACAGACAGACAACCCCCTCTTCATGCGCCCGCCACCCATTCATCCACCCGGCCAGCCGACGCCACCGGCCTGCCTCTGGATGTCCGCAGCCTCCTTACCTGCTCATCCGTTTACTCGCCTGACCATCTACCCAGTCGCTTTGTCCCAGGCTATCCCTCTCGCGTCTCTGAGTCCCTCTGTCTGTCTCTAAACCTCTGCTTACGCTGAACTCCGCTCTGGGCTGCTTTTCGCCAAGTGACCACACGTCTGTTGTGGACACCCATCGCCTGCGCCCCTCAGGCTAGCCTCAGCACAACAAGAGCTCTGCTCTGATTTCCCCGGTGTCTTCCCAGTGGAGTGTCCAAGAGAAAACTCAGGGCGGGGAAGATTGAGAAACCGAGGCAGCAGCTGTGTAAGTGCAGGGTGAGGGTAGTCACTACCACAGCAGACACCGTGAAGGCTCCTGTCCCGATCGTTGGAGTACAGTGAAGCCTAACCAAAGGAAGCAGGTGGGAGAGAGTCCCTCTGTCTGTCTGTCTCTCCATCGTTTTTTTTTTTTCTCCCCCCTCCTTATATCTTTGCAGGGCGATGTTCAGGAGCTGGTCATTGTCCCGGGCGTCCAAGCTGCCTATCAGTCCTGTGGACAGAAGGATCTGGAATGTGAGAGGGCACAGCGGGACGCACCTCAGACCCAGAGGCCTCACAGAGCCCAGAGATCCCCGAAGAAGCAGCCGTCAAGGCTCCATAAGCCGCAGAGCCAGGAGCCCCAGCGACAGGTGAGAGCGTTGGGCAAACCGAGACTTCAAGGTTGTGGGGAGGACACTGGGGTTCTCCAGGGCAGGTCCTCCCGCCCTCCCCCCCCCCCCCCCGCCGCCATGTTGCTCCATCCCATCCTCTCCTTAGATTCCCCCATCGTGCCCTCCTCCCCATCCTCAGTCATCAACGCTTTTTATTTTCACTTAAAAATAAAAAGAGTCCTTGTGAAGAACCCCCGGCGGGAGCTATGTGCCCTGCCGTCTTCTTCTTCCTGTCTGCCTCTGGTTTCCCATCCCTTTCTTGAATTAAGAGATTGGAAGACGTTAGGGCACAGGTGAGCCCCGAGGCATGGGGGCAGGAGAAGGAAGCTGAGAAGTGATGGGGGGTGGGGAGTGATGGGAGGGACTAGGGGCAGAGAGAATCTCAAAGGTGGGCGGTCTGGAAGAGTGGGGACAGGGAGCAGAGTCTCTGGCTCTCGCCAAGTGCCTTGGGGAGGGGGGATGATGGGAAGAGGGATGGTCTAGGTTGTGTGTGTGTGTGGGAGGTCTGGGTGGTTGGGTGACAGATGTGTTTTGGGGACAGTGACCTGAAGACCTGGAGGGTCAATCTCTTAATTGTGTCTGCTTCTTTCCACACGGGGAATCCATTTCCTCTCCCACTCTCTCCTTCCTGGCTGTCACTCTCTCCTTCCTCACTGTCACCCTCAACTGTCGCCCTCCAACCCCACACCATCTCCTGAATCTCCCGCCTTCAATTTCCCTATCCCTGTCCCGTCTGTTCCCCTCCCTGCTCCCAGCCCTCTGAGCCTCTCAACTATGACTACGAGCCCCCCTATTACGATGTGATGACTACGGGGACCACCCCCGATTACCAGGTAAACTCGAGGGCCCCCTGCACCTCTCCCCTTTCTCCCAGCACCCCCTGCCAACATCTCTTAGGCTGAGTCCCCCGTCAGCCCCCGTTTCTGGGAGAGACACTAGGTTATGCAGGGTCACCTGCTCACTGCCCACCCCCCATCTCTCCACTGCAGCGTCCTCAGAGCTCCAACCGCAGGGCTCCCCCTTCCCCTAGAGGGCGCCGGACCCCTCCCCGAAAGCCTAACCCTCCTGCCAAGAGGTCCGCAGCCAGGCAGGCGCCCCCCTCACCAGCCAGGAGGCTCTCTCCAGCTGGAGGCTCTGCCAAAGCCCTCGGCCAGCCTCCCCCCTCCCGACGCCCAGCTCCGCGGGCAGCCTCCCCCACTGCCCGGGCCCTCCCCAGGACCAGAGGCAGCAGTTACCGGCAGGTAGAACGGGCATCTAGATCTTTGCCCCCCAACTTACAGACATTGGAGATTGGACTCTCTTCAAACTGTCTTCCTCCAAGGGGCTGCAAGATCTGAGATTTCCCTCCCCCCGCCCCCCCCCCGCCATCCCAGAGCCTACGTGCCGTGGGGACAAGGTTGCTGCTGCCTTGCTTTCTTTTCTGCTAACCTCTCACCCCCCCCACTCCTTCCCTCCTCCCTTGGGGCTAGTACCTCATCCCGGGTGAAGAGGAAGGAGTCTTGGAGTCCAGCCCCTTGCCATTCCTCGAGGAGGTAACTTCATCCGCAACTGTCACCCAGCTGGGGCCCTCCCCAAAGCATCCTAATGAGAACTCCTCCCTGGCCGGGGGGCCTCTTTATGCTCCCACTTAAAGACGTCTCTGGTCACTCCAGACCTGCCCACCTGCTTGTCTACGAGTGGCCCTTCCGGTGTCATCGTTGTCTTCTGACTCTATGTTGGTGTCGAATGAGCTCCCTTTTCCTGTGTCACGTGCCGTCCCTGGGCCCGTTTTTCTGTCCAACATTCTCACTTTTTTCCTTTCTTCTCCTCTCTGTCTATCTTGGGGTCTTAGAGTCCCCTCATCTGTTGTCATGTCCGTGGACCGTCCTGCGTCCAGCCCTCCGGCCACCCTTCGCGTTCTCCAGTATTTCCCCCAGCCACATCCGTTTCCAAACATCCATTTGTTTTGTGGTCAACAGTCTTCCTTTTATCTGGCTCCTCCCCTTGCTCATTTCAGGGGTGGGGGGGGAGAAAACTCCCCAGTCCCAATGACCCTCAGGTTCTTTGGGGGTAGAAGTTGTCAAAGCCGGGGTCAAGAGGATCCCTCCTCTCAGGCCTAACGCGTCCCCCCATCTATCCACTTCTCCACCCCCCCCCCGCCCCATCCTTGGGAAGGAGCAGACAGATCTCCAGGTGCCCCCCCACAGCCGACAGTTTCCAGGCAGAGGAATATGGGGAGGGTGGCACAGACCCAACCACGGGGCTGTACGGTCACACCTATGGCTATGGGGACTACCGTGAGGAGGAGACGGAGCTTGGCCCTGCCCTCTCTGCGGAGACCGCTCACTCAGGAGCCGTAAGTGAGAGCAGCTCCCAGTCCACCCTTCTCCATCAGGGATGGACGGCTTCCTGTTTGATCTTTGTTGGCTGTGAGCTACTCCGGTGGTTGGCTTGTCCTCGTCTCTTTGCACGAGATGCGTGTTGCAGCACTGAGGAAAATCACTCCCTGCTTTCCCTCGCCGAACGTCTTATGCCGTGGGCCTCCTTGGAGGTCCTCTCTGTCTGTGGCAGCTGGACTTTTTGCAATCCCCGGCCACTTCCTCTCTTTTCCCGGCCATGTCCTGTCTAAACGGCGTTTCTAAAGCAGCCGCCACGCGTCCAGAGTGTCCGTCTGTCTCACCCGTCTCCTCTCGCTCGAAACAACCCCGTGTCCATGTTGATGCTGACGTTCCTAACTTCCCATGTGACGTCTTCTAACCTTTGGGGCCTCTTCTGATATCTGGGTTTCCCTGTCTTCTGTGGCCTTGATGTCCCTCTCAGGTGACCTGTGTGAGTCCGGGCTAAGAGGGATTGCTTGTTTGTTTGTGTTCTGGCTTTTCATTGACAATAAGCTGCTTCTTAGATAACCTCAGTAAGGATATCCATTGTGGGCCTGGGTATTTACTGTGCCCATTTCCTGTGTGTCCTAGCCTGGATATTGGTGTTTTTTGTTTTTGTTTTTGTTTTTTTTTTCTGGATCTCTCCTCTCATCCTCTTAGCTCTCTTTGCCAGGGTCACTTTCTACTTGTTTTGTGAATTCCTTTCCTCTCTTGGTCATGGTAGCCATGTTGCTTCTGAGGGTCCACTTCCTGGATTCTTCTTTTCTTCTCTCCAACCACTTCCTGTTTTTCGGCGTGTTTTCTAGCTGTCCTGGCTGTGTTTAATTTTTCTTGGCTCTGGTGTCAGTCTTGCTTCCAAGTGTGTGTCCCTTTGTTCTGTCTCCTTAGTGGCGTCCCGGGTCTTCAAACATCCCTCTCTGTTGCATTGCTTTCCCATGGGCTCCGCCTTGTCCCGCCCTTTGCTGTCAAGGCTGTCCCCTTGCTGCTGCCACTGCTGCTGAACTCTGTTCCTGCTTACCTGGCTCTGCCGCCCTTGCTGCTTTTGGCGTATGCTGCTTTCTGAGTATTTGGGGCTGAGCTGGGATCACTGGGGCGGAGGGGGCAGTTCTGAAAGTCTTTGCTGGGAGAGTCGGGGGTGATAGGAAGTGACTTCCGTCCTCTCTGTCGCTATCTTTGGTCTGGCCTAGAGCTAGGAGTGGGAATCTGGGTGGAAGAGTGGGGAGAGGCTGGTGGACTTGGAGTATAATTGGGGGCAGGGGGAGGGAACTAGGGGACTGTGAGGGTTACATCTGAGGTTTAGGGAACTCACCCCAAAAGCCGTGTTTGCCCAAAATCCAGTTGAGAGGCCAGAATGTGGGATGCCAGTGACAACAGCTTTCTGAATCTCCTTCGTATGGATGTTTTGGCTGTACACACACACACACACATTCTCAGACACACACACATTCTCAGACACACACACACACATTCTCAGACACACACACACATACACACTCACACATACATACTCACACACTCTCACACACATACACACATGCACACACATAAACATGCACACACTCATACACACATACACACCCACACACATACTCACACACATACACACACACTCACACACATACACACTCACTCACACACTCATACACATACACACACACTCACATACATACACTCACATACATACACACATACATACACACTCATTTACATATTCATACACACACTCATATACATACACTCACTCACATACATACACACACTCATACACATACACACTCACACATTCACACACACATACACACACGTGCATATGAGTGTTTATGTATTTGTGCACCACATGTGTGTCTGGTGCCTGTGGAGGTCAGATCAGGGCATCAGACCCTCTAGAACTGAAGTCACGATACGGGCGGATGCTGGGAACGTCGCCCAGGTCCTCTGCAAGTGCCCTTTAACTGCCGAGTCATCTTCCCAGCCCCTCTGGCGGCAATTTCAACTTGTGATCCCCTTACAGCTAGAAATTACAACTACAAATAGGCATGGTGGTGATGCCTCTGATCCCAACGCTTGGGAGGCTGAGGCAGGGGGACTGAGTTTGAGGGCAGCCTGGGGCACACCAAGTTTTTTTCTTAGGAGTGTCTTGACAGATAAACGTCTGTATTTTAGGGCATATCTTCCCGTTTTCTGGAGGGAAACCCATAGCTTTTAAAATCAGATTATCGTTCCCTGCCTCACTCCCACTGCCGAGAAAGAAACCTATTCGGCAGGTGGGGTAAGGCTAGGGAAGTAGTTGCCTCTTTAGGTTTAAGGATTCCTGGGGTCAGAGGAGCCTTTGGTGACGGGGTGGGGTCCCCTGGAAGAGGGACGCTGGGGTTTTGGATCCCAGGAAGGGAAAGAGGCTCTCAGAGAAACAGCATGCGCTTGCTTTGGCGCGCCAGGGAACTGGATCAGAGTTTGGAGGTAGTGTCCAGGAGGTCCTGGAAGTGAGTTTGGAGTTGGGATGGGGCAGTCGTGGTGTCCTGGCTATTCACGGGCCCCACTGGGGGTTACATGTGTGTCTCCCTCAGGTTGCCCACGGACCCCGGGGGCTAAAGGGAGAGAAGGGAGAGCCTGCTGTACTGGAGCCTGTAAGTCACACTGGTCACAGAACTGAGGGAGGTGGACAGGAAGAGGACATAATGGGGGGGGGTGCCGGCCCCCGTGGCCTCCAACTTTGGATGTCTGATCCCACAGGGTATGTTCGTAGAGGGACCCCCTGGCCCAGAAGGCCCCGCGGTGAGTGTATTATATAACCCTCCTTTCTTTTATTAGAGACGTTTCCTGCAGGTACGTCTGTGACTTACCTGGGTATGTCCAGGTCCCCAGTCTGAAGAACGCTTCCAAACCAGGCACCAGATTCCCACCCCTCAGCCTATGCCCCTGTCCACCCCTCACCTGTCTGATGTCCACCCCTCAGCCTATGCCCCTGTCCACCCCTCACCTGTCTGATGTCCACCCCTCAGCCTATGCCCCTGTCCACCCCTCACCTGTCTGATGTCCACCCCTCAGCCTATGCCCCTGTCCACCCCTCACCTGTCTGATGTCCACCCCTCAGCCTATGCCCCTTGTCTGGGTGATGTCCACCCCTCAGCCTATGCCCCTTGTCTGTCTGATGTCCACCCCTCAGCCTATGCCCCTTGTCTGGGTGATGTCCACCCCTCAGCCTATGCCCCTCGTCTGGGTGATGTCCACCCCTCACCTGTCTGATGTCCACCCCTCAGCCTATGCCCCTCGTCTGGGTGATGTCCACCCCTCACCTGTCTGATGTCCACCCCTCAGCCTATGCCCCTGTCCACCCCTCACCTGTCTGATGTCCACCCCTCAGCCTATGCCCCTCGTCTGGGTGATGTCCACCCCTCAGCCTATGCCCCTTGTCTGGGTGATGTCCACCCCTCAGCCTATGCCCCTTGTCTGTCTGATGTCCACCCCTCAGCCTATGCCCCTCGTCTGGGTGATGTCCACCCCTCACCTGTCTGATGTCCACCCCTCAGCCTATGCCCCTCGTCTGGGTGATGTCCACCCCTCAGCCTATGCCCCTCACCTGTCTGATGTCCACCCCTCAGCCTATGCCCCTCGTCTGGGTGATGTCCACATCTGACTTCCCTTCTTTGTCTCCCTCAGGGATTGACTGGACCCCCTGGCATCCAGGGGAACCCAGGCCCGGTTGGAGACCCTGGCGAGAGGGTAAGTGACCTCTCTGGCGGTGGGCACAGCTGCAGAGGAGCCGCTGGTACCCCGTGGGGCGCTGCTGTGTTCATTAACCCCTTACCAGCTGTCTGAAGACCCGGCTGCGCACCCCGTAACCTAGAGTGTGGGAGCAGACTCTGGTTGGAGAGGACATTAAGCTGACGTCTCCCTAGCGTTTTCCTCCACCGGGCAGAGCATCCGGGAGGGGTCTAGAGATGTCTACGCTGGTCCTGTAGGGAAGGGTTTCAAAACGATGCCACACGTCTGACATGCTCCTGACTCCCCCTTTTCCGTATTCTTTCTCCCCCAGGGCCCTCCTGGCCGGGCAGGGCTTCCCGGATCAGATGGACCCCCTGGTCCTCCTGGCACGTCTCTGATGCTCCCAGTGAGTTATCTTCTGGGCTTTAAAGCAGGTTGGGGGGGGAGGGTGCTTGTACTGCCGAGGAGACTTTGGAGAAGCTGGGCATCATGGGGCGTGCCGACCTCTCAGCACATGGACGGTGATGACGGTGGGAAGACCTGGGGTTCGCAATTGATCTTTTGCGGGGGAGCGGGAAGGTTGCAGCCTGTTTAGACCTGGAGCCAAACGCCGGCCGGTCTTCTGGAACCAAACTTGGGCCATCTAAAGCAGGGCAGAGAGATCCCTTGTTTTAGGAGATGACGATTCGGGGAGAGGACTGGAGTGGTTGGCGTGGGGAGGGGGCTGGGAGGGACTCTAGAAACCTCTGAGCGGCTGGCCAGCCAGAGCCAGGGGCACAGCCGCGACCGTCGGAGGGGAGGGCGTCTCTGGCTGGAAGGGTGCTTGGACTTCCTGGAGGGGAACTTGTGGCCTTTTGTTGCCCCTTAGTTCCGGTTTGGCAGCAGTGGAGGTGACAAGGGCCCCGTGGTGGCAGCCCAGGAGGCCCAGGCCCAGGCCATTCTGCAGCAGGCACGGGTGAGCAGGGACGGGGGAGGGGGTCCTGGTAGAGGGAGGACTGCAGGGAGGACTGCTGTGGAGGACTACAGGGAGGACTATAGGGAGGATTGGTGTGGGAGGACTACAGGGAGGATTGATGAGGGAGGGCTACAGGGAGGACTACAGGGAGGACTATAGGGAGGACTACAGGGAGGACTATAGGGAGGATTAGTGTGGGAGGACTTCTGTGGGAGGACTACAGGGAGGACTACTGGGAGGACTGCTATGGGAGGAGGGCAGGGCGGCCTGGGCTTTGCGTAGGTTGAGGAGAGATGGAGGAGAGCAGAGCTCACGGGGTGAGGATTTGGATAAAGGGAGGACCGATTTTGGGGTGTGCTGGGGCTCCCCAGTTGCCTCTGTCTCATCTTTGCTGTCCCTCTTGCTCCTCTAGCTGGCACTGCGTGGGCCGCCTGGCCCCATGGGATACACGGGCCGCCCTGGACCCTTGGTGAGTGAGGTGGATTTGTTGTTGTTGTTGTTTTGGCTTTGGTTTTCCGAGTCAGGGTCCCTCAGCGAGCCTTGGTTGTGCTGGAGCTCGCTCTGCAGACCAGGCCGAGTGAGCTGGGCCGAGTGAGCTGGATTTTTTTTTTTTTTGGTTTTTACGAGACAAGGTTTCTCTGTATTGTTTTGGAGGCTGTCAGTCCAGCCCAGCCTGGAACTCACAGAGATCCGCCTGCCTCTGCCTCCTGAGTGCTGGGATTAAAGGTGTGCGCCACCACCGCCTGGCATGAGCTGGATGTTAAAGTAGCATTTCTTTCTTTGTGTGTGTAGTTATAGTTTTGTCAAAGAACCAGCTGGCCTCTTTGATGGGGGCGGGAATGGGACCACGGTGGGGGTGGGGCTTTGGGATGGCTTTCGGCTGTGTCCTTCAACATGGCCATCTTTCCTCCCGCAGGGTCAGCCGGGGAGCCCTGGCTTAAAAGGAGAATCTGGAGACCTGGGCCCTCAGGTGACGACCCCCGCATCTGATTTGCAGCCTAGGTCTCGCCCCCCCTCCCCACCCCCGACCTCTGTGCATTAACCATGCCTGTCTCTCCTCTCACTAGGGCCCCAGAGGTCCCCAGGGCCTCACAGGCCCTCCTGGCAAGGCTGGGCGAAGGGTGAGTCCTCTGGGGGTGGAAACGGAGCAGCTTGGAGGGTTAGTGGCCGTGCCTCGGCCTGCTCACACGACGTGCTTTGCACCCCCCAGGGCCGAGCTGGTGCCGACGGAGCCCGCGGGATGCCCGGAGAACCCGGTGTGAAGGTGATGTGTGCCCGTCCTCCCGGGACACCTGTAGCTGCCCCCCGGCCTGCCCCAGGGCTCCCCGGTTTCTCGTGGGCCATAGCGCCTCAGGACAGAGTGGGGGAGGGTGGGATGGGCGATGGCTGGGCCCTCACTTGGCTTTTCCCTCTCCCTCCCAGGGCGACCAAGGTTTTGACGGACTTCCAGGTCTACCTGGCGAGAAGGGACAAAGGGTGGGTATGATGGCGTCCGGCTGCATCCATGGATGGGGACGGAACTCGAGAGGGGAAGCTGGGGCCTCAGAGTTCAGTCAAAGAGGCCCGGGGGGGACTCAGCCGCTCGGCAAAGGGGTCCGGGGGCTCAGCCGCTCCACAAAGGGGCCCGTCTGCCTGTGTGGGGGCCCCGAGGCTGCTCTTCACTGCCCCTTCCTTTTCCAGGGTGACACGGGCGCTCAGGGTCTTCCTGGGCCTCCCGGCGAGGACGGAGAGCGGGTGAGTGTCGCGGTCAGGGCAGGGGCTGGACTCGGAGTCCAGAAGGCAAAAATAATTGATTTGTTCAACGTGCCCTTCTTCTCCAGGGTGATGACGGAGACATTGGGCCCCGGGGGCTGCCTGGAGAGTCGGTGAGTGTCCTGGGGTGCCCCGGGGGGGGGAGCCTCGGAAAGCAGTGGGATCAAAAGGGACACCCTTCCTATTATCCACTCACGCTGTCCCTGTCAACTCTGAATGCAGGGACCCAGAGGACTTCTTGGCCCCAAAGGTCCACCTGGTATTCCTGGGCCCCCGGTAAGTGGCACCCTGACCTCCCAGGCCCCGACCTTACCCCTGACCTCTCCAATTCCCCACCACTCCTAACTGCTCTCTCCATCCCTCCCTTCTCCCCTGCCCATGAGCTTTGCCAATTCTGGACAAATCCCCCTTATTTCTGCTTCAACCCCTGCCCCTCAGAATCTTCCAAGAAGTACTTGGTGGGCCATGTGGTGCTGGGCACCAGGGCTCCGGCTGTTGCCCAAAACAACAAAAATCCTCAAGGAAAACAAAAAGAAACCCTCAAACCCACAGGCCCCACGCCCTGCAGATCTGGACCGGCTGTGCCAGTCTGGGTTTGAGATGAATGCATAGTCTGATCCGGCCGCTGCCGTCCACCCTCTGGGATGGATGACCATGCAGGCTTCTCAGAAGCCACAAGAGTTCCTGGCCTGGCCCCAGCTTCCAGCCAGCTTACCCCGTCTTGTGTTTCAGGGAATTCGAGGCATGGATGGTCCCCACGGCCCCAAGGGGAGCCTGGTGAGTGATTGGCATAAAGGCCGCACGGCTCATCCCTGCAAGCCCCCTACCCAGTCCTTCTGACTGCCGTGTGGAACCCATTCATGTTTCCTGACCCTGCCCTCTCGACTGGCCTTGCTGCTTTCTGTCCTCCCTGTTCTGTCACTGTCTTCTGACCCCTGCCTGACCCCTGCCTGGCCCCTGCCTGACCCCTGCCTGGCCCTGGCCTGGCTCTGTCCGGCTGCTTGTTTCTAGGGACCTCAAGGAGAGCCAGGACCCCCTGGACAACAGGGCACTCCTGGGACCCAGGTGAGTGGTCCTGCCCTCTTCCCAACCTCGTGCCTGGCCTCACCGTGGGCCGCACTCTGGGTGGGGACAGGGTCCCTAGGCCCTTCTCGCTCCGGCGCTTAGTGGGGGTGCAGAGGACGGCGTGGCCCCATGGCTCATGTGTGACTTCTCTTCCTCCACGTGCAGGGGCTTCCCGGTCCCCAGGGTGCCATCGGCCCTCATGGAGAGAAGGTGGGTGACCGCTTCCCAGGGCGCCGGGCTCTAGGCCTGCAGTGAGGAGTGCTCCCTCTCTCCTGGCTTTGTGAAAACCTCTAATGGCCATGGTCTTCCTCGTCCCCCTGCAGGGTCCTCGTGGGAAACCAGGGCTTCCTGGCATGCCTGGCTCGGATGGACTCCCCGTGAGTGCCCCTCTCCCCTCCCCTCTACCCAGCGTGTCATAGGCAACTCCCTCAGCGACTGTCTGTCGAGTGCCTACCCTTTCCCTGTAAGGTCACTCACAGCGGCGGCCGCCTGGGGTTTTGGCTTTTTTTGTTTGTTTGTTTGTTTTTTTGTTTTGTTTTGTTTTGTTTTCTGAGACAGGGTTTCTCTGTGTGGGTTTGGAGGCTGTCCTGGAACTCGCTCTTGTAGACCAGGCTGGCCCCAAACTCACAGAGATCCGCCTGCCTCTGCCTCCCGAGTGCTGGGATTACAGGCGTGCGCCACCACCGGTTTTGGCTTTGTTAGCGCACAGGGCAATCTGGTGCGGGGACTGCCGGGACGGTGGGGACGGTGTCAGGGCTCAGCCGTTACAGTCTCTCTAACTCCTTCTTGCAGGGTCACCCTGGGAAGGAAGGTCCCCCTGGAACCAAAGGGAACCAGGTGAGACCCTCCACGCTTCCTTTTACCCTCTGTGGTGGGTGTCTTCGGACTGGGGGGGAGGGTGGGCTCAGAGTCCTTGGGACTTCCTGCCATCCTTCCCCTGGCTCTAACGATGTGATGCTCTGTGTCTAAGGCCCGTGAGCCCCCTCCTCCCCCCCACCCCAACCCCAGTGTAGTTGCTGTGTTCTCCCACACCCAAGGCCCCACAGCGACATCTTTCATATGTCCCTCTCTTCCTCCTTCTAGGGTCCCTCTGGACCACAGGGTCCTTTAGGATACCCAGGCCCTCGAGGTGTCAAGGTGACTGACCACCAGGGAATTGGGGGGGGCAGGGGGTTCGGTTCTCTAACTTAGCTGATCACTTGATCACTGTCCTCCCTTCTGATTTAGGGTGTGGATGGAATTCGGGGCCTGAAGGGCCACAAGGGTGAAAAGGTGAGTAAGCCTTGTTCATCTCCACCTGCCCTGCCCTCCCTCAGTCTCCGCCTTCCCTTCTCTCTCTCTCTCTGTGTGTGTGTCTGTCTCTGTCTCTCTGTCTCTCTGTCTCTCTCTCTCTCTTTCTGTCTCTTCCTCTGTCTCTCTGTCTCTGTCTTTCTCTGTCTCTGTCTGTCTCTCTGTCTCTCTCTGTGTGTGTCTCTGTCTCTCTCTGTCTCTGTCTCTCTCTCGGTGCCCTCCTGCCTTCCCATTTCTAAGAAAATCCTTTACCCACGATCCCTGAGCCCATGCCCAGCTCCCCGAACCGTTTCCCTCTGTGGTGCCCTCTCACCTCTGTCTTTCTCAGGGCGAGGACGGCTTTCCTGGGTTCAAAGGTGACATAGGTGTGAAAGGAGACAGGGTGAGTGCAAGTTTCTACCGACCCTGTCCCCAAACTCCCTGTCCGACTGCTCCTCCATTTTGCGCCGGCCCTGTGCTCCCCTGGAACGGAGAACTTTTATCTCCATCACTGCAAGCTGTGTCCCAGAGGGACGGCAACTCTTCACGTGGGACACTGCTGTCCTGGAGACACTTGCCAGCCACCCGCCCCCCGCCTTCCCCCACCAGCCTTGCTGGTGCCTCTCTCTCTCCTTTGGGAGCCTAGACCCATCTCAGTCCCCAAACGCTCACCTCCCCACTCTCCTCTCAGGGTGAGGTTGGAGTCCCTGGTTCCAGGGGAGAAGATGGCCCTGAGGGGCCGAAGGGGCGCACTGGACCTACTGGGGACCCTGGACCCACCGGGCTCGTGGGCGAGAAGGTGATGGGGAATAGTGGTTTGGCCACTGGGGTGGGCTGGGCGTGGGGCGCCAACTGGAAGTCAGTGACTCGACCAAGGACAGCTGTGGGTTAGTTACACCTCTCCAAGCCCGGCTCCTGCTGGGTACCAGGGGCTTGAGGGGGGTGCGTAAGAAGTCAAGGAAAAGCCCCTCGGCCGGGCGCATGGGGAGGACGTGGTGGTGGCCTTGTCCTGTCAGTCAGTCCTGCTTCATAGCCAAGTTTTTTGGCGGGCAGGCGTGGGGGGACACTAGGATGGCTGTGAACCCAGCAAGGAAGGGCGGAGCCAGGCTGTGAGCCGCTCTGCAGCCTCTTGGGCAGGATGATCCGAATGGAGAGCGTTGGGAGGAAAGGGCCTGACAGGTGTCTGCAGCTCCTGTCCTTGTCCCTAACTGCATTCTGTCCTTCCACAGGGCAAACTAGGCGTTCCCGGCCTGCCTGGCTACCCCGGACGCCAGGGTCCCAAGGTGATGCGATGCCCCTTTCCTGTCCCTTCTCATTGTCCCTTCCTTGACCTCTGACCCCAGGAAGCACAGACTTCCGAGAGTGGGTTTAGCTGATTCCCGTTTTACGGATGAGGAATAGAGGCCATGGGGCGGGGGGGGGGGGGTGTCTTTCTGAGGCCACTTTCCCTGCCGGCCCGGCCCAGGTGGCACTGTTGCTGCCTTCATGGCCTCCCCATCCTCTTTGGCCTTCCCGAAGCCCCCTCCTCTCACCTTCTTCCTTCTCCATCCTCACCAGGGGTCCCTGGGGTTCCCTGGTTTTCCTGGAGCCAGTGGAGAGAAAGGAGCTCGGGTAAGCTGGGGGGGCGGATGGGTGGGGCGGGTGGGAGGAGCTGGAGGGGTTGGAGAGGCCGCTGTGGGGCTGCGGGCATCTTACCTTGGCTATCATGTTTGCTTGACCTTATTCCCGCCAGGGTCTGTCTGGGAAATCAGGACCTCGGGGAGAACGGGGCCCCTCGGTGAGTGCTGTGGGCAGGACCAAGTGACTTGGAGAGCCCAAGAGATGGGCTGGGCGGGGTAGCTCAGTGGACCAAGCACTGCATGTGCACGCAAAGCCCTGGGTTCGAACCCCCCCCCCTCCCAGCACCGCGGTCAGTGGAGTGTGGCAGTGTAGAACCAGATCCAAGCGGGGTCAGATGTTTGAGGTCACCCTCGGTGACACAGTGGGCTCCCGGGGGATTCCGGGATGTCTCTAACATTCCCCTTCTGTCTCTATAGGGCCCAAGGGGTCAGCGCGGGCCTCGGGGTGCCACTGGGAAGTCTGGAGCCAAGGTGAGTGGACCCTGCAAGGACTCTGCATCCGTCTCCTGATGCTGGGCCTTGAGCCCCACCCTGGCCCCTTCCACCGTCTTCCCCCCGGGCGGTGGCTGATGCCCGTCTCTCCCTCTCTGACCATTTCCCTCCCAGGGAACGTCAGGCGGCGACGGTCCCCACGGGCCACCCGGAGAGAGGGTGAGTGTGGCTTCAGTGCTCTGTTCCCATGTCCCCCGGGAAGAAACGTGGGCTCCTTTGTCCGGAGCCTACATCACTCAGCCCATCCCTGTCTCTAGGGTCTTCCTGGCCCTCAGGGCCCCAACGGATTTCCTGGCCCCAAAGGCCCTCCGGTAAGCTGACCACTGACTTGTGACCCCTTGGCTTCCTCCTCCCCCATCCCTCTTCCCTGCCAAGAGGCCACCTGACCCCCAAACACTTTCCAGGGCCCAGCAGGGAAGGACGGGCTGCCGGGACACCCAGGCCAGAGGGGAGAAGTGGTGAGTGATTCCAGAGGTGCAGGGTGGGGAGGGTCTTGGAGCCTGCTGCGCGCGCGCGCGTGTGTGTGTGTGTGTGTGTGTGTGTGTGTGTGTGTGCATGCTTGTGCATGTGTGTGTGTGTGCATATGTGTGTGTGTGTGCATGCATGCGTGCGAGTGTGATGTTCTTTCTCGGGGAGTCTGGCGCTTCCTGCCCCCATGGTCACCCCTCCACCTCACTCCCCCCTACCCTGTCCATTCCTGTTCTGACTTTACCTCTTTCCTCTCAGGGATTCCAAGGGAAGACCGGCCCCCCAGGCCCCCCTGGAGTGGTGGGACCTCAGGTAGGTTTTTCCCCAGGAAAGAATGCACCCCAGACCTGGAGTTAGGGGGCCTCTTCCCCCAGTCACAAAAGCCCTGCCGATGACTGTTTGCCTGGGCTGAGGCCCTGAATTTCAGCTCCTTCCTGGGTCTCTCTCTCTCTCTCTCTGAGAAGTTTCCCAGCTGTGACACAGGTGCCATGGTCACGCCACACTGGGGATGGTAAGCCCCAGTGTCCAGATCACTGTCAGTGTCCCAGTGGCTTTTGGGGGGAGACTACGGGGCTCAGGGTTGGCAACTGGGGGTGTGCAGAGTTGGGTCTCAAGGTGACAGAGCTGAGTTTACACTGTGCCTTTCCCAGGGAGCAGCTGGGGAAAGTGGTCCCATGGGGGAGAGAGGTCACCCTGGCCCCCCAGGACCTCCTGGAGAGCAAGGACTGCCTGGGACTGCTGGAAAGGAGGGGACCAAGGTCAGTGAGGGGCCGGGCAGCAGGGAGGTATTGGGGGGCCCACCAGCAGGGAGATATTGGGGCCCACCAGCAGGGAGGTTTTGGGGGCCACCAGCAGGGAGGTATTGGGGGCTGGTCAGCAGGGAGATATTGGGGGCCACCAGCAGGGAGGTTTTGGGGGGCTGGGGGGCTGCAAGCAGTGGGACAGTGTGGATTTGAGAGGCCAGAGATCTCTGTTCAGTTATGGTTTATCATCCTCCTTTCATTTCAGGGTGACCCTGGTCCCCCTGGGGCCCCAGGGAAAGATGGTCCCGCTGGTCTGAGGGGTTTCCCAGGAGAGCGAGGCCTCCCAGGCACTGCTGTGAGTATAACCCCCAAAGCCAATAGCCCATAGGGTCACTCGCCTCCTGGCCCCTTGATACTACTCCCTGTTTTCATGTCACCGAGCCCACACCTGCCAACGCGTCTTTTTTGGGGGTCCCCTGTTACCTGTGAAGTCTCCCATCCCCCTCTCACCTGTTGCCCTAAATCTGGCTCATAGGGTGGACCTGGCTTGAAGGGAAATGAAGGTCCCGCTGGCCCCCCTGGCCCTGCAGTGAGTCTGGGGCCCCTGTGGAGGCTGTGGGCAGGAACCAGGAAGGGGGATGGGTGAGGGGGGATGCTCAGCGGGATGTGGCGGGAGCCATGGAGGGGTAGAGGGAATTTGGGGTCGGCCTGGATGCATCCGATTCCCTGTCCGTCTGAGATCCGTGGTCTGGGGTCCTGGGGTCTCCTTCCGGGAGGGTCTGACTCCATCTCTCTCTCTCAGGGCTCCCCCGGGGAGCGAGGTGCAGCAGGGTCTGGGGGCCCCATCGGTCCCCCAGGGCGTCCAGGCCCGCAAGGGCCCCCCGGAGCCGCAGGAGAGAAAGGCGTCCCGGTGAGTGAGGGCAAGCAGACCCTGAGCTGTGGGGGAGGAGTGGAGGGTGCCAAGGTGTGTTGCGGAGGCGCTTGAAGGTGAGGCTGTGCTCAAGCCGTTACCTCTCTCCTTGTTTGCCCTCAGGGTGAGAAGGGTCCTATTGGTCCCACTGGCCGCGATGGGGTGCAGGGTCCCGTGGGGCTTCCTGGTCCGGCGGGACCCCCAGGCGTGGCTGGAGAGGATGGGGACAAGGTGAGAACCTGCAGATGTGTCCAGACTTCTTCCCAGGTTGAGACTGCTGATCCAGACTTCTTCCCAGGTTGAGACTGCTGACCTCCCGACCTCTGTCCAATGTGCACATCTCCTTTCTCTTGCTCCTCCTGCAGGGTGAGGTGGGGGACCCAGGACAGAAGGGGACCAAGGGGAACAAAGGCGAACACGTGAGCATCCGTGACCCTGACCTTTGACCTTCTGACTCTTAGTCTCATCCCACCCTTGTTATGCTGTCTTCCCTCTGACCTGTCCTGGCGTCGTCTCTGACTTCCTCTCTTCCCTAGGGTCCTCCTGGGCCTCCTGGTCCCATCGGTCCCGTGGGGCAGCCCGGAGCCGCGGTGAGTGCCCCGGCAGATTCTAGCCTGCCTCAGTTTCCCCTCTGTCCTTGTGCCTGGTGCTCATCGGGTCTGTGTGAGCTTGTGGATGGAGGACACACGGCCCATGACCTATACCCCTTCTGTCCTTGTCCCCGCTCCAGGGAGCCGACGGGGAGCCTGGAGCGCGGGGCCCCCAGGGACACTTTGGAGCCAAAGGCGATGAAGGGACAAGAGGATTCAATGGGCCCCCAGGACCCATTGGCCTCCAGGTGAGCTGGGAATGGGGGACAGGGCCTGAGAGGCAGGCTCTGGGTGGGTCTGTGGGCACCTTGCCAGACAGTTGCTAACGGAGACAGGGCCAGTGGGGACGGAGGGCTAGGGCCTGCGTGTGGGGCTGAGTGACAAGGTTGGGAGTTGGATGGCTGGTCACCTGGGTTTGTGCACAGGGCCTGCCAGGACCTTCTGGGGAGAAGGGAGAAACAGGAGACGTGGGGCCTATGGTGAGTGCAACCTTCGCTGGCCCAAACCCACCTGCCACCCAGCCTGTCCCCGGCCTGACACCCCAGCCTGACCTCCTGGCTTGCATGTAGCCCTGCCATCCGCCTTCTGCCCGGGCTCACCCAGCCCTACCATCCTGCTCATCCCCGGAGTTCCTTTGCTCTCTGCCTTTCCCGTCCTGATGTATCTCCTCCCCACCCACCTAGGGACCACCTGGCCCTCCAGGACCTCGAGGCCCCGCTGGACCCAATGGTGCTGATGTGAGTCATCTGGTCCCTTGTCCCCCCTGTCCCTTAGACGGATGTAGTTAGTCCTTACAGCATAAACCCCAGTCCCATCGTCTCGGGTACCAAGGGCAGCCCGCGGCCTTGGGATGCTGCCGTTGCCTCTCCGCTGTGCTCATAATGATTTTTCCCTTCTCTTCCTCTTCCAGGGCCCACAAGGTCCCCCTGGAGGCATTGGGAACCTGGGTCCCCCTGGAGAGAAGGTAATTGAAGAGGGGCAAATGGACAAGTCTTGGCGGGGAGGGGTGAGGGTTAGATTTCTGTCTATTTTTGACGGAGATGTGGGGTTGTCAGGATTTTGGGGGGGGACTTTGATGCTCATCTCTTTGTAGGGGGAGCCGGGAGAATCTGGGACTCCAGGTGTCCAGGGAGAGCCGGGTGTCAAGGTGAGTGACGACCCTGTGGCCTTGACCTCTGACCCCTTCCAACTGCACTCTCATCTTGTCTCTTGATCTGGGGCCTCCACAGCCCAGGAGTCTGCTCCTGGCTCCATGTCTGGGCCTGAAGGAGCCCAGCCACAGTTTCCTCGAAGGGAGGAGGGGCCAGGGAACTTCCTCTAGGCCTGACTCCGATTGTCCCGCTGTCACCAAGTGACTTAGGGGGAAGCTGAGGCTGTCTTGAGAGTTGGCCATTTCCCGACCTTCAAGACCCCTTCAGACCATCCCTGTTCCCGCCACTTCCTTTTCAGGGTCCACGCGGTGAACGTGGCGAGAAAGGAGAGGCTGGGCAGGCAGGAGAGGCTGGACCACCAGGGCCTAAAGGTCCTACAGGCGATGATGGCCCCAAGGGGAACCCTGTGAGTTTGGAGAGTGAAAGGAGGGGCCCTGGGGACGGGAGGCCCTGGAGTACTGGGGTGTGTGGGTATCAGCACCTTGGAATGTGAGGAGCCCAAGGGTCGGGGTGACGCCTGGGAGGGAGGCTGTGGGAATGTGTTCTCTTGGGGAAGAGTGCAGAGGGAAGTGAGAGACCTCCCATAGGAAGTGAGAGACCTCTCCCAGTTAGTTTTGGAGCATTAAGGAGGTTGAAGGGATAAGGCAGGGAAGAGGGGGACAGGGGACTCCCTGCAAGGGTGACGCGTGTCCCAGGGGCTCCGTGTTGGCTCTGGGTGGCCTTAGGGAGCTGTGACATTGACCTTCTTCTCCTTCTGAATTAGGGACCTGTTGGCTTTCCTGGGGACCCTGGGCCCCCTGGAGAAGCTGGCCCACGGGTAAGTCTTATTGAGGGAGGGAAGGAGGCCCAGCTGGTAGGGTTTTGCGGGTTGGCCTCTATGTAGCAGGGGGGCCTCGGTCTCGGGGAGCTAGGGTTCAGAAGGGTGAGTTGCAGATGGCAGGAGTGACAGTCTCAGCCGAGAAGCCAGCCAGGCTGGGGACCCTCCTCTGACTTTGCTTCACCCCTTTAGGGCCAGGATGGTGCTAAGGGTGACCAGGGAGAGGACGGCGAGCCAGGACAGCCTGTGAGTGACAAGCGCCCTTCTCTTCCCACTGAGCCTACCCTACCTGTTCCCTGAGGTCTCTTCATATACTCACCCTCTTCATATCCTCCCTCCTTAGGGATCCCCTGGTCCCACCGGGGAGAATGGGCCCCCTGGGCCGCTTGGGAAGCGGGTAAGTGATGTTATTCAGGCACCTGTCTTTTGGTAGGGTGGATGGAGGTGAGGCGGTGGCAGGTGACGGGCAGGGAGGTGCCGTTGCCCGGTTATCCTCGGCTGGGGTGCAGTACACGCCGCTGGCCATCTTTGGCGTACTCGGCGCCTTGGTCTGCTTTTGTCCCTGGGCGTTGGCCCGCGTCCCTTACTGACCTATCAAAATGGACACAGGACGGGGGCTTCTCCAGAAGCAGCCATTTGAGAACTTAACCTCTTAGTTTGCTGGAACAGGAGGCGGGAAAGCGGCCCAGCGGCTCTCTCCACCGCATGCACAGAGCTCCTGTGTCTTAACAGTGGGTGTGGTTGCTCCTGTCTTCAGTGTTGGTGAATGGGCTTTTCTGTGTGTGTGTGTATATGTATGCATGTGTGTGTGCTTATGTGTGTGTGCGTGTGCATATGTATACGTGTGTGTACGTGCATGTGTGTGTGCCTGTGTGCATGCGTGTGCATGTATGCGTGTGTGTGTGTGTGTGTGTGTGTGTGTGTGTGTGTGTGTGCGTGCGCACGCATGCGTGCGGGAAGGAGCTGAGTTGAGTCTGCTTGTCTGCCGTCATTTCCTCCCTCTTCTTCAGGGACCTGCTGGCACTCCTGGTCCAGAAGGACGACAAGGAGAAAAGGGAGCCAAGGTAATGGAGAAGCCACCCTGGGTGCTGGGACTCACCCTACCTTCTTCCTCTGAGTTCTGTCCCCGGAAGTCTCCCCTAGGCCCAAGCCTCTTCCCTGTTGAGCCCTCCCCCCCCACCCTCCCCTGCACTTGTTCCTTTGCCCCGGGTTCCTGAGGCGTGGGCACCTCCCCCCCTGCCTCACCCCTCTCACATTAGACCTCCTTCCTCCTCCTCTGCCTTTGAGGTCAAGTTCTTTCTGCGTGTTTCAGGGGGACCCTGGTGCTGTTGGGGCCCCAGGAAAGACAGGCCCTGTGGGCCCTGCAGGCCCAGCGGGAAAGCCTGGCCCTGATGGTCTTCGGGGGCTCCCGGGCGCAGTGGTGAGTTGCAGTGGGAAGGAGTTGGGAGGGTGAAGGCCATGGGTGGTGTGCAATGTGGGGCTAATCCCCCTGACCCTGGGGTGTTCTCTCTCATCTCCAGGGCCAACAAGGTCGCCCTGGAGCCACAGGCCAGGCTGGGCCCCCAGGTCCTGTGGTGAGTGAATGGGATAGGTGGGTGGCTCTGGAGTGTTCAGAGCCAGGGAGGAGGTAGAAGGTGACCCGGTCCCACCTCTGGGGAGAGTGACCACTTTTCTTCTCACAGGGACCCCCAGGGCTTCCTGGCCTCCGGGGCGATGTTGGAGCCAAGGGAGAGAAGGTGAGTGACAGAGACGTGGTCATGTTTCTCAGCCCCGTATCCTACGGGGATGGCCAGCGCCCACTGCTCTGCTTCAGGCCTCTGATACCCAGACCTTGGGGCTCTTATTCATGGGGTCATGGGAAAAGCGAAGCTTTCTCCAGATCCCATGACCACCTTCCCTCTTATCCAGGGTCACCCAGGTCTCATCGGACTGATTGGGCCGACTGGAGAGCAAGGAGAGAAGGGTGACCGGGGTCTTCCTGGCCCTCAGGGCTCCCCCGGACAGAAGGGAGAGACGGTGGGTACAGGGATGGCTTGCAGAGGTCTGGGGGTGGAGTTCATGCTGAAGGTGGGGATGGGAACTGGGCTCTGGGGTGGAGGGATTGAGGGACCCAGCCTCTCCCCTTGCTGCTGTTCTAGGGTATCCCAGGAGCGTCTGGCCCCATTGGTCCTGGAGGGCCCCCTGGCCTGCCTGTAAGCACCCCATCTACTTCTCCTCATAATCCCTTAACCCCTCTGCAAACCCCCAGCGTGGTCCTCTGTGTCCCGCGGTTCTCCCTCTCCTCTCTCCATGTCTCTCCTGTAGAACCCCAGGGTCCCAGGGACTTGTGGCTTTGTCTCTCCACTCTGTGCCCTTTCCCGTGCTGACCCCTTCTGTTCATTTACAGGGACCTGCTGGTCCAAAAGGAGCCAAAGGAGCCACAGTGAGTGACTTATTAACTTTGAATTTTGCCCTCCCCGAGCTGCTTCTCCAGGACAAATACACACATCCCTCCTTCTCAGTGGGGAGCCCCTCATTTCTGCCAAGAGACTAATTTGACCCTTTTGTGGCCTTGATCCTATGCTTTATCTCTTGACCCCTCCTTGACCTCATTGTTTCCTTTGTTAGGGCCCGGCTGGACCTAAGGGAGAGAAGGGTGTGCAGGGCCCTCCAGGACACCCGGTGAGTGAGGAGAGAGGAGGCAGCACCATGTACACACATCCTGTTTTACTTTCGCCATGACCTCACTGGACCCTCTGTCTCCACCCAGGGACCCCCGGGTGAGGTGATCCAGCCACTGCCCATTCAGATGCCCAAGAAGACCCGCCGCTCTGTGGACGGAAGCCAGCTGATGCAGGACGAGGCTGAGCCCACTGGTGGTGCCCCGGGCACTCCTGCAGGGCTGGAGGAGATCTTTGGCTCACTGGACTCTCTGAGGGAAGAGATTGAACAGATGAGGAAGCCGACAGGGACCCAGGACAGCCCTGCTCGCACCTGCCAGGACTTGAAGCTGTGCCACCCAGAGCTTCCAGACGGTTAGCACCAGCCTCAGCCTGGGGCACTGGAAGTGACTGCTGGGAGTGGGGAGTCTTAAGGAAGGTGCCCATGGAGTGGGGTGAATACTGAGTGATTTGTAACAGGGATTGGTTACATGTTTGTAACAGTTGCAGGTTTGAAACAATTAGAGGTTTTTAACTCTGACAGGTTTATAACTGTAACAGGTTTGCAACTGCAACAAGTTTGTAACAGTTACAGGTTTGCAGCTGTAACAAATTTGTAACAGTTACAGGTTTGCAATTGTAAAAAGTTTGTAACAGTTACAGGTTTGCAACTGTAATAAGTTTGTAACAGTTACAGGTTTGCAACTGCAACAAGTTTGTAACAGTTACAGGTCTGTAACATCCACTGGGTGAGAAGTGTTTCAGGGTCTCAGCAGCTGATATGGCTCCATCTGTGAGCAGCAGTATCCATGAAAGCACACACACACACATACACACACATACACATGTACAAACACACACGTACACACACAGACACACATGTACACACACATGCACACACGCACAGACACAGACACACACACACACACCTGAATTCATACAGATAGCTACCCATCACACTCCTGCAGAGGAGCCCACAGTCAATACTGGAGACGCAGGCGTCAACCAGAGCCTGGGGTGGACTGCAAGGTGCTAAGGCAGACTGAGGCAGGGCTGGAGGTGTGACAGGGATGTGGGTGGGAAAGCACTGGGAGACTGGGCTGTGGCTCTGGCTGGGGGCCTTGGGGCAGAGGGGGGGAAGGAAACATGTGGATCAGAAGTATCTCAGAGCATGGGACCTCGTGACCCTGGCCTCCATGTTCCTCACCCAACAGGAGAGTACTGGGTTGACCCCAACCAGGGCTGTGCTCGGGATGCCTTCCGGGTGTTCTGCAACTTTACAGCAGGAGGGGAGACTTGTGTTACACCTAGGGATGACATCACACAGGTGCGAGCTCGTTGGCCTTGGTCTGCCCACCCTTGCCCTTCCCGACCCTTCTTTCCTGTTTGTGTGGCTTTTGATGCCCTCTTTGTCGATTTCCCTCACATCCCAAGACTGAAGTTTGTTGTTCCTTACCCCGTCTGTACCTGCTTCCCAGACCCTGCAAGTGTCTCTTCTGCTTTCTCCTCAGTTCTCCTACGTGGACTCTGAGGGCTCCCCAGTGGGTGTGGTCCAGCTCACCTTCTTGCGTCTGCTCAGCGTCTCTGCCCACCAGAACGTCTCCTACCCTTGCTCTGTAGTAGCCCAGGATGGCCCCCTGAGACTCCGGGGGGCCAATGAGGATGAACTGAGCCCTGAGACCAGCCCCTATGTCAAGGAGTTCAGAGACGGTTGTCAGGTGGGAACCAGAAACGCTGGGTGGGTGACAGGTCCCTGACTTGGGCTACGGGAAGGAGATGGGGAGAAGCATTTGGCGGGGTGAACGACCAGGAGCAGTCCAGCTTCCCAGTGTCTGATGTGCCTGAGGGGAGGGAGTTTAAAGGGCTAAGGAGGAGGGAGGGGAAAATGGGAGCCAGACTTGTGTGAACCATCTAGGTGGCCTCCTAAACGTGTACACACACTGGCTTTGCATGGAGTTACACAAGCTCACGCAGTTGTGGCCATTCAGACGCCCAGCAGAGGCACACAGACAAACGTATGCCCTTGGCACTGATATACCTAGTCCACACATTTAGAGCCATCTGGATATGGTCAGGGTTCTCAGGAGAGACAAGAACCTGGGACTGGGGTTAGGGTTCATTGAGGGATGCTTCACCATGCTCACAGCTCTTTCCCTGTCTCTGTCAAGACCCAGCAAGGCCGGACGGTGTTGGAGGTGCGCACACCTGTGTTGGAGCAGCTGCCCGTGCTGGACGCCTCCTTCTCAGACCTGGGGGCCCCCACAAGGCGGGGAGGAGTGCTTCTGGGGCCTGTCTGCTTCATGGGCTAGGCCCTACTCTGACCCTGTCAATCAAAAGCGGGCCCACCTGGAGTCACACAGCATGGACTTCATGCCACCTCCCATGAAAACCCCCCTCATCTTCTAGGGGGTCTTGGGCCAGGGCACCTCAAGCCTCAAGTCAGGGGCAGCAGCCAGGAGTGGAGTGAACCAGGGGGTGCCGGGATAGCCCAGGGGAGGGGTGACACCTGGGTGTCCAGCTCTCCCACTTGTGACCCATCAGAGAGCTGAGACCTTTATTTAAAATATTTCCCTGTCACCCCAAAATAAGGGGAAGAGAAAGGACACTGTGTATTTTGTATTTAAAAGGAGTAATTATATTAATTATTTAAAGAGTGAAAAAAACAACAAAGCAACAAAGAAGATAAAGAGAGAAATGCCAAATACCCCAGCAAATATTGGGGTCAGGTGCTGCAAGGGTGGGCCAGCACCCCACCCTCCCCTCAGGGTTTTCCTTAGTGCCCATGGTGTGACTTTCTGGAATGAACCCCCCCTCCTCACATTCCACCTGGGACACTAAGAATGCTGGAATAAACACGCTCTCCCCTACCCCCCACCTGCCTCAGGACTCCAGCTCTCTCCACACCCAGGGTGGAAGCTCTGTGACATGACTGTCCCTGTCAGGAATGGCCTGCCACTTAAGATCAGGTCGCCTCTCCAGGGGACACCAGACCAGAGGGCTGTGCAGGGCCTGCTTCCGGCAGGTTATTGAAATACTGAAGTTCTTCCAGTGGGTGAAGTCGCCGTGGCTTTGAGCACTGTCCTGGCCACACAGTTCCCCCCCTCCCCCGGGCACCTCCTCACCTCCCCGATCCTGAAGAGAGCTAATAATGTCTAAGCCTATGGCCAGAAGGGACTCCCAGGACCCCTCTAGCCCTATGCCCAACTCCCTCCTGACTGATGGCTAAATAATGTGATTGTCTCTCCCGGGTGTGTGTTAGTACTCGCGTTGTTATTTCGGTCTCCTCCAGGCTCCTCGCAGCACCCCTAAAAGGTTGGCTTCATCCTACACACAGGAGTTCCCCAGCAGGTCCCAGGGCTTACGTAGCCTGGGTGACAGGAACAGACTCCCGGATGGATGCCCCCAGTGACATCACACACGGGGCCCCGATCCAGCACAGGGCTGCCATTGGTTATGTGAGCTCTGCCTCCTTCATCTACCCTCAAATGCACCTGGGTCTTTAAGGTTAGAAGGAACTGTGGATGGTTCCGCCTAAGTTCTGTGCAAGTGGGTAGCTATGCCCACCTCCAAGACGTCGATTTCTGCACCTTTTCCAAGGCACGCCGGACCCGCAGGTTGCAATGTTCTGTTGTCTAAAGCCGGAACTGAAGTCAGTGCATGTGTTCACATATACACATGAGCGTCTTTATTCTGTGAGGTTTTGTGTACGTATACGGTTACTCTGCCTGGGGACGCCTTCCTTCCCAAGGTGCCCTTCTCTGGGCGTGTTCAGTAGCTCGGGTTTGCCCTGGTTAGGAGACCCTTGGGTGCTGAGCACCCCTAGGGGGCTTCCCATCCTCACACAGCATTGCTTGCTCTTGGCTGTCAGTCGGAGGTTGAGGGATACTCCAGGGTCTTATCCAACTGGGATGCCCCTCCTTACTGAGGGAGGGAGACTGCATCCGTGTTTGTTCAGTCCGTCTATAGTCTGCGGATGGGGTGGCTGGGCGTCGTTCGTTTGCATCCAACACTGGCCTCATCCCCACCCTCCTGGCCAACACTTCCCTCTGGGGAGTCCCAGCCCACAATACTTAGATAGTCCCTGCTAAAGGACAAAACCATGGGACCTTGGACCCTGCCTATTTTTGATCCTAGCAGCTCCCCAAGCCATGCAGCTGCAGACTCAGTGGGAGGTAAAGACTTCACTGCGGGTGTAGACTCAGTGTAAGTGGAGAATTTAGTGCAGGTGGACACCCTAGTGCAGATGGAGACCCGAGTGCAGCTGCAGACAGTGCAGGTGCAGACAGTGCAGATGGAGACAGCGCAGGTGCAGACAGGGCAGGTGCAGAAAGTGCAGGTGCAGACAGCGCAGGTGGAGACCCCAGTGCAGCTGCAGACAGTGCAGGTGCAGACAGTGCAGGTGCAGACAGTGCAGGTGCAGGCAGTGCAGGTGCAGGCAGTGCAGGTGGAGACTCCAGTCAGGTGCAGACAGTGCAGGTGCAGACAGTGCAGGTGCAGGTAGTGCAGGTGCAGACAGTGCAGGTGGAGACTCCAGTCAGGTGCAGACAGTGCAGGTGCAGACAGTGCAGGTGCAGACAGTGCAGGTGCAGACAGTGCAGGTGCAGACCCCTCCTGCATCTGAGTGCCCCAGTCCTGCCTTCCTCTCTGTGCTGTCTTCTACTTAAGTTGTCTTCACCATTGCAAAATAATCTGAACAATCCAGTCCCTTGGGGACATGGTGGCGCATGTCTTTAAAGTCTGAGCATTGGGAGGCAGAGACAGATCTCTGAGTTCAAAGCTAGCACACATTCCATGCCAGCCAGAGTTATATATAGACACCCTGTCTCAAAAGCAAAAAAAAAAAAAAACAAACAACCAGGAATAATACAGTCCCTACAATATCACTAAATCTTTCCTCCTTTGCCCATCAATTTATTCCCTTTTCCTCAGATCTTAAGAGGACTGAAGTGTCTGTGCATGTGTGCGTGCGTGCGTGCGTGCGTGTGTGTGTGTGTGTGTGTGTGTGTGTGTGTGATTTTGGGGATAGCCTTCCCATGTCTATAGTCAAGTCCTGAGAGAGACCTCCCCCTCCCTGGCCCTCTCTCTAGCCTCAGTAACACCCTCCCCCACCCACACTCATTCCCAGCAGGGTTGGGCCCAGAGCTGAGGTTTGGCCAGGGCTCTCTCTACAGCTGGTACTAAACCACAGAGGTCACCCATAGAGCACCGAGGGGAGTGTCCCCAGAGGTCACTTTTACCTTGTGCTCAGACAGCTTTTCTCCATGGAAACAATGCCACGCAGTTACTCAAATAACTTTTACATTTGGAGTTAGGTCCCCAGGCCAACCCACAACAGGCTATTAAATTACCATGCCAGCCAACTGGATCTGAGCGTTCTCGAGCAACTCGGCCAAGCGGCAGCTGAATGGCAGGTTCACACAGGCTCTCCCTGCCATGGCTTTTCCTTCCTCACTAGGAACCCGGGGCCTGGCTCTCAGGCAGGGTGGGAGGAGTTGAAGGGCAGAGATTCTGGGCTGGGGAGGGAGTGCCCTGTCATGCAGGCATGTGGGTGCTGGCAGTGGCTCTGAGGACTTGGGACAGAGGACGTTTCCGTGTGTGTGTGTGTGTGTGTGTGTGTGTGTGTGTGTGTGTGTGTGTGTGTGTGCACGCAGAGGGATGAAGGAGAACCAGAAAGAAAGTGACAAGTGACCAAAGGTTTTGAGGCCCCACAGTGGGTCTGCCTGGCACAGAACACACCAGCTGCCGTAGGAGGTGATCGTTCTAGAAAGATTTCCGTCTCCCGAGTTCGACTGAAACCTCAAATTAGAGGGGGAGACATCGGTGTCACCGGAACAGGCAGGAATAGGACAGAATTGTGGGGAGAGGGTGGCAACGTAGCCACACAGCCCGCCATCCTGTTGGTGTCTTAGAAGGGGAGGAGGAGTAAGGAGGGGAGGGAAATTGCCGAGAGGCGGTCCCCAGGCCTGTCGCACCCTTGCAGCTGCTTCTTGGCTTTGGGCATTCCCTGATTTAAATAATCTTATAAGTGAGGAGTGGCGGTATATGTCTGCAAATCCAGAACCTGGGGAGGCTGAGGCAGGAGGGTTGACTGGTTTGAGGTTAGCCCGAGCTACACTGTGAGTTAGAGACGAGTCTGGCTATAGTGTAAAGCCCTGACACACACAACATGAAACAACAGAGCAAAAACCAGGAAGAATACACTTGGGCCACTGGCCCCCCCCTCCGGGCCACTGCATATCCATGGTCTTCCCTTCTCTGTCTTAGCTGGGTACAGGCACAGTTTCAGATGGGCCAGGTTAGGTGGGAATGGAGAGGAGAGGGAAGGGAGGAACGAGGCTCTAACTGCCTCCCAAGGAAGTTTCTATGTGGCAGGGTAGAGACCCAGGCTCGAGGGGTGTGGCCCTGTTCCTGTGAGCCTGGTAGAGCAGGACCATGAAAGTCCCATGCCCACCTTCTTCCTGGAGGGCTCCTGAGAGCCGCCAGTTTGTTGAGGGGAGGTGACACCACCCAGCCTTGGATGCTCTTTGACTGTCCTATTGGTATCTAATGGCAGTTTCATGGGAAGTGCCTTGTGGGCTGTCTCTCTGGTCCTTTGTTGTGTCCCATTCCAACTTGTAAGGAGGGGCTGTTGGGTCCCAGCCCCCACGGATCTCTGTGCGTTGCTTGTCAGCTGATAGCCACAGGTGCATCCTGCTCTCTAGTCCTGGCTTACAGCCCCGGCCTTGCCCACCTGACATCAATATCATCTAGCACGAGGAAAACATGAGCTCTTACACCTGGGGTTTCTTCACTGTGCTGTAAGTCTGTATATAAGGCCACTCACACCTTAAAACACATACACACCGGCAGACACACACACTGGTAGACACACACACACACACACACACACACACGCACAAGCACATGCACACACACTCACGCATTCTCTTCGCAATAAAGGTGTCATGCGCATTCTCTTAGCACAAACCGCCGGACATCTTGTCTTTCATTTCCCAATATCTTGGACGTGTTCGTGGCGTGGACGCCACAAAGGGTTAAGACTCAAGCTGGACTAAATACTGTCTCTTGTCTAAAATGTTTTGACTACGGTGTGAAGCATCCCCTAGACACCAGTGCTGGGACAGACTTAGGAGGAAGGATCTTGTGATTTGTCCCATCCCATGGGAGGACCCAGGTTTCAAGCAAAGCTCCTTGACCTCAGAGGATATGTCAAGGGAGACACTGAAGTACACTTCAGGGAAACTCCTTAAAAACTCAGGAAGTGAGCACTCGGGAGGCAGAGGCAGGCGGATTTCTGTGAGTTCGAGGCCAGCCTGGTCTACAGAGCGAGTTCCAGGACAGCCTCTAAAACAATACAGAGAAACCCTGTCTCGAAAAACCAAACCAAACCAAACAAAACAAAACAAAACCTCAGGAAGTGAACAACTCAAAAGCTCCAGGAAGCCCCTGAAGCTGACTGGATTCACTAGGATCTTCCCTCCGAGTGCATATAAGCAGAAAGGACTGCAGAGACACTCAGACCTGCTGAGCTGCTGGGAGAGAAGCTCCAACTCCCCGGGCTGCTCTTGCAAGGGGTGCCGTGCTCTCCGGGTTTCCAGCTCCATGAGCCATCGCCCTGCTGGAGTGGATTCCTGACAGCGTGGCTGTCGTTGATTCCTCTGGGTAATCCCTCATCCGCACTCCATAGAAGCCCCAGTGGACTTAACTGATGGTGCCCCGGGTTGGACTATGGTGGCGTCCTTAACTTTGTTCTGTCGTTGGTTCCCAGTCTGGGGTGAGCAGACGTTTATTCACGTCTTGTCGGGAATGGTATCACACGACACCTTAAATGAAGGATGGGGATATCTCCCTGAGCAGTCCAGATGCGGAAATAAATCAGGTCTTAACCTCAGTGGAAGGCAGCAAAGTAGCTCCCTTCCCTCAGTGGCTGCGGCCATGTCAGTCCCCTGCTTCTTCTGTACTGTATGTTAATCTGTTCCGAGCTGTCTAGTTTCCCCCAAGTGCAGGAGATGAGAGAATGCGCCCCGTGTCCCAGTGCGCCCCGGATCCCAGTGCGCCCCAGATCCCAGTGCGCCCCGTGTCCCAGTGCGCCCGTGTCCCAGTGACCCCGGGTCCCAGTGACCCCGTGTCTCAGTGCGCCCCGGATCCCAGTGCGCCCCGGATCCCAGTGCGCCCCGGATCCCAGTGCGCCCCGGATCCCAGTGCACCCCGCCCTGGGTCCCAGTGACCCTGTGTCCCAGTGTGCCCCGGATCCCAGTGACCCCGGGTCCCAGTGACCCCGGGTCCTGCATCCTGGCAGCTCCTGGGAAGGCCGTGGCCCCAGCCTCTTTCATCTCCAGCAAGGGGTGGGGCTCGTGGTGACACACTCTCCTGTTGTGTCCACATCTCCCCATGGAAGTCAGGCACTGAAGGTTTTCCCAATCTCAGTGGGGACTGCTTTTTTTCTTTTTAGACAGAGTCTCACTCTGTAGCCCGGGCTGGCATCACACCTGTAGGTGACTTTCCTGCCTCTGCCTCCTAAGTGTTGGGATTACAGGTTGGGAATCAATACACCTGGCTTAGAATTCTTAAATACTGTCTCTTGTCTAAAATGTTTTGACTACGGTGTGAAGCATCCCCTAGACACCAGTGCTGGGACAGACTTAGGAGGAAGGATCTTGTGATTTGTCCCATCCCATGGGAGGACCCAGGTTTCAAGCAAAGCTCCTTGACCTCAGAGGATATGTCAAGGGAGACACTGAAGTACACTGAGGCGTGTTCTTTTAGAGGGCTTATCTGTGTGTGTGTGTGTGTGCACACACGTGTGTGTTCACATATGTGCATGTACATGTGTGCGCACATGTGTGTGCGTGTGCACGTGTGTGTACACACATGTGTGCACATGTGTGCATCTGTGTGTATGCACATGTGTGCATGAGTGTGAGTTTATCTACACAAAGTGCATGCCGCTGATTGTGGAGGTCAGAGGGTGGGTCTCCTGGTGCTGGAGGCACAGGTGGTCGTCATCTGCATGATGAGGTGCTGGGATTCAGACTGAGCCCTCTGCATGGGCAGTACGTGCTTTTAGCCACTGTGCCATGCCTCCAGCCCCAGGGAGTGAGTTCTTAAGTCTTATGTATTCTTTGCCTTAGCGTTTCTTTCTTTTTAAAGACTTATTTATTATGTATACAGTGCTCTGTCTGCATGTACACCTGCACACCAGAAGAGGGTGCCTAATCCCATTATAGATGGTTGTGAGCCACCATGTGGGTGCTGGGAATTGAACTCTTAGGACTTCTGGAAGAGCAGCCAGTGCTCCTAACCTCTGAGCCATCTCTCCAACCCCACCTTAGTGTTCCTATTAGTTCCTTTTCTCATTGCTGTGACCAGAACCCTAACAAGAAACTCGTAGGGAGGAGGGGTTTATCATGGCTCACAGTTCCTAAGGATTCAGTTCACCATGGTAGAAGAGGCGTGGAATAGCATGAGGCAGCTGGTCACACGTTCTTAGCAGTCAGGAACTGGACTGCAGACAGGAAGTGGGCTGTGCTGGAAAACCACGAGACCAGCCCTCCAGCGATCCATTTCCTCCAGCAAGGCTCCATCCCCTAAAGATTCTCTGAGTCTCACGTAGTGCCACCAGCTGGGAACTAAGTGTGTAAATACGTGAACCCATGTGGGATATCTCACACTCACGAGCCTGCGTGAGATATCTCACAATCAAATGACAACAGTGGTTCTGTGATGTTCGACAGCTTCTGTGTCTACTGAACTGGGTGGGCAGTGTTTGGTAATCTGAGGGGACTGATATCCTGAAAGCCAACGAGCCACAAAGAGATGCTTTATCTCCGTCCACCTGCATTCTACAGTGACTTCATTTTTCCAATTCTCTAGCATTGTCTTTGCACCCATTCCCATAAAATCCACGCAGAGAGCCTTAGGCAGATACTATAAACCCAGTCTGCCCACTGTGGCAGCTACTGGGTCATTCACAACTTCACTCCAATTTAAATCATTTAAATTGAAATGAAGTGATAGACTTCTGACCCTCTGACTGTCTCGCTGTCAGACAGACAGATAGACATTTGATAGCAGAGGGTCAGGTGTCAGAAGGTGCTCTCTGCATTTTCTGAGGCCATGCTTAAAGTTAGGGTTTGGATCTGGAATATTTCCGCAAAGGCTCATGGATCAATGGCTTGGTCCCTGACACAGTTTTGTTCAGAGGTGAGTAGTCACAAGGCCTGGAGCTTGCCAGTGGGTTTATCCTTTGATGGATTTATTCCTAATTGTATTTACGTGTGCATGTGTGCATTTATGGAGGACAGAAGAGCGTTTACAATGCCTTGCAGCTGGACTTCCAGGCAGCTGGAAGCTGTCAGACGTGGATGCTGGGAGCTGAACCAATGTCCTCTGGAATTTTAGCAAGTGCATAACTGCTGCGCCGTCTCTCCAGCCTCTGCTGATGATTCATAGTTCATGGAATGCTGGGAGCTGGTGGACACCACGGCAGGTGGAACCTAGTTGGAGGGAGGGAGTCAGTGAGGCTGTGTGCCTTGAAAAGTATATCTAGTTCCCAGACCCCACTGTGCGTGTGTGCATGCGTGCATGCGTGCGTGTGTGCATGCGTGCGTGTGTGTGTGTGTATGTGCGTGCACACGTGTGTGACACAGAAAGAGTTTTGTTCTAAGCACTGTGGAGGGAAACAAGTCACTGTGGTTCTGACAACTCCTCTTCCTCCTCATCCCAGGTCAGAGAAATTATGACCTTGTAAGACAGTGTTGGGGGCTGGAGGGAAGCCTCAGGGGTTAGGAGCACGGGCTGCTCTTGCCAAGGACCCAGGTTTGGTTCCCAGCACCCACATGGCAGCTCACAACCGTTCATAACTCCAGTTTTAAGAGATCTGATGCCCTCTGCTGGCCTCAGCGGGTACCAGGCGTGCAGGTGGGGCACAGACGCACATGTATATAGGCACTCACTTGCAAAATAAAACTAAACCAATAGTTTTTTTTTTAAAGATGGAGTGTGAACTTGGTAAGAGCAGCTTACCCCAGCTTCATTTCCTCAGCAGTGGGCACCCCACTCCTCCCCCACACTCCCTCAGGGGCTGGTTGGAGACGGGAGTTCAGGTCTGAGATCTTCTGACCACGAAGAGACAGACACAGCCTCTTACCTGCTCGAGGTGATCCTGCAGCTCTCAGCTGAGCTGGATGAGGGGGTGAAGGGGAGTGCATTCTGCCTCCCCTTAGATGGCGAGAGACACTTCCTGTCCCACCTTCCTCTCCTCCCCCGCATGAGCCTGGGAACTCAGGGACCTTCTGGTCTGATGGTCAGACCCCAGACTGGGGTTTCCACTCTCTCTACAGGACAACTTCGCTCTGATACCAGTTACAGTGGCTTCTAGAACTCTCCAGTACACTTTTCTGCCTTAGCCCCCTCCGTATCAGGGAAAGGCTAGCCTAACCACCTGCCAGGATTCTAGGCTAGCCCCAGCCACCTGCCAGGGTTGTAGGCTAGCCCCAGTCACATGCCAGGGTTGTAGGCTAGCTCCAGTCACATGCCAGGATTCTAGGCTAGCCTCAGCCACATGCCAGGGTTGTAGGCTAGCCCCAGTCACATGCCAGGGTTGTAGGCTAGCTCCAGTCACATGCCAGATTTCTGTATTTCATATCTTTGGTGTCCGGGTTGAGACCAAGTCTCACTGTGTAGCCCAGGCAGGCCTTGAACCTGCGACCTTCCTGCCATTGCTGGGGCCCGAGGCTGCTCCTCCACACACTTCTCACCCTTCTTACACCTCAGGTGCATGGCGACGCCCACCGCCAGGAAGATGAGTCCGAGTACCAGGCCACACACTCCCGTCAGCATCTTGTTTCTGGCAGAGTCAGACCCGACCTCTGGAAAGGAGATCCAGGGTTTGCATCGGGTCCGGCGGGCACACGCTCCTCACTGCCCTCTGGTAGGGATGCAGGGTACCAATGTGAAGGTCGCCGAGAGGGACACATGATGGGGAGGACTCTGAGATCTAGACCTAGGCTGGTGTCGTAATGGGCACGAGTGTGGATTCTGGCTGCTGCCTCTCAGAACAAGGACAGACTACACAGACAGAATGCGGAAGTCATGCCTGGCATGAGGGCATAGCAGGGGATGTCTGCTTCCCTAGACTTCCTGACAAGGGCAGATCCAGTATCCTCAATGTCCACAGGCCAGGGACAGGCTCTCCTCTCGTGTCTCCGGCTCAGAACCAGCCTTGGGAGTCTCCAGGAAGCACGGGGTGATGGGGGGAGGGAGGGGGAGGGGAGGGGGCAAACAGGACCCAGCCTACAACAAACGCCTAGGTCAGGACCGTGCACCGTGAGCCAGGTGCTGCCAGCTCTACAGAGTGTGGGTGGAGAAGGGTCCCCAGGGCGACTCACTCCACTCCACGGTGACGGGGCTCTGCAGGCTGGGGTGCTCCACGTGGCAGGTGTAGATGTCTCCCCTCTGTGGGGTCATCTCCAGCATGACCAGGATCTGGAAGGTCCAGTCCCCGTTTCGGATCAGGTTGGTGGACACCACCCCGGCAGTTTCCTCCTGGCCGTTCCGGAACCAGCGGACTTGAATGCTGCCCGGGTAGAAATCTGTCACGTGGCAGACCAGCAGGCCATGGTGCTGCAGGGTCACCTTCTTGGAGGGTGACACATGTACCTTAGGCTGGACTAGGAGTGGGAAAGGAGTCACACGTGAGACTGTGATTCTGGGGGACACGTCTTTAATCCCCAGTACTCGGGAGGCAGAGGCAGGTGGATTTCTCTGGTTTACAGAGCGAGTTCCAGGACAGCCAGGAGCAAATGGTGAGACATGTTTTTCCCCCCCAGAAGTGAGACTCCTGCCTTTTCAACACTTTGTCGTGGTGAGAAGGATATAGGATTCACTGAAATTAATTTCTTTTTAAATTAATTGTTTTTTTTTTTTTTTTGGTTTTTTGAGACAGGATTTCTCTGTAGCTTTGGAGGTTGTCCTGGAACTCACTTTGTAGACCAGGCTGGCCTCAAACTCACAGAGACCCGCCTGCCTCTGCCTCCCGAGTGCTGGGATTAAAGGCGTGCGCCACCAACGCCCAGCTTTAAATTAATTTTTAAAGATGTACTTATTTATTTTATGTGTATGAACGTTTTGCCTGCGTGTATGTCCGTGAACCATTGTGCGTACCTGGTGCCCTCGGAGGTCAAAAGAGGGTGCTGGATCCCTCAGAACTGGAGTTGACAACAGATGGTTGTGAGCCACCAACGTGGGTGCTGGGAACTGAACCCGGGTCCTCTGGAAGAGCAGCCAGTGCTCTTACCCACTGGGCCATCTCTCCCAGCTCCCAAATAATTCCTTGAAGTTAGTGTACAATGCAGTAGCTCTTAAACATGTGAAAATTTTGATTGTTTATGTGCATGTTTGTGTGTGGATTTATACACGTGAGCGCGGTGTCCGAGGGGGCCGGAAATTACAGGTGGCTGCGGCACTGACATGGGTGCTGGGGACCGAACTTGGGTCCTCTGCTTGAGCAATCCTCAACCTCGGAGTCCTCTCCCCAGCCTGCCCCAATCTAACGCGTGAGACCAGTCTGATGTGACTCACCAAGACAACTCTGTAGTTTACAGCCTCAGGCTCGTGGGGCCTCCAAGGCCTCACTATTCACAGCCACGACCCCTCTGAAGCAGCACTCCAAGCTTTCCCTCGCTGCTGTCCACTTCCCGAGAGCTCACAGCCCTCCAGAGAGTCGCTGCTTCTACTGTCTGCCGCGTCTGCACTCCCCTTCAGAGGCCAGAAACCAACAGTCTGACCCGCAGAAAGGCTGGTGCGGGGTTTCCACACCACGGAGTCCTGGCCCTTGTAGTTTCTAGTTCCTACGCCAACACCCCGAGCACGGGGACACGCCCCTCACGATGACCATTGCCTCCCCCAGCTCTTGGCCTCAGGTCAAGCTGCCCACACCTTTTGGAGCTCAAGCCAGTGCTCCTTTGGAGTCACTCTGGCCGCTTTTAGGAGCTGTCAGTTCCTCAGTCAACTCTTTCCTGGGTTGCGATTTGTGAACTGAGACACATCCCCCTCCCTTTGAACTCCTGGACTTCAAGTTTGCCCGTTTTTGTGCCAGATGCTTTGCCTGCGGTAACACAACTGACCTCTAGGGGGAGCGCTAGAGCTAAATCCATGGGCCTAAGAGACTTAACTGCTTTAAACAAATGTAATTTACAAAGACGAAAGATTTCCCCCATGTCCTAAGGCTGCACGCTGAATGGCCACTAGGCATCCGTATGATTATATCTAAAATATTGTCAGTTATCTGCACTGGAATTTTAGTCCAGATGGGTGCAGAGATGCAGTCCTGGGAGTCCCAGCATTCCCGAGGTTTGAAGGGGGGAAAAGCCGTAACTCAGGGGCATAAATCCATAACCCAAGGGCAGCCTGAGTTACAGAGAGCTTTCTCAAGGCGGGGGGGCTCAGTGGTTAAGAGCACCGGCTGCTCTAGCAAAGGATCCAGGTTCAGTCCCCAGCACCCACACGGCAGCTCACAGCCATCTATAACTCCAGTCCCAGGGAATCTGACACCCTCCTCTGGCCTCCACAGGCACCAGTCCAGACGTGGTGGTGCACAGACAGACAGACATGCAGGCAAAATACCTGTACACATAAATTTTTTAAAAAATTTCGTAGCCTTAATCATTTTGCTTTCTTTTTTGTTACTATTTGGTTATTTGTCTTGAGTAATTTTAAGATTAAACTACAAAGGTATTTTCCTCTGGTGCCGTCATTACTCTCTCTCATAACTGGTGCCGTCATTACTATGGCTAGGAGGATATTTCCCTACCCACTGCTCTACCTCCAGGCTTTCCTCTTCCCAGCACAGCTAACACCCTGAAAACACAGCTGCAAGCCTTGACATTCCCTACGTCAACGTAATTCTGGAACTTTCCTGAGGCTGGTGGGCTTCCTGGACTACACGGTAAGACAACAGCCACCCTCCTGGTCTGTCAACACTCGCCTGTCACTCCATCATCCCCGGGACACTAACTGAAAACCTTTCAGATCTCACACCATCAAGTGTGAACCTGGGTGGTGGTTTGGGGGGGGGATCTGCTGAGCAGAGCAAGTCTAGGGCACTCCGGTTGGAGAGTTTCACCCGGGGGCTCTCCGCATCCTGGCCAGCGAGCACACGGAAGGAACGGATGCCAGCCTGCAATTAAGGGCAACCCTGTGTTTTGGGCACCACCACGGCGAGCTACTCTGTCATCTTCCCTAGCTCAGGTCGCTGTCCTAACTCCTTTCCCAATCTGTCTGGGTTCTCACTCATCCCCGGGAGTCAGGGCTTAGCCCATGGCTGGGAGCTCCGGTTTCCAGAGGCGGTGTTAAGGGCGTGTCTCCACTCACTCTCCCCTGTGCCTGTGGAGGGCTCCTCCCCTTCTCCGCCGGCTTTTGCTCCCTCAGGTCTCCTCGGGGTGCTCACCAGGCTCTCTTACTCCAAAAGAAGCGGAGGGGGAAGCCACGGGGTTCTTTTCTCCCAGCCTTGCAAAACCCTGCACAGCTCCCCTCTTCCCCCTCACTCTCCGACCACCTAGTCTACCTGTCTGTTAGCGCTCCCTGGCTTCCCAACATCCAACTCCTGCCTACCTACTTCCTGAAGCTGTTGGTCCCACCGTTGTCTGTCATTCTTCCTCCCTGTGACACCCTTCTGCTCCGGGACTGCTCTTAGCCAGCACCGGGTCCGCTGTCCCCGGGACTCAGCTTTGTTCTCTCTACTGACTGGTCTCCCTAGATGACCTCACCCAGCAGACCCTCCCACACCGGTCCTCGAGGCCTGAGTCCCCATTGCGTCTCCTGCGCAGCCTGTGCTGTTGGAAAACGGCCCTGGAAGCCCATTTCCCCCACAGCACCCTGCGATCGTCCCATGGCCCGGCTCCCTCCACCCCACAGCAGGCTGGTTACCAGACATGACAAGGCTCTTGACATTCCCCACCTCTGTGTCCTGCTTTGCGGGGTCGGGCCCTGGCCCTTTTCCCCCAAGGCTCCACCTGCGCCGACCAGGTCGGTCGCCGGGACTGTCGCCCGGGCTGCTGGCCTTGCTCTCCTCCCGGTCCTCACCTCGGCGCTTCACGGTGAAGCCCTGGTTCAGCTCGTAGTTGTGTCTGCACACCGTGTCCACCTCGGCCCTCCGTCGCTCCATGTATTCCTTCTGGCTGTTCCAGGATTCGGCCCACGGCCGCCCCATAGCGGTGAGCGCCCGGAACTCGCCCACGGTGCTGTCGAAGCGCATGAACTCCTCGCGGTCCAAGATGCACCTCATGATGTAGCGCTGAGTCCCGTTGTTCTCCGCGTAGCACTCGTGCAGCGCGCGCAGCAGGTGGTTCTCTGTGGGCACCAGAAGCCAAGTCCTGGGGTGCTGGGACCCCGCCCTTTTTCTCTTGCGCGCGCACGTGCGCGCGCGCTCTCTCTCCCCTCTCATCTCTCTTCATCTCTCCCTTCTCTATTCTCTCTGCCTCCTTCTCTCCTCCCCCTCCTGTCTTTCCCTCTCTCTCCCTCTAAGTTCAACTAGTGCTGCCCGTGTGTGCGTGGCGGTGGGCTCATCCACGGGAGCATGGGGCTCCCAGCAACGACCACACACTCAAAAACAAACGACTATGGAGGTTGGACGGAGACTGGGTGGCTATAAAAGCACTTGCTGATCCTGCAGAAGACCTGCACCCAGATGGTGGCTCACAACCCGTCTGGAACTCCGGTTCCAAGAGATCAAAGCCTTGCGTCTTAGTCTAAAAGTCCAGGTGCTATTTCACCTGTCAAGCCTCCACGTGGGAAGACACGGTCTTAAAATGTGTGGACCTTGGATTCCCTGGAACTGGAGTTCCTGGTGGCTGTGAGCAGCCCTGTGGACACTGGGAGCTGACCCCCAAGTCCTTTTCTAGAGCATCAAGCATTCTTAACTGCTGTCCATCTCTCCAGTCCTCTTCCGACCTTTGCGGGTACCGGACGCATATATGGTGCACAACAAACATGCAGGCACCATATTAATTTAAATAGATGTGGAATGGCAGCGGGGTATCTCTCACCTGAATGAAATCCCAGTGCTAAGTATGCAGAGGCAGGAGGATTGCCGTAAATCTTGGGACAACCCGGTCTAGGGGTGTAGGGGGGATACTGCCCTGGACCTTAATCACTGAAAATCGCCGCAGCAGAGCCCTAGTGGGTCCCTTCGTTCCTAGGGGCACTGGCTCCATTAACTGTTATATAAAAAAAAAAGGGGACATGGGAACCCTCCCTCTCTTCCTAGGAGCTGCCAGCAGTATAGGTCCATTCTGTTTGCCCTGTGTGAGGAGGCTCTGCTGTCTGTTCTTACATACACAGGGAAAAATGGAGATGGTGTAGTTGTTTTCATGTTTCACCCCCTGAAAATCAGCATCTCAAAGCAAATCCTGCCTTCTTCTGCGTCCAACCATGGGCTCCAACACAATCCGCCCAGATCCGAAGAGAAAACAGAAGGTTGTGTTTGTACCACAAGAGGGAGCTCTAAACCGTTCATTAACGTGTTTTAAGACCAGCATCCTGGGGCTGGGAACAGATTGGCGATGGAGGCTTGCCTTGGGTTCCATTCCCAGCATTGCAAGTAATAAACACACTAAACAAGCTATTGCTTCATTTAAAAGGATACTAGGTGTTGATGTGACGGCGCATGCCAGCACTTGAGAAGCTGAGGCGGGGGCATTGCGGAGAGCTGTGAGGCCAGCCTGGATGCTCAAAAAAAAAAAAAAAAAAAAACATAAAAAAATACCAGAAGTTAAAGGATCAACTCTGTGCCATCTCACAGCTTCTGAGGCCGCACTATTAACACACTGGCTGGACTCCCAATGCATTTGACATAAGATACGCTTGTTAATTAATTAACCTTCCCCCCCCCCCATCGCATCAGGGTGTGGCGGAGATGAACTGGGAGGGGCTGAAGCCGAAGACAGCAGCCCAGAACCCAGACAAACCCGTACTGTTTGCTGTCACTACAGACACTGGGAAGCCCCTTGAGGTCAAGAGCAAACAAGTCTGGAGTGCAGGTGCAGGGAGAGTTGACTATGGGATGCGCTGGTGCTTCCCCGTTACCATAGCGACGCCACAGCAACTGACTCTCCCCGGTGGGCTCAGGAGGACCCGCTCAGCTGGGCCAGGGGGCAGAGGGGAGGATGGGAGAGCCTAAGGTGAGCCGCTGCCGCCGCTGCCGCTGCCGTGGCAGGCGTCTGTCACTCAGCCCAGAGGCGGAGCGCAGCATTTCGGCTGCCCCGCTTCCCGCGCACGCGCGCCCTCCCTCCCTCCCCAGCCCACCTGCCTGTCCTTGCCTGCTTGCCTCACTCGGGATGTGAGGCTCCTGTCATTTTAATCCACTGGCTTTCATTTCCCCTCGTTTATCAGAAAAGCAGTGATTTTACAAGCAAGGGAGGTGACTTGAAAACTTTTCTTTGGCAGTACTTGGCTTTCGTCAGCGGAAGTTATTATCCGCGAAGCCGGTAAAAACTGAAGCGCGCAGGGCCTCTTTCCCTCTGCTGTCGTCGTAATCCACCCCTTCCCCGGTCGCGGTCGCTCTCCCATTCCCAGGACCTTGAAGGCGCAACTTCCACAGCTGAGCGGTCCTTTTGGTTGGGTCTCACAGCCTCTTCTGTGAACCACAAGGGCAGGCTCTGGCTTCCTCCTCAGCAAGTGCACCCGATGTCACCGGAGAAGCCCCCACCCCACCCCCGGGGGGCGGGGGAGGGTGGGCTCCAGGGCTGGACTTGGGGGCTCAAATGCAGTTATTCCAGAAAAAACGAGGCAAACCCGAGGACCCTGCAGTTTAGCGTCCACATCCCGGCGGCGTGTGGCAAACTTAGTGCTCGCAGCCCTTCCTACAAGGCCCCCCGCTGTGAATTCGGGAATGGACGAAGCTTCCGGGGACAGGCTGAATCCCTGCGGCCACGGTATCACACGAGCGAGCGGGGCTTCCATCAGCGGGCTGTCTGGCCACCTACTCTCAGTCGCTTCTCATGGTCTACACGCCCTCATCTTGTCCTCCGGCAGGTCTCCACCCACTCCAAGACTAGCAAGGATCTCGGGAAGTTAGCCTCCAACAAGTTCACCATTGGGGAAGAAACACAGCTCATCCCGCCTTCTCCCCAATTAGTCGTCTAAGGCACAGGCTCCCACCCCACCCTGGAGGAGCAGAAGCCACTCTGTCTCTCTCTCAACACTGAGTCAGTCAGGTGACCCAAGTCCCTTCAAAGCTGTGATGGGGACATGGGGGGGGGGTGCAGGAGTCTGAGCCTGCTAAACCCTCGGAAAACCCTGTGAATGCGCTCTACAACTCCAGGCCTGCTGTCTAGGGGACGTGCATGCCCCTTAATGCCCCTGCCTGGTTCCTGGGGGTGGGAAGAACTGGCTGAAACAGCAATGGGGAGGTGGGCCTGCTTTTCCAGCTGGGAAGGGAGGACGCAGGCTGTGGGAGAAACCCCACTGTGTTCCTCACAGTGTGGTCCTGTAAGGGGAAGAAGGCCCTGAGCCCAGGCCCTCCAGAGTCGCCACCAGTGTTCCGTCTTACCTGGAGGGGCCCCACCCTGGATCCCTCTGCTCAGCAACACCATCAAAGCTGCTACCCAGGGGGACGCGGGGGCGCACGGGACCATGGTGGAGCTGGGAGGGAGGGCGGGGTGAGAAAAGAGGTAGCCAGGGGATGGAGGACCCCCTGATCTGGGCCCCTGGATGAACGACAGAGACTGTGACGAGAAAGTTGTCTGCCGCGACCCCACAGCCGGACAGAGTCTGAGAAAAGATCCAATCAGCCTTGAGCTTCCTGTGAGTCACCAGTCGCTGGGTAGACGGTGTGAGAGGCTTGGCAACTTAGCGGGTGATGCAGGTGAGAGTTTGCCGTGAGCATCCCAGGATTCAGAATGAGCCCTGGATCTGTCGGCTTTGCCCAGGGCATGTTCAGGAACGTCACCTACCCACATCGTCTTTCTCCCAGACGTCTGTCTGTTGGTCCCGGAGGGTACAGGAGACTCAGGGCACATCCCCAGGACTTTGATGGCGGGTGGGGGTCAGCAGGACACCTTACTGGGTCCTCTGACCTGGGAGTACGCCACACCTGCAACTATGTAAATATGTGATTTTAAGGAGTTGGCTTTTGGGGACTTTGACTGTATAAACCACCTTACAGCAACATTGTTAAGGTCACGTGGTAGAAATAGAGTTTAAGCTGCTTCAAGACAGCCCACCCACAGGGAATAAGACCGGACTGGCAAACAAGAGGAGAAACATAAACAACTACCAAAGCCCCGCCTCCTACAAAATATTCCATCATGTCACACTTATCGCGAATATTTTCACCAGCCTCCAAAGGGGATCATTCCCTTCTTTATAATCCATAGCTGAATCTTTTGAGGCCACAAACTCTGATGAAGAAAACATTGCGTTGGCATCATTTCCCTATAGACATGAACGTATAAACAAAACGTTACCATGTAGCCCTCCATCAAGAGAAGAAAATGATTGCATAACACAAAGTGTCCATTGGGTACGCAGAATCTGTGAACACACACACAAAACTCTGACGACACTGCACACACACATACACACACACACAACTCTGACGACAGACTGCACACACACACACACAACTCTGACAACGGACTGTGCACACACACACAAAACTCTGATAACAGACTGTGCACACACACACACAAAACTCTGACGACAGACTGTGCACACACAGACACCCAATCTAGGGCAGCCACGTGACCCCGACGACCTCCCAATGCCAGGTGTCTGTGGGAGGGGAAGCAAAGGCAGCGTTGATGCAGGGAGCGCCCCGACCTGACTGGAACCATTCAGTCGGCCCCGCCCCAGCCCCTCGACAGACAGGAGGACGCGCTGATGCTGTAGACAGCGACAACCAGACTCGCACTGCATCACCGAGGAAGACCCGGCTCCTGTGGCTGAGGAAACACAGTCACATCTTAGTTCATCAGTCACACGGGGGCCAGCGAGATGGCTCAGTCGGTAAAGAGCTTGCAGGAAAAGCCCAACGCTAGACCCCAGCCTGGATCCCAGCGCCAGGGAGGCCGAGCCAGGGAGATCTTGCTGGACACCAGTCTAGGCAGCCAGCGAGCTCCAGGTTCAACGAGGAACCCTGCTCAGAATTACGGTGGAGGGACTAGAGAGATGGATCAGCGGTGAAGGACACTTGCTGCCCCTGTAGAGAACACTGGGTTCAGGTCCCAGCACCCAAACAGAGGCTCACAACTCTCAGTGAACTCCAGATGCTGGGATCCCGCACCCTCTCCTGGCCTCTGTGGGCACCAGGCAAGCTTGCAGCGCAGAGAGACGCAAGTGCGCGCGCGCGCACAGGTCAAGCACTCACACTCATAAAAGGGAAAAAGTTAAAAAAAAAAAAACAGTGGACAAAACAGCAGAGACAATCTGATGTCGAGGGCGGCAGTGATGTGGGGGAAACGTGGGAAGACTTCCCATCAATCGGTGGACCGCAGGACAAACATCCGGCACCGGGAGGGCGTGTGCCTGACCTCGCTCTTCCTTCTCTCTAGCCCCCTTTACCTAGCAACAGCCAGGTCACCTCTCCGGCTCCTCTGATTGGCTGGCCCAGCCTCGCCGGTTTCCCCTGTCTTTCCACCTTTGTAGTCCGGGCTACGGAAGCCCCGAAGCCCTCCCTCCCGGGTCTCAGAGTTCCACCCGCCCCGGTCGGCCTCAGTTCTCCACCACTGTCCTTGGGTCACAGACATCAGTGTAGAATCCCCCCACCTGTGCTCTGAGGAGAGAATGTTCCAGACCAAAGCTCAGGCCCTGGCAGCCTCCTTCCTGGCCTTCATGCTGAGTCTCCCAGGATCTGGTGCCATCAAAGGTTAGGAGGACAGTGGGGGAAGGGAGATCTGGGAGCCACCAAAGGGCAAAGGTCAGGAGAGGAGGATGGTAAGGGATCTGGGGTCATCAAAGGTCATGGGGATGGTGGGGATCTGGGGTCATCAAAGGTCATGGGGATGGTGGGGACCTGGGGTCATCAAAGGTCAGGGGGATGGTGGGGACCTGGGGTCATCAAAGGTCAGGAGGATGGTGGCGATCTGGGGTCATCAAAGGTCAGGAGGATGGTGGGGATATGGGGTCATCAAGGTCAAAGGTAAGTAGGATGGGGGGCACAAGGTGGGACTAGACCGCTGTTCACCCTCTTTAGAATGAGAGAATTTGGGCCGGAGAGATGGCTCAGCCGTTAAAGGCTAGGCTCGCAACCAAAAATATAGAATGAGAGAATTTGCAGGACTCTGTCCGTCTCCCTCATGCTTCTTTGTTCCCTTATGTGAGGCTCACTTGGTCTCCTCCTGCTCTAATAATCACAAAAACAAAAGCAGCGGGGCTGGAGAGGCGGCTCAGTGGTTAAGAGCACCGGCTGCTCTTCCAGAGGACGGAGGTTCAGTTCCCAGCTCATACAAAGCAGCTCACGACTGTCTGTTAACTCCAGTTCCAAGGGATCTGACGCCCTCTTCTGGCCTCTGTAGGCACTGCATGCCTGCAAACAGCATACATACATACATACATACATACATACATACATACATACATACAATAAAGCAAGTGAATCTCATAAGACGCAGAAGCCCCAGTCACCATCTACACCTCACAGAACCCACTGTGAAAATAGTTTAGCCTCTCTCTGAGAGATGGAAACAATGGAGCTAAAAAGATTAAGATATGTTCCAAAGTTGTTCCCTCAGTCAGGGGTCAAGGTTAAAATCCACACACAAGTCTGATCACACACACACACACACACACACACACACACAACTCTGAAGACAGACTGTGCACACACACACACAACTCTGACGACAGACTGCACACACACACACACACAACTCTGAAGACAGACTGTGCACACACAGACACACACACACAACTCTGACGACAGACTGTGCACACACAGACACACACACACAACTCTGAAGACAGACTGTGCACACACAGACACACACACACAACTGAAGACAGACTGTGCACACACACACAAAACTCTGACGACAGACTGTGCACACACACACACACACACAACTCTGAAGACAGACTGTGCACACACACACGCAACTCTAAAGACAGACTGTGCACACACACACACACAAAACTCTGCCGACAGACTGTGCACACACACACACACACACAACTCGGACGACAAACCAGTGACTGCACACCCGGGACTTTACAGCTGCACCCAGCTGGGGCCCCACAGCCCAGATCCTCAAATCCGGCTTTGTGTGTCTGACTTTAGGAGGCTCACAGGTGTGGATGTCCAGGGTAGAACCCTGGCCGAGCATTCCTCCCTGCCCCCAGGATCTTCCTGGGATCACGGGGGGGGGGGGTCGAGGTGTGTGCCTTCTTCTCTCAAGGGAGCAGAGTTTCACAGTTTTGTTAGTCTTGTGAGTCAGATCCTCAGTGAGCCAGAAGACTCTGACTTCACGGAGAGGTGTGGACTTGACGGCCACAAAGACCTGGCTAGAGATTACAAACCTCGATGTGCTGAGTCTCCTGCTAATGCCAGGAAGCACCAAGCTCATGCATGATGTCATCCAAAGATGCAGAGGTGGGGAGGACCAGGTGGGGATATGCCAAGTGTTGGGATCTGCCAGATGTGGGGGTCTGCTAGGTGTGGCAGTGCACCAGGTGTGGAGTGCATCAGGTATGGGGTGTGCCAGGTGTGGGATCTGCCAGGTGTGTCAATGCACCAGGTGTTTGATATGCCAGGTGTGGAGTGTGCCAGGTGTGACAATGCACCAGGTGTGGGGTGTGCCAAGTGTGACAATGCACTGGGTGTGGGGTGTGCCAGGTGTGGGTGTACCAGGTGTGGGGTCCATCAGGTGTGCTGTCGTGCCAGGTGTGGAGGTGCTGACCGGAAACACTGTCTCAAAAAAAAAAACAAGAACAAGCAAACAAACAAGCAAAACAAAAACAAAAACAAACATGAACTACCAAATAAAAACCGCGCCTGCCTGTGCACAGCATCCCTGATGGGCGCTGCCTGTGCAGCTCTCTTGTTGGATGCCTGTAACCTCTATATGAAACCTTACAGCTTACAACCCACTGAGGGGGCTCAGGGCAGGCACCTGAGGAGCAGAGGCAAAGGCAGAGAGAGGTGCTGCTTACTGACTGGCTCCTCAAAGCTTGTGCTGTTTGTTGTTTTGTTTTTCAAAGCAGGGTTTCTCTGTGTGTAGTCCTAGCTGTCCTGGATACTCGCTCTGTAGACCAGGCTGGCCTTGAACTCGCATGGATCCACCTGCCTCTGCCTCCCAGAGTGCTGGGATTAAAGACGTGCGCTGCCACCAACGCCCGGCAAGTGAAACCGTGTTTAAAAGCGACAGAAGTAAAAGAAGAGTGAGGGAGCAAGGTAGATGATGGATGGACGGATGGACAGATGGATGGACGGATGGATGGATAGATAATAGATGGATAATAGATGTAGATGATAGGTAGGTTGATTGATAGGTATAGATGATGGTTGCAGACAGACAGACAGACAGACGGACAGATTATTCTGGCCAGCCTAGAATAAGAGAGCTGCTTGGGACTTTTCTGTCTCTCCCTCACTTGCAGCATCCAGCCTCTTTAGCATCCACCAAATGCGTCTTTTTCCCTCCTCCTCCTCCTCCTCTGCACTCCTCACCTCCTCTCTCCCCGCTGCCCGCAGAGGCCTTGCCTCTCCTCCAGGCTGTGCTCTGTAGCCACGGAGCCCTTCCTAAATCACCAGTCTGGTGTCACTCCCCTGTCCACATCAGGCTGACGTTAACCCTCCTGAGGTTGAGGAGTCTGCCTTGACCTCACTGGCCTGTTTCTTCCTGCCTCCGGCTCCACAGCTGAAGTTCACCGTGGAAGCCTCTGAGGTTCTCCCAACGCCTTGACCATTCTTCCCCGAGTGGGGAATGGCATTTCCCCCTGCCCACGGCTTCAGCCCAAGCAGCCCGTTCAGGGGGAACTGCGCCGCCTTCCCAGACAGCACACAGTGCTGCCCCAAGTTCTGTACCCTGTCTTCTCCCCCCTTCTGTCTGTGTCTGTGTCCTGCTGCCTTGGTTTAAGTGTTGGGGACAGGAATCAGGTTACATTTCTGCTTGGATATTCTCTCTGTCTGTCTGTCTGTCTGTCTGTCTGTCTGTCTGTCTCCCTCTCCCTCTCCCTCTCCCTCTCCCTCTCCCTCTCCCTCTCCCTCTCCCTCTCCCTCTCTCTCTCTTTCTCTCTCTCTCTCTCTCTCTCTCTCTCTCTGCCTGTCTCTGTCTCTGTCTCGTGTGTATTGAGATAGGGTCTCACTCTCTGGCTCAGCCTCCCAAATGCTGGGCTTGTAAGCCTGAGCAGCTTTGCCTTGGTTTATAGAAAGCTAGTTTTTAGCATATTTTTCTGGCTGATAATGATTTTTTAGTGTGAGAAGCACCCCACCTCTGTGCTGTCTGAGGTCCCTCCAGCTTTTTGTACTTTTTATTTTGAGGCACTTCCAGGACTAAATTGTCCAAACTGGGCTTGACACTGAAATCCTTCTGCCTCAGCTGTAGCTGGGATTACTTGCCTGTGACACTAGGGACATACGAAAATGGCTTTCAGTGGAAAATAAGTTGCGTCACATCTGACTGATTTTTTTTTTTTTTTTGGTTTTTGGAGACAGGGTTTCTCTGTATTGTTTTGGAGCCTGTCCTGGAACTCACTCTGTAGACCAGGCTGGTCTCGAACTCACAGTGATCCACCTGCCTCTGCCTCCTGAGTGCTGGGATTAAAGGCGTGCACCACCATCCCCCGGCTCTGACTGATCTTTAGAACTGAGAATCTATGTGAATGTTTAAAAGGTGTAATCCGTTTTTTTTAATAATTTATTTACTTGTATTTTATATACATTGATGTTTTGCCCACATGTTTGTCTGTATGAGGGCGTCAGAGCCCCTGGAACTGGTGTCACAGACAGCTGTAAGCTGCCTGTGGGTGCTGGGAATTGAACTCAGGACCTCCGGAGAGCAGTCAGTGCTCTTAACCACTGAGCCATCTCTCCAGCCCCGATTATCTTTTTGTTTTGTTTTTTGAGACAGGGTTTCTCTGTGTAACAGTCCTGGCTGTCCTGGAACTCACTCTGTAGACCAGGCTGGCTCTAACTCACAGAGATCCTCCTGCCTCTGCCTCTCGTGAGGAACCTGAGAGTCTTCTGAGAGAACATTCTTGCTGCTGCTGTGTGGTCCAAGCATAGCCACTCCTACTTGCTGGGGCCAGGGATCCACCGGAAGAGGCGAAGAGGCGGTGAATCAATCCCAGCCCTCCCCAGCCTCTTTCTCCACCATCCCAAGTCCAGACCGCTCGCATGCCCATCATGTTATTGCTAATGATAGCTTGTCTTGTGTTTGCTATTTCTTACAAACTAATAAAGATTAAGAAACAAACAAAAAAATCAAACCACACTGGTATTTCAAATGCAACAAGCTCTGTAGTTCCATTAAAACAAAAATTAAAGAATTTTTTTAAAATTAAAAACAATCTGAAACCCTGTTGGATTTAATGTGCTCAAGACTGAAAAAAAAAAAACAAAAACAAAGTAGCGACATTAGCACACACTGCAGGTGTGAGCTTATGAACTAAAACAGAAACACTGGCCACAAAGAGCACTACAGCACAGTGACTTTCCCCTTCCGCCCCGTTCTGAAACAAGGAGACCAGCGCACCAGCCCCTCCACCTCTGTGAGCTTAACCCTAATTTCACATCTACAGCTCTAGAACTGAGAGCTCTGGGGAGAAGTCAGTCTCTCTCCCTAGTTTCTCGTCGTCGCTGCGTGACCTGATGCAAGTCACCTACCCTCTCTGAGTTTCCTTGGTCGCTTCTAGGGGTATTGTGCCAGCCACATGCGTCAAAGACATAGCCTACTAGCAGACAGATGCCCGGTGCGTCCCAAGTTTCCCAACAGAGGTCCTGTCACTCCCAGGACCCCTGCAGAGTCCACGGGGTTCCACCTGGGAATGGGCAGGGGCAGTCTATGTCCCTCCCCCGTTTTCCTCCCCCCCCCCACACACACACTTCCCTCTTTCGGCCTCTTCTGACCTTGTCAATAGATCCAGCCATTCCCCTGCCTCACCTCTACACAATAGTTGATAAACATTTGTCTCTTTTTTTTCCTCCATCCATCTTGTTTACACAGCGGACCACGTAGCCATGTATGACATATTTGCACAGACACAAAAGCCCTCGGGTGACTGCATGTACGAGTTTGACGGCGATGAGCAGTTCTACGTGGATCTGGACAGGGAGGAGACGGTCTGGGGCCTACGGGAGTTCAGCACAGTCTATAGCTTTGAGGCCCAGGGGGCTCTGTCCTATATCCTCAGCCTGAAGGACAACCTGAGGGCCCTGCTCCAGAGACACAACATCACCCGGGTTCCCAGTGGTGAGCGTCCTCTAGTTTGTTCCTCTGTGCCCCCCCCCATGAGAGGGACCCTGGCCCTGGGCTCCCTGCTATACGTGGGAGGGGCTGGTGTCTCAGCTCCTCTTCCCGTTCATGAGATGTTGAGTTGGGGGGAGCTCAGTGGAGTCTCCCAGTTCTCTGTTTTTGTTGTTGTTGTTGTTGTTTTGGTGTGGTTTGGTTTTGGTTTTGGTTTCTCTCTATTGCTTTGGAGCCTGTCCTGGAACGCCCTCTGTAGACCACGCTGGCCTTGAACTCACAGAGATCCACCTGCCTCTGCCTCCCGAGTACTGGGATTAAAGGCGTGCACCACCACTGCCCGGCTCCCGGCTCTCACTCTGAACCCCAGAGGTGATGATGGGAATTCTGAGCCTGAGACAGTAGATGCCGGGTGGGAGCTCGGGGACTACCCAGAGCTCACCAGGTCCGTCTCTTCCCAGAGCCTCCGGAGGTGACCGTGTTCCCCAAGAACCCAGTGGAGCTGGGCCAGCCCAACATCCTCATCTGCCACGTGGACAGGTTCTTCCCCCCAATGCTCAATGTCACCTGGCTTCGAAACGGGCATCGGGTCACCGAGGGGACTTCTGAGACCGTCTTCCTGCCCAGCACAGAACTCAGATTTCAGAAGTTCCACTACCTAACCTTCATCCCCACGGCCGAGGATGTGTACAACTGTAGGGTGGAGCACTGGGGCCTGGGCCAGCCGAGCCTCGGTCATTGGGGTAAGCAGCTCCCCATCCCCCACCTCTCACCCCCGCCTCTGAGCCCGGGACCTCGTGCCCAGCACCCCACCTGCCCTAACCGCAGCATCTCCTGGCTTCCCTCAGAAATGCCGGAGACACTCCAGGTGACCGAGACCATGGAGAATGTCGTCTGCGCCCTGGGCCTGCTGGTGGCCTTGGTGGGCATCGTCATTGGCGGTGTGCTTATCGCAGGAGCCCTGCGCCCCGATCAGGACCCCCTCCCCGGCGTGCCAGGGACCCCTGTGAGTGACTGTGCAGGTGACGAAGTCCATGCCTGCTGCGCAGAAAGGAGGGAACGTTCGCGCCGGTGAAGGAGACGCGGATGACAACCCACCGACACCCCAAGGCCGGCTGTTATCCCTCTTCCATGTGACGGTACTGACGTCACCGTGGCTTAACGCTTGAGACGTGCTCACAGCATGTACGTGCGTGCGCACGCAAGAGCGTGGGGGGCACCTTCACCAAGGCCACACAGGCTGTCTGCATCCAAAACAGCTTCCTCACCGCCCTGCGCTCCCTTTTATGAAGAAAGAGACCAAGCTCAACCGCGGTTTAGTCTTGGATCCAGACTGTCCTGAGCATGCTTACGGGACCGTGTGACCGGGTGGGGTGGGGGTTAGGGGGAAGCAGGTGGAAGGGGTGTGGCGGTGACGCACAGCTTCCCGTCTCTGCTTGGCTTCTAGTTATCAAAACACTTGGACACTTACACGTTTTTTAAATTCTGCCGCTGGATAATGCGCTCTCTCCATGGTCACGTTGCCCCTCACTCAACCTTCGTGGTTATCGTTATTCACTCTGGACCTCGGGGGGCCAAGGTTACCGCCACCGCTCCTGTCTGACTCTGTTCATTTGTCCTTCTGTTTGCTTACACTCTCGGGTCTAACCTCTTCCCCCCTACCCCCCGCACCACATGTAAGCACGCCAACGGATTTAGTGAGCTACCGATAGTTACAGTGTGCAACGTGGGTAAGCACTCGCTGTACGCACGGCTTTAGCGAGCTTTAGCGCTTCACGTCTAACCTGAACCTCTAATTGCTTTCAGTTGTTTAGTGCGGTCCTGCCCTAAACCATCCACCAGGCTCTACACCCTCCGGGACACCTGGGTCCTGTCCGACTATCTCTTCATTGTTTCACATGGACCTGGCATCTCTGAGAGGCACGGACCGCGGTTGCAGAGAGCTGCGCGTGCGCCCGTTCCCTTGCCTGTGGGCTGCCCGTGCGCCGTCGCCACTGCTGTGCTGATATCCGGTTTCCCCGTCTCCTGCAGTGTCCACAGCCACGTCCCAGCCTGGCCCTGTCTAGTCTCCCACGGTGTTTATATATAGCCATGTCTACCATGGTATCTCATGGGTATTTTTCAAACCCGACCATTTTTATTGACGCCTGGAAATGGAAATAAGAAGAATCTGCGCCCACTTTATGGGTGCTGGGAACCAAACCTGGGTCCTCTGCAAGAGCAGCCGGCGTTCTTAACCTCTGGGCCATCTCTCCAGCCCTTCCTGGGTTTTTTTGTTTGTTTGTTTGTTTTTGAGACAGAATCTAGTCTCACATTTATGCAGTCTTCCTCAACCTCCTCAGTGTGGGGATTACAGATGTGAGTTATGATGCCTGACTCAAAGTCTTATATTTAGAAATAAAAACACGCAGGCTGGCAGCCGGGCGTTGGTGGCGCACGCCTTTAATCCCAGCACTCAGGAGGCAGAGGCAGGCGGATCTCTGTGAGTTCGAGGCCAGCCTGGTCTACAGTGTGGGTTCGAGGACAGCCAGGGCTGTTGGACAGAGAAACCCTGTCCCGAAAAACCAGCCAGACAAACAAAACCCACAATGCCGTACTTGGCCACCTCTCTTGATGAGTTGCCAGGAGGTTCTCGTCTCAAAACCACAATAGCCTTTGATAGGGTGTTAAGTTTTGGTTAATCTTCGTGAACTGAATAATTGTTTTTTTAAAGCAAAATGATGAAGCTTAATAAATTTTTAAACATAACCAGTGTTTTTGCTTGTTGTAGTTATCCTTTTCAAAGAGAAGTAAACCAAAAATATTTTAGCATATTAAAATACCAGCCAAATTTTATCTCCAAAAGAAATTAAAACAAAAAAAGTTAAAGAGTTTTCATTTATTTATTTTTAGATTTTAAAAATTTATTATTTGGAAGTGTTTGTATATGCTCACATACCATCTCTGGTGTGGGCATGTGTCAGAGCATATACATGGAATCCCGAGGACAATTTTGTAAAGCTGTATTTTTCCATTTTCACATGGGTTTCAGGAATTGGATTCAGGTTGGGAGGCTATCATGGTCTTTACCCACCGAGCCATTTTTTTCTGGCCCAATATCAGAAGTGTATGTTTTTTGTTTTGAAAAAGATTTTGTTTTTATGTTGATATGTATAGTGTTTGCCTGGGTGTGTAGGCACCATATGTATACAGTACCTATAGCAGCCAGAAGGGGGCATCACATCCTCAGGAACTGGAGTTGCCGATGGTGGAGCCCCGCCTTATGGGTGTCAAGAACCTGACCCAGACCCTCTGCAAGAGCAGCCGGCGAGGCGTCTCTCCAGCCCCCATCCGGAATCCTTTTTTTTTTTTTTTTTTCTTTTTGGTTTTTCGAGACAGGGTTTCTCTGTATTGTCTTGGAGGCTGTCCTGGAACTCTCTTGGTAGTCCAGGCTGGCCTCGAACTCCAGAGATCCTCCTGCCTCTGCCTCCCAAGTGCTGGGATTAAAGGCGTGCGCCACCAACGCCTGGCCGGAATCCTTTTAAAGATTAATTTCAACAACAGAGAGCTGAAAAATCTTTGAGTGTGAGGTGATACTTTGTTGTGTACATGCAATGTGTAGTGTTGGGTCAGTAAATCACCACCAATCACCACAAACGTCTGTCGTTTCTCTGTGTTCAAAACTCTGTTCTGAGACAGTCGATTGCTGTCAGTTAGTTAACCATCCTCTCTCCAGAGCCTCTCCCCAGCCCCTGACACCATCATCTTTCTGCTCTCCCTCCATACCCACAGCGTCCATCGATTTAGTGTTTGCATGTGAGGACGTGCATGTGGCCTGGTCTTCCTTTGTCACTCTTACTCCATTGCATAATGTCCTTGTTCACGCTCATCCACGCGGCCTCATATGATATGATTTCACTTGCTATTTATGGCTGAGTAATATTCCATTGTGTGTGCACCATATTTCACCCGGTGGACACTTAAGTGGTACTCTTTGTCTACCTATGTTGTGCGTGTGCGTGCGTGCATGTGTGTGTGTGCATGAGTGTGTGTGTGTCTGTGTGTGTGTGTGAGTGTATGCATGAGAATACAGGTGCCCACTGAGACCAGAGGCATCAGGTCCCCCAGGGGTGGCAGTTATGGGCTGCTGTAAGCCGCCTCGTGTGGTGTCTAAACTCTGGTTCTCTGACAGAGTCACTTCCCAGCCTACCTCCATGTACTGGCTGGTTTGTGTCAACTTGACACAGACTAGAGTCATCAGAGGGGAAGGAGCCTCGGCTGAGGAAATGCCTCCATGAGATCCAGCCGTAGGGAATTTTCTTAATTAGCAATCAGTGAGGGAGGGCCCAGCCCGTTGTGAGTGGTGCTGTTGGTCCTGGGTTCTATGAGAAGGCGGGTTGAGCAAGCCTTGTGGAGCAAGCAAACCGGTAAGCAGCTTCCTCCATGGTCTCTGCATCAGCAGCGCCTGCCTCTGGGATCCTTCCCTGCTTGAGTTCCTGCCTGACTTCCTTCAGGGATGACAGTGATGCTGAAGTGTAACCCTTTCCTCCCCAGATTGCTTTGTGGTCCTGGTGTTTTGTAGAAACCCTAAGACACCACCTTATTTTTTGAGATGTGGGTCTCTCACTGCGCCTGGAGCTCACCCATTTGGCTAAACTGGCTGGCCAACAAGTTTCGTGGCCTCTGCCCTACCAAGGCCGGGGCTTATAGACGAGTTCCACCATGCCTAGCGTTTTCTGTGTCCTGGGGATCCAGACTCAGGTCTTCGTGCCTGAGTGGCACTCTGCCCACAGAGTCACCTCCCCATCCCCAGAAATTTGTAAATGTTAAAAACCCCACAGGCAGCCGAGTGGTGGTGACTCACACCTTTAATCCCAGCACTTGGGAGGCAGAGGCAGGTGGATCTCTGTGAGTTCGAGGCCAGCCTGGTCTACAGAGTGAGTTCCAGGACAGCCTCCAAAGCCACAGAGAAACCTTGTCTCGAAAAACCTAGCGGCCAATAGCTAGGCAGAGGAGGGATAGGCAAGGCTGGCAGGCAGAGAGAAAAGGTGAGCCAGCCAGGCAGATGGGGCCAGCCATGGAGGAGGCAGGAAAGCAGGATGAGCACTATGTAGATGAGGTAAATGAGCCTCGGGGCAGCACATAGATTAATAGAAATGAGTTAATTAAAGTCAATAAAAACTTCAGACGAGCCTAAGCTAAGGCTGAGCATTCACAATTAATAATAAGCCTCTGTGACACGACTTGGGGGCTGGCGATCCAAGAGCGCCTGCTACACTGGCCAGCACGAACGAGGGTGCCTGGGCACAGAAGTGACAAATGGCAGACCACCAGCACCCTCTGCCCGCCTCGCATCGGTTGTAGGAACTGGCTGTAGCTTTCCCTCAGGGGAAGCATCTCCGCCCATTGCATATTCTTTCTTTCAGGATAAAATAAAATGATGTTTTTGAAAATGATTTTATCCTATAGTTTACTTTGTCCAATGATTTCCCTTCAAAGTCTCTTAGTGTGTTTTATTTCATATTTTTACCCCAAATCTGTCCCGAGGGACCTACAGGGAAAATCAGGTTCCTTCTTTCAGCTGGATGCTCTGAGGCCTCCCTGATCCTTCCTGAAGCCCCTTTCTCGGAGGATGAAATGACAGGTGGTGACGCATGGCCTCCGTCCTCCACCTTCTCATCCAGGCTCTTTGCTTCTTTACCTGGCAACAGAACCGTTAACTCAGAGAGCTGCTCTGATTGGTTACTGACAGCAGGGTCTTCCCCTAGCTTAGATCTGTTTGTCTTTACCTCCAGCCTGCTCCCTCACTCTCCAAATAGACGTTAAAGCACGCACGCACACACACGCGCACAGCAATGGTCCTCCATGTGGAGCTGGTCCTGGCATCCCACGCCCTGATAAGCCTCCTCAGTCTCCAGGGAGTATGGGCCATCAAGGGTAAGTACCAGGGACCGGGGACAGCTGGGGGTGGGAGGGGACACAGGGTGACACTCTTCCTCTGTGCTAGCACAATGTCTCGCTCTTTCTCTGGGCAACTCCTTCCACCTGCAGACAAATCCCTGTCTCTCTGCCCACACCCACTCTGGAGCCCACTACCAGGCCGCACACCAGGGTCTCCTCCGGGCCCCTTGTGCATTCAGAGTCCTCCTTCCTTCCTCTTTTCTGAGACCCATGCCCTCGCCCGGCTGGCTCACTGCACAGCACCCTGGCTCCTCTACCACTTCCTGGCTTGCAACACGCAATTCCCACTCAGCTTCTCTGTAGCTCGACTGGGTTTATATGTGAGCTTCTGGCTCACATACACACAGTCCCTCACATCCAGCTAGTAACCGGATCTCTGAAAGGGCTGAAAGGTAGCCCGGATATCCAGGAAACCGAGTGCCCTGCCATGGAGTGAGTGAGGCCCGTTCTATCGTCACTCTGAGACGTTAGCTGGGACATGAGCTTCCAACTCCTGATGTCTCCCCCCCCGCCCCGAGACAGGGTTTCTCTGTGCAGCTCTGGCTGTCCTGGAACTCGCTCTGTAGACCAGGCTGCCCCAAACTCAGAGATCCTCTGACTCTACCTCCTGGTGCTGGGATCAAAGGCGTGCACCACTACCACCTGGCTTGAACTCCTGACTTTATGTCTGGCGTATCCTACAATGCTTTGGGCTCTTATCCCTCCCACTCCGCCTCCACGTGTTTATGAGACAGAGTTTCATTGACTTATGTAGCCTAGGCTGTTCTTAATCTTCTGATCCTCCTGCCTCCACCTTCTGAGTGCTGGGGTTGCAGGACTGTGTCACCCTGCCTGGCTTGCAGAAAGCTGTCCTTCCCCTCACTCCAGTCTCTGGGTCATAGATCTTAATTTATGCCCCTGTCCCTCACCCATTTCTACACTGCCTTTCTCTGCCTTCTGTGCTTCCTCCTAACCATTTCCTCCTCACCCCTAATTTACCATCTTACACACAAGACCCGACAGCATGGCTGTGGCTACAGCTGCAGCAGATGGTGGAGGACTGGAAACCCCAGTCCTTGGGTGGGCAACCCCCCCCTTTCCCAGACTGCTTTGCTAGCCCCACCCACCCATGCACGGGCCACGCCCCTCTGTCCTCTCTCTTCCCTCTCTCTTGCAACTCTTCAAGGGCCTGCTACGGCATACCAGGACTGTCCCCCAACACACAGCCCAGGAAGAGGCCATCAGCAGGTCACACACCTGAGTGACACACACTTCTCTTACCCCATCCTGCCCTCACCCAGTACAGCCGACCACATGGGCTCCTACGGACCAGCCTTCTACCAGTCTTACGATGCTTCTGGGCAGTTCACGCACGAATTTGATGGGGAGCAAATTTTCTCTGTGGACCTGAAGAGCGGGGAGGTCGTGTGGCGTCTGCCGGGGTTTGGGGACACCCTGTACTCGGAATTTCAGAGTGGCCTGATCAGCATTGCCATGATCAGAGCTCATCTGGACATCTTGGTGGAACGCTCCAACCGCACCAGAGCCGTCAGTGGTAGCTGGCCCCGCCCTCTGCCCCACCTATTAGGCAGGGGAGGGGACTGGACAGGGTCCCCCAACCCCTCTCCAGAGTCCTCCCGCCCTGTCCTGCCCCAGCAGACACCTCCCCAGAGCACTCCTGCAGGTGGCCACATGAGGGAGGATGTGTCCCTTAATTTTGACCCTGGTAAGGCCCAGCTACAAGGGGGTCTCATTCCTCCCAGTGCCTCCCAGGGTGACCGTACTCCCCAAGTCTCGTGTGGAGCTGGGAAAACCCAATGTCCTCATCTGCATCGTGGATGACATCTTCCCCCCTGTGATCAATGTCACCTGGCTGCGCAACAACCAGCCGGTCACTAAGGGAGTGGCCCAGACCAGCTTCTACTCCCAGCCTAACCACAGGTTCCGGAAGTTCCACTACCTGACCTTTGTGCCCTCGGTGGAAGACGTGTACGACTGCAGGGTGGAGCACTGGGGCCTGGACGCACCCCTTCTCCGGCACTGGGGTACGGAACTCCTCTCGCTCCTGTCCGTCTCTACTCCAGATCCCTCCCTGGGCCCTCTGACCCTCGATTCCTTTCCCAGAGCCCCAGGTGCTTACCCCGCCTCCAGACACCACCGAGACCCTGGTCTGTGCCCTGGGCCTGGCCCTTGGCTTCATGGGTTTCCTTCTGGGCACCGTTCTCATCATCACAGGCACGCGCCCGCCCAGTGTCAGCAGGTGCAGGAGCCCGGGGAATCTGGGGGTGAAGGGAGGGAGGGCTTGTGTGTGTCGGGGAGGGGAGGAGAGGGGAGGGGAGGGGAGGGGAGGGGGAAGGACATGGAAAAGCAGGGGTTTGGCCAAGTGGGCGAATGAACGAGAACGCCTCGGTCACGTGGGTTTTGCTACTTCAGGTAACTACTCCTCTGAGAGAAACCCCCGTGGAATCCCGGCGAGCTTCTGGAAGCTTCCCCATGCCCAGCTCCAGCCTCCTACAATGTTGACCTCCAGCGGCACGAACCCCTCCTGTTCCTCAGGTCCCTCGTTTTCCGGCCCCCAGACTCCCAGCAGAACTTGTGGGGCACAGTCTCCTCCTGCCCCAGCGCTCTCCCAGCTCCCGAGTCATCCAGACCTCTGGCGGCGGCCGCAGTAAATTCTCTCTACGGTGTTGTTTGCCCTCTGTCCTTTGTGTGGGGTCTGGGGCGATGCTCACATCTGAGGGATGCCTGAGCGCCGCCGAGAGGAGTTCTGGGTGGTGACCACCCAGCGCGGCCACCTTGGTGAACACCAGCCCATCCGTGCCCTGTTGGGTGGACACTTTTGTCAGCGGGGCCGTTTCCCCAGGGCTTCGGGAAGTTCATCTCCTGAGTTGAGACTTGAAGCGAAGGGGTACAGAGTACCCGATGATTGCAGCCCCCCCAAACAGCAGCAGCTTTTGTAAGGCACTGGGGGGGGGAGGCTCGCAGGGATTCGGCTCCTACACGGATATATCACCTCCCTTTCGGACATTCCCTGGCATCCTGGGATGGCAAACAGATACCCAAGGCTTAGGATGGCCATTTCCTGCGGTGGTGACCATGACATGAGGCAGGAGGGCCGCACAGTGGGTCTACAAGATACCTGGAGACAGGAGGTGCCGGGGACTGGAGAGATGGCCCAGTGGTTAGAGCGCTGGCGGGTCTCCCAGAGGACCTGGATTCAGTTCCCAGCACCCACGTGGTGGCTCACAGGTGGTTGGGGGGGGGGTCCTGTGCCCTCCTCTGCCGCCACCACCCAAGCACCAGGCACACAGAAGTACCTGCAGGCAAAACTCTCATGCACATCAAATGGAAATGATAAGTAAATCTTAAAAAAAAATAAGTAAATATTAAAAAAACAAAACACAGAATGTCCAAGTGATCCACCCAGCTCTCTCTAACCGTGTGGGCCAGAAGATTTTAACCTTGAGCAGAATTCGAAACACTAGAAGAGATCTCGAAGTGAACGTACAAGGCCGTTCATGTCAGTCACCAGATGAGTGACACCCTAAGGGATGCCTTAGGGGTCTCTTGGGGTCTCCGGATTAGGGTCCCAGGGGTGGGAAAGTTACGACAGGAACTCTGTGCTTCTTCTGGTGCTTCTTCTTCTTCTTCTTCTTCTTCTTCTTCTTCTTCTTCTTCTTCTTCTTCTTCTTCTTCTTCTTCTTCTTCTTCTTTGGTTTTTGGAGACAGGGTTTCTCTGTGGCTTTGGAGGCTGTCCTGGAACTCGCTCTGTAGACCAGGCTGGTCTGGAACTCACAGAGATCCACCTGCCTCTGCCTCCCGAGTGCTGGGATTAAAGGCGTGAGGCACCACCAAGGCCCTGCTAACTCTGTACTTCTTAACACGCTCCTGAGGACTCTGATGTCCCTGTCCTGACCCTAGGCTGAGGTCTGGTAATGGGGACCCCTGACATAGGCGCCACTGGGGGCCATTGGCTGGGAACCCTGAGGTTTGAGTTGGGCCTTGTGGAGAAAATGGGTTTGTGGTTTGTTAGACCATCAAAGTTGACCAAGATATAAATAGAACCCACCAAAACTCGGTTCGAACTGTAAGTTTGGTCCTGGGAAGGAAAGGGCAAGATGAAGACTTCGTGGACTTCCCAGGAGGGAGTAAATTGGGAGGGGTTTCCCGGAAAACACCCAGGAAGTGGGAAAAGTTGTCTCAAGTCAAAGGTTTTTGTTTGCTGGCAACGGCAAGATCTTCCACAGCCAAGGAGAAGCTATTTACCGTAAAGGCACAGAGGCAGCTCTCTGGACCCAGGGAGGGCTTGACCCTGTCTCCCGGGAACCGAGCTGGAACCCACGAGCCAGCAGCACCAAGCCTGTCTTCTTACTGAGCCACATGGCCCACGTGTGTTAGCCACGCCCCTCGCCTGTGTTTGCCACGCCCCTCACCTGTCAGTCATTGCTACCCACAGGACCGACTCCCAGACACACTTTTGAATACTTGGAAAAATGACCAGCCAGCCAAACCTGGGGAGGGCATCCATCCCTGCCCAATGTGCTCAGAGCGGGGACAAGATCCCACAGCCCCACCGGTGAGAGAGGTTGGGTTTCAGCAAGAGAAGGCAACCTAGGTCCGGAAGACATCACAGTTTGTCATTTTGTTTGTTCCCTCTTGTTTTCACTCGCTGACTCCCTCTGGGCTCATTTAGAGTTAAATGGTCACCAGGGACCCCTGGTTCCAGCTCCCTCCAATTGCAGGGTGTTTTCCTACAGGAAATGAGCGTCACCCTTCCTACAGAAGGACAGCACCGATCCCCTGCTTCCGCCCTCTAGCCAAGCCTGCCAAAAAGCGCTACAGGCTTTGTGACCAAACCCCTCCACACCCCCTTCCTTACTTCCTCCTTCTTCGAGACAATAGGTTTGGGTGTGGTTTACCTGCACCCCCACCCCACGGTGTGGCAGCTTGGTCCTCAGTGTTGATGATGTTGAGATAGAGAGGCCTTTAAGATATGAGGTCAAGCCGGGCGTTGGTGGCACACACACGCCTTTAATCCCAGCACTCGGGAGGCAGAGACAGGTGGATCTCTGTGAGTTCGAGGCCAGCCTGGTCTACAGAGCGAGTTCCAGCACAGCCTCCAAAACAATACAGAGAAACCCTGTCTGGAAAAAAAAAAGATATGAGGTCAAGGGGAGGTTCTCAGGTCACTAGGGACATTGCCCATGGCAGGGATTGAGGTAGCTCTGGTCAGTGAGTCGTAAATGGGTAGCCTGATCCCAACCTCTCTCTGGCTTCCTCCTTGGCGGCAATGCAGTCTCTCCTCCTCCCACAAACCCCCTCTGTGGGGTGTCCCCAGTGTTCAAGTCCTCATGGGAGCCTGGCGCCATGTCCTTGATACTCCAGAACTATGAACTAAATAAATCTGTTAAAGGACAATAGCATTTTTTGTTAGTAGAAAGTGGATCAGAGCAGTTGGTAGTGATCCCCTGTCCATGCCATGTGGGATGGATTACCACATCTCGGGGGATTTTGTTTCTGTTTTGAAACAGGGTCCCATTACATAGCCTGGCTGTCCTGGAACTGACTGTGTAGACCAGGCTGGCCTCAAACTCACAGTGACCTGTCAGCCTCCATTGGGGTCAGAGACACATCAGCACATATCTCAATTGTCTTGCTTTAGGCTTCATTTCTTCTGTTTCTGTTGAGGGATATTACTCCAACCGTGTAAAGGTGTGTTACGTCTGGTTATGTTGTGGAATACTACGTAACCAGGTAAAGATGTGTTGCATTTGTTTAATGATGTAAAAATGTGCTGCCTGCCTAAGGCACCCGACTGGTCTAATAAAGAGCTGGCCGGCCAATAGCTAGTCAGAGAAGGGGTAGGTGGGGCTGGTGGGCAGAGAAAAAGAAAGATGGGGGAAGAGAAGAGGATGCCAGACAGACAGACAGACATGGAAGGAGCAGAAAAGCAATACATACAGAAGGGAAGAAAAGTAAAAAAATTAAAAATTAAAAACCCCGAGGCGGAACGCAGATGGAGACACAGGTTAATTTAGGTTATAGACGCTGGCTAAGGCCCAGCATTCGTCACTAAGAAGAGGTCCCCATGTCTTTATCTGGGAGCTGTGTGAGGGCCCAAAGAGAAAGCCTGCTACATCTTTCTACGACGGTAGGGGAGGAGACGGGTCTCCTTGCTTCACAGGTCCCCTTCCAAACACCACCCCGACTTACAGCAGTTTTTATTTTTATTGTCTGACTCTGGCTGGCTCAGGGCTCACCAGTTATATCACAGCCCACAAGAAGTAAACCATAGAGCCAACCACCAGCCTTCTCTGGATGTTTCCTTGGGACTTAGTTCATTTCCTTTTAGCTTGATTTTTGGTTGCGCGCGCCGTTTGCCGGTCAAAATGCGGGCACATCGGGTGCCCTTCCAACTTCTGATCGTGTTAAAAAAAAAAAAAAAGGACTCCCGGAAGTGCGTCTGCTATTACTAATGAGCCCTCAGTGGTGCAGCCATCATCCTGACATCCCATCAGGTCTCCGGCTGGTGCCTTGGGCTGTCGGGTCACGTGATCCTTGGCTTCAGAAGCGCCCTGCAAAGGAGGCCCAGCTCCACGCGACGCGGGCGGAGGAACATGGCCTCCTCCCCCTGTCACCCTTGGACAGTATCTCGAGTAGAATAAAGGTCAAGGTTGGAAATGATTCCCGTGAGAACGTCTAAGCGGTGTCTCTAGCCGCTTGGCTTCCAGCCGAAAGAGGGCATTTGGCGTCCTGAAACCTGGTGTGAGTCTGGGTAGCCCTTTCCCTCCCTCCCGCCTCGAGCTCGCACGTGCGCCCCATTCCCGGCAGGTGAGGATCCTTCTCAAACTGCAGCAGCGCCGTGATGTGTTATTTGTGACTTATTAAAGCTTGCCTGAGGATTCGGAAAGCAAAGGCAGCCACAGGCCGTAGAAGTCAGGCACACACATGCCTTCAATCCCAGCAGCCAGAAACTAGGAAGGAGTTGGTGGCACACGCCCTTAAGCCTAGGACTCAGGATTAAGAGGTAGAGGGATCTCTGTGAGCCCAAGGCCGCCCAGATCTACACAAGATTGATCCAGTCCCAAAGAGAAACAGCTCACACAAAGACGACCTCAGCGCCCGGGGTTAACACGCCTTTAATCCCAGCATTAGGGAGGTGTGTGACAGGAGCAAGGGGAATATTTCGGCGTTGATTCTGCAGCCACGCTGAAGATAGGAAGGCTCGGTATCAAGGATTCGTTCTCCAGGCGCGTTGAGAATTAGGAACGCCCCAGCCCTGTTAAAGGTAAGAGCTCTCTGGTAGCTTGGCTGCTTTGCTTCCCTGATCTTCAGGTTGAACCCCGATGCCTGTCTCTGGGTCTTTTATTTTTTCGTGTCACATATTGGTCCTTTACTTATTCGTGCAACGCAACAGCTTATTTTTAGAAGCTCCCCCGAGATGTGTCTGCTTTTCTCGCTTCTTGCTCCTCTACTAGAACAGGGAAGGTCTGTGCCTGGCACTTCCAACACTTGGCGCGGGCGGCGTGCTCAGTTCTGGTTCATTCCCACCTCAGCCTGCTTGGGCTGGCCTGCACTAGTTCCGTCATGCTGACTGACACACGTGTAGGCCATGTGATAGATGAGTCTCTGTCACACTGGGGACGGAAGCCACACTAGGAAACACCCTTCCACTCAGCTCTGTCTTCTATTTTGAGACAAGGTCACCCCTAAGGCCTCTCAGCCTGGATTTTGTTCCTTGTAACCCAGGCTGGCCCTGAGCTTGAAATCCTGTTTCAGCCTCCAGTAGCCAGGGTTCCAGGCCCATCATGTGGATGCTTTTCATATGTAGTGATATGACATCGACTCATAAAGTCAAGAGTCTGGAAACACCGTTATTACTATTACTATTATTATTATTATATGCAGTGTTCTGCCTGCATGTATGCTTGCACACCAGAAGAGGGCACCAGATCACATTACAGAGGGTTGTGAGCCACCGTGTGGTTGCTGGGAATTGAACTCAGGACCTCTGGAAGAGCAGGCAGTGCTCTTAACCTCTGAGCCATCTCTCCAGTCCCTGGAAACATCTTTAAATTTTTTTTTTTTTTTTTTGGTTTTTCGAGACAGGGTTTCTCTGTATTGTTTTGGAGACTGTCCTGGAACTCACTCTGTAGACCAGGCTGGTCTCGAACTCACAGAGATCCGCCTGTCTCTGCCTCCCAAGTGCTGGGATTAAAGGTGTGCGCCACCAACGCCCGGCTCTGCGTTTCTATTTTATTGATTTCAGTTCTCAATTTGACTATTTCTTGCCATCTACTCCTCCTGAGTGAGTTTGCTTCTTTTTGTTGTAGCGTTTTCAGTTGTTCTGTTAATTCACTAGTGTGGGATTTTTTCCAGTGCCTTTAGTGCTGTGGACTTTCCTCTCAGCACTGCTTTCATTGTGTCCTCTAAGTCTGAGTATGCTGTTCATTAATTTTTAGGAAGTCTTTTATTTCTTTATTTCTTACTTGACCAGTTGATCATTGCTCAATCTTCATGTTTTTGTGGGCTGAAATTAATGTTGCTGTTGAGTTCTAACTTTAAGCTGTGGTGGTCTGATAGGGTACGGGGGCTTATTCCAATTTTTTTTCTGTATCTGTTGGGGTTTGCTTTGTTTTTGAGAAGGTTCCATGAGGTACTGAAAAGAAAGTATGTTCTTTTGTGTTTGGAGTGGAATGTTCTATAGGTGTCTGTTAAGCCCATTTGAGCTGTAACTTCTGTTAGTTCCCTTGTTTCTCTGTTAAGCTTCTGTCTGGTAGACCTGTCCAGTGGTGAGAGTGGGGTGTTGAAGTCTCCCACTATTAGTCTGTGGGGCTTGATTTGTGATTTAAGCTTTAGTAATGTTTCTTTTATAAATGTTGGTGCCCTTGTGTTTGGGGCATAGATGCTCAGAATTGAGATTTCCTTTTGGTGGATTTTTCCTGTGATGAATATGAAATTCCCTTCTTTATCTTTTTTGATTGATTTTAGTTTGAAGTCTATTTTGTTGAGATATTAGGATAGCTAACCCAGCTTGTTTCTTAGGTCCATTTGATTGGAAATTTTTTCCCAACCCTTTACTCTGAGATGATGTCTATCTGTGAGTTTGAGGTGTGTTTCTTATATGCAGCAGAAGGATGGATTCTGCCTTTGTATTTGATCTGTTTGCCTGTGTCTTTTCATAGGTGAACTGAGACCATTTATATTAATGGATATTAATGAGCAGTGATTGCTAGTTCCTGCTATTTTTGTTGTTTTTGTTGGTGGTGATGGCATTGCGTGTTCAATTCCCTTCTTTGGGGTTTGCTGCTGTAAACTCATCTATTTTCTGTGTTCTTGTGGAAATAAGTGGTTTCCTTGGGTTGGCATTTTCCTTCTAGTACTTTCTGTAGGGCTGGGTTTGTGGATACGTATTGTTTAAATCTGTTTTTATCATAGAATATCTTGTTTTCTCCATCTATGGTTATTGAAAGCTTTGCTGAGTAGTCTGGGCTGGCATCCATGGTCTCTTAGTGTCTGCATAACATCTGGCTAGGACCTTCTGGCTTTCATTGTTTCTGTTGTGAAGCCAGATGTAATTCTGATAATCTGCCTTTATATGTTACCTGGCCTTTCTCCTTTGCAGCTCTTAATATTCTTTCTTTATTCTGTATGTTTATTGTTTTGATTATTATGTGTTGAGGGAAGTTTTTTCTCTGGCCTAGCCTATTTGCTGTTCTGTAAGCCTCTAGTATATTCATAGGCACGTCCTTCTTTAGGTTGGGGGAAGTTTTCTTCTATGATTTTGTTGAATATATTTTCTGTGCCTTTGAGTTGGACTTATTTTCCTTATTCTTTCCCAATTGTTCTTAGGTTCAGCCTTTTCATGGTGTCCCAGATTTCCTGCATGTTTTGTGTTAAGGATTTTGTTGGATTTAAAATTTTCTTTTGTCAATGAATCTATTTCCTCCAAATTATCTTCAATGCCTGAAATTTTCTCTTCCATCTCTTTTTTTGTTTAATTTTTTTTAATTTTTTGTTTTTTTGTTTTTCCAGACAGGGCTTCTCTGTGGCTTTGGAGGCTGTCCTGGAACTCGCTCTTGTAGACCAGTCTGGCCTGGAACTCACAGACATCCGCCTGCCTCTGCCTCCCGGGTGCTGGGATTAAAGGCGTGTGCCACCAAAGCCCGCCTTCTTTCCTCCATTCTTTAGGGAAATTTTTCATTTCTTCTTTAAGAGCCTCAGTCATCCTCATAAAGCGATTTTTAGGTTGTTTTCTTCTGCTTCTCCTGTGTTGGGATGTTCGGGTCTTGCTGTTGCAGCAGCCTAGCTTCCAGTGGCGCCGCGTTGCTCTCTGTATTGAGTGTGCTCTTACCTTGTTGTCTACACATCTCTTCCTCTAATCGGTACAGGTGGAGCTTGTGCTTCAGGGGGGGTCTCTCTCCAGTTGGTATATTTGGGGGCTGTGGCTCCATTGACCGCTCCTTCAGGCAGGCACAAGTAGAGCAGAGCTTCCGGTGAACGCTCCTCCTGGTGGACGTGGGCCCAGTGCTCACGTGGTCACTCCTAGAGGTGCAGGTGGGGCTACAGCTTCCGATGGACGCTCCTCCCATTGGAGGTGTAGATGGGCTGAGGGTCCAGTGGTCCGTGTAGTAGCGAGATGTCTCCAGCGCACTGGAGAAATGGCAATGGATGCTGGCTGGGACACAGGAGCTCTTTCCCAGAGGAACTTTTTCCCCCCATAATTCCCAGAAGCTTCTGCTGGAAACCACTGTTGTAGTTTCCCTGGGCGATCACTCCTCAATCCTGAGCCTGAAGCTTTTGCTGCTCCCGGCTGCTCCCGGGTCTGAGGTTCGTGGCTCCCTTGACGCTGCTCCGGGCGGGCCTGAAGCTCCGGTCTTCCTCTGCCGCTGCTCTTCGGCTCGTGGTTATCTAAAGGGTCTGTGTCGCAGGGCTGAAGCGGGGAGCAGGCTCTTAGGACCCGCAGACCGCAGTGCACTCTGACCTGGGAGGGTGTCTCCCTCTCTTACATCCCAAGGCGCCTTCGCCCGTCCGCGTTTGGGACGACTGATTTCCTCGGGAAATCCAAAGCCAGGAGAGGAGGATGCTGCCTTGTGTCACAAACCTGAATCCAGGGAGACACCGAGGGCAAGTGTTGCTCTGCCTAATAGACCCCACTCCCCTCCTCACAATCACCCCCGCTTTATGTAGGAGGCAAGTACCAGTCACGTCATTGAGCTGGACGGAGGTCAGGCCGTCTGTGTGGCTTGGGAACTCTGGTTCTTCTCCCTGCACCTCTGCCGCCCACAGCAAAAGAAGGCTTGCGCCGTGCGTGACCGTGGGACAGACGGTGCCGTGCCGGCAAAGGTCCAGGACGCTTACCCCTTTCCAAAAACGACTTCCGCTGGTGGATCCGGCACAAACGGACAGGAAAAAACGGGGTGGTGGTGCTGGAAATGGCCAGGTTCTGGGGCTATTGAAGAGATCCGAACATAACGTACTTTCCTCATCTGCCTCCTCCGTGGTGCTCGCTCCGGCGTCGCGTAAATCCCACGGCGGCCACCCAGGCTGTGACCTGGTTCTGCACAGCTCGGCCCCCTCATCTCCCTTCACTCACAATCCGTTCAGAAGCTTCCCACCAAGGTCTGCGACTCTCCAGTCCGATTACACTTCTGTGTTCCCGATTCTTGGTGGCTTCGCTGGCCACCTCAAATGGACCCCTGCTTCTGGTGTCCAACTCTGGCTCTCCCAGTGCGCCCCCCCACCTTGCTTCTGGCCCCGACTCTCACTTTCCTGGTGTCCTACGGGTCTTGGACACAGGCAGGTCTGTCTCCTCAGGTTTCTTCCCTCTGGCTTCCTGACGACGCAAGCCTGTAACCCAAGTACGCAGGAGGTGGAGGCAGGGGGATCACAAAAGTTGGAAGGGACCGCAATTCAGTGAAGTTGTACACCAAATAGGGCAAGCCTCTTCTCACCCCGCCTCAGCTTAGGACAACTGCCTGGGACAGTTGGGGGTTTGGCTCCATCTTGTGGTTCAAGATCATCTCATGCACTGACTGTCTCCCAATGGGTGTGTAAGCCCCTCTAGGAGGGTCGTCTTGGTGTTCCTGTTGCCTGAAAGCTGCTGCCTCCTGTTCCCAGGGCACGATGCAGATCCTACTGACTTTCCAGTTGCCGTTTATTCCTCCCCTTTAGCATAGGGATCTGCTCCAGCTCTCTCTGTCTCTGTCTCTGTCTCTCTCTCTCACACACACACCGTCTGGAAAACGGTCATCAGAGCAGCTGTATGTTCAGGTTGCATCCACCAAG